CCATAGACTCAGCACTGCCCATAGACTCAGCACTGCCCATAGACTCAGCACTGCCCATAGACTCAGCACTGCTCATAGACTCAACACTGCCCATAGACTCAACACTGCCCATAGACTCAGCACTGCCCATAGACTCAGTATTGCCCATAGACTCAGCACTGCCCATAGACTCAGCACTGCCCATAGACTCAGCACTGCCCATAGACTCAGCACTGCTCATAGACTCAACACTGCCCATAGACTCAGCACTGCCCATGGACTCAGCACTGCCCATAGACTCCGCACTGTCCATAGACTCAACACTGCCCATAGACTCAGCACTGCCCATAGACTCAGCACTGCCCATGGACTCAGCACTGCCCATAGACTCAACACTGCCCATAGACTCAGCACTGCCCATAGACTCAGCACTGCCCTTAGACTCAACACTGCCCATAGACTCAACACTGCCCATAGACTCAGCACTGCCCATGGACTCAGCACTGCCCATAGACTCCGCACTGTCCATAGACTCAACACTGCCCATAGACTCAGCACTGTCCATAGACTCAGCACTGCCCATGGACTCAACACTACCCATTGACTCAACACTGCCCATAGACTCAGCACTGCCCATAGACTCAGCACTGCCCATAGACTCAACACTGCCCATAGACTCAACACTGCCCATAGACTCAGCACTGCCCATAGACCCAGCACTGCCCATGGACTCAGCACTGCCCATAGACTCAGCACTGCCCATGGACTCAGCACTGCCCATGGACTCCGCACTGTCCATAGACTCAACACTGCCCATAGACTCAGCACTGCCCATGGACTCAGCACTGCCCATAGACTCAACACTGCCCATAGACTCAGCACTGCCCATAGACTCAGCATTGCCCATAGACTCAGCACTGCCCATAGACTCAGCACTGCCCATAGACTCAGCACTGCCCATAGACTCAGCACTGCTCATAGACTCAACACTGCCCATAGACTCAGCACTGCCCATGGACTCAGCACTGCCCATAGACTCCGCACTGTCCATAGACTCAACACTGCCCATAGACTCAGCACTGCCCATAGACTCAGCACTGCCCATGGACTCAGCACTGCCCATAGACTCAACACTGCCCATAGACTCAGCACTGCCCATAGACTCAGCACTGCCCATAGACTCAGCACTGCCCATAGACTCAGCACTGCCCATAGACTCAACACTACCCATAGACTCAGCACTGCCCATGGACTCAGCACTGCCCATAGACTCCGCACTGTCCATAGACTCAACACTGCCCATAGACTCAGCACTGTCCATAGACTCAGCACTGCCCATGGACTCAACACTACCCATTGACTCAACACTGCCCATAGACTCAGCACTGCCCATAGACTCAGCACTGCCCATAGACTCAACACTGCCCATAGACTCAGCACTGCCCATAGACCCAGCACTGCCCATGGACTCAGCACTGCCCATAGACTCCGCACTGTCCATAGACTCAACACTGCCCATAGACTCAGCACTGCCCATAGACTCAGCACTGCCCATGGACTCAGCACTGCCCATGGACTCAGCACTGCCCATGGACTCAGCACTGCCCATAGACTCAGCACTGCCCATAGACTCAGCACTGCCCATAGACTCAGCACTGGCCATAGACTCAACACTGCCCATAGACTCAGCACTGCCCATGGACTCAGCACTGCCCATAGACTCAACACTGCCCATAGACTCAACACTGCCCATAGACTCAGCACTGCCCATAGACTCAGCACTGCCCATAGACTCAACACTGCCCATAGACTCAGCACTGCCCATGGACTCAGCACTGCCCATAGACTCCGCACTGTCCATAGACTCAACACTGCCCATAGACTCAGCACTGTCCATAGACTCAGCACTGCCCATGGACTCAACACTACCCATTGACTCAACACTGCCCATAGACTCAGCACTGCCCATAGACTCAACACTGCCCATAGACTCAGCACTGCCCATAGACCCAGCACTGCCCATGGACTCAGCACTGCCCATAGACTCCGCACTGCCCATAGACTCAGCACTGCCCATAGACTCAGCACTGCTCATAGACTCAACACTGCCCATAGACTCAGCACTGCCCATGGACTCAGCACTGCCCATAGACTCCGCACTGTCCATAGACTCAGCACTGCCCATAGACTTAGCATTGCCCATAGACTCAGCACTGCCCATAGACTCAACACTGCCCATAGACTCAGCATTGCCCATAGACTCTGCACTGCCCATAGACTCAGCACTGCCCATAGACTCAGCACTGCCCATAGACTTAGCATTGCCCATAGACTCAGCACTGCCCATAGACTCAACACTGCCCATAGACTCAGCATTGCCCATAGACTCTGCACTGCCCATAGACTCAGCACTGCCCATAGACTCAGCACTGCCCATAGACTCTGCACTGCCCATAGACTCAGCACTGCCCATAGACTCAGCACTGCCCATAGACTCAACACTGCCCATAGACTCAGCACTGCCCATAGACCCAGCACTGCCCATGGACTCAGCACTGCCAATAGACTCCGTACTGTCCATAGACTCAACACTGCCCATAGACTCAGCACTGCCCATGGACTCAGCACTGCCCATAGACTCAACACTGCCCATAGACTCAGCACTGCCCATAGACTCAGCATTGCCCATAGACTCAGCACTGCCCATAGACTCAACACTGCCCATAGACTCAGCACTGCCCATGGACTCAGCACTGCCCATAGACTCCGCACTGTCCATAGACTCAACACTGCCCATAGACTCAGCACTGTCCATAGACTCAGCACTGCCCATGGACTCAGCACTGCCCATAGACTCAACACTGCCCATAGACTCAACACTGCCCATAGACTCAGCACTGCCCATAGACTCAGCACTGCCCATAGACTCAACACTGCCCATAGACTCAGCACTGCCCATGGACTCAGCACTGCCCATAGACTCCGCACTGTCCATAGACTCAACACTGCCCATAGACTCAGCACTGTCCATAGACTCAGCACTGCCCATGGACTCAACACTACCCATTGACTCAACACTGCCCATAGACTCAGCACTGCCCATAGACTCAACACTGCCCATAGACTCAGCACTGCCCATAGACCCAGCACTGCCCATGGACTCAGCACTGCCCATAGACTCCGCACTGCCCATAGACTCAGCACTGCCCATAGACTCAGCACTGCTCATAGACTCAACACTGCCCATAGACTCAGCACTGCCCATGGACTCAGCACTGCCCATAGACTCCGCACTGTCCATAGACTCAACACTGCCCATAGACTCAGCACTGCCCATAGACTCAGCACTGCCCATGGACTCAGCACTGCCCATAGACTCAACACTGCCCATAGACTCAGCACTGCCCATAGACTCAGCACTGCCCATAGACTCAACACTGCCCATAGACTCAGCACTGCCCATAGACTCAGCACTGCCCATAGACTCAGCATTGCCCATAGACTCAGCACTGCCCATAGACTCAGCACTGCCCATAGACTCAGCACTGCCCATAGACTCAGCACTGCTCATAGACTCAACACTGCCCATAGACTCAGCACTGCCCATGGACTCAGCACTGCCCATAGACTCCGCACTGTCCATAGACTCAACACTGCCCATAGACTCAGCACTGCCCATAGACTCAGCACTGCCCATAGACTCAGCACTGCCCATAGACTCAGCACTGCCCATAGACTCAGCACTGCCCATAGACTCAGCACTGCCCATAGACTCAGCACTGCTCATAGACTCAACACTGCCCATAGATTCAGCACTGCCCATGGACTCAGCACTGCCCATAGACTCCGCACTGTCCATAGACTCAACACTGCCCATAGACTCAGCACTGCCCATGGACTCAGCACTGCCCATAGACTCAACACTGCCCATAGACTCAACACTGCCCATAGACTCAACACTGCCCATAGACTCAGCACTGCCCATAGACTCAGCACTGCCCATAGACTCAGCACTGCCCATGGACTCAGCACTGCCCATAGACTCCGCACTGTCCATAGACTCAACACTGCCCATAGACTCAGCACTGCCCATAGACTCAGCACTGCCCATGGACTCAGCACTGCCCATGGACTCAACACTACCCATTGACTCAACACTGCCCATAGACTCAGCATTGCTCATAGACTCAGCACTGTCCATAGACTCAGCACTGCCTATAGACTCAGCACTGCCCATAGACTCAGCATTGCTCATGGACTCAACACGCCCCATGGACTCAGCATTGCCCATGGACTCAGCATTGCCCATTGACTCAACACTGCCCATTGACTCAACACTGCCCATGGACTCAACACTGCCCATCGACTCAGCACTGCCCATAAACTCAACACTGCCCATAGACTCAACACTGCCCATAGACTCAGCATTGCCCATAGACTCAGCATTGCCCATATACTCAGCACTGTCCATAGACTCAGCACTGCCTATAGACTCAGGACTGCCCAGACTCAGCACTGCTCATAGACTCAACACTGTCCCTGTACATTAACCTCCTTCCATTCCTCTCTTAAAGCCTCACCTCTTCTTCATCGCACATTCTATTCCCTCCCCTCGCCCTTCCACGCCTCCCATCCCTCCCTCACCCTTTGGTGACCCCTAAGCCCCCTCGATCGCTGTCACTCATTCCTCGGTCCTTGTAGCACGGCCCATTCAACTACAGTACAGCAATTTGTCACCGTTTTGTAAGCTGTGCTAAGCGCCTTGAATAAAGGCGCTCAATAAATGTAGATTAGATAGACGTTTTGTGATCATTTAGAGCTGTTCTAGTGATACGAGTCTTCCGTGAAAATGTGGCTTTGGGAAAGTGCATTCATGCGATGATTCGTTGTGTTAAGTGGTTTAATGCAAATCAATGGTATTGAGTGAGTTTATTATGAACCATTAGTACAGTAATGAAACAACGCAACACGATGCCTCGGTCGGCGGCGGGATTCGTGGAGACGAACGAGAGGCCACGGCGCGGCGGTTTTAAAACTTTATTAATTTATAAAATACATGTCTGGGAGTTGCATTTCGCTTTGCTTAGGCACGGGATGTAGCGCAGACCCCTCCTCGTCTCCCGTCGCGTCGCACCCCCAGCACCCCCCCCACCCAGTCCCACCCCCCCACCCAATCCCTTAACCGGTGCCCAACAAATAACTTCACAGCCTGTGGGCAGCACTTCTAAACCGTTTTTTTTTTGCAATACAGCTTTCCAATGCGCGTTCGGGTAACTTGACGATTGCGTTGTCGTTCGGCGCGACGATGTCCGACGTTTAGCTCCACGTACCGAGAGGATGAGCTTCTTCGGGAACTCGGAACGAAGCAGCTCCCCCCCCCCCCGGGCGCGCGGTTGCGAAACGTCGGACGTCGAGCTCTCGAAACGACGACACGAGCGGAAACCCGAGCACAGCACAACCGCGACGATAGAAAAAAAATCCTTCGCGGTTTATATATTTGTTGCAATTTAATATCCGCTTCGAAGAACTAACGTTGGTTACTCATGTGTTGTGTACGCGTGACAATTCTGTACCATAGCTTCACGCAAGAGACGCTGCCGCCAAAGATCGCCGGGAGGTTGCGAGCACCTGGCAGGCGCAGGGGCTGCTGCAAGGTCGAGCACAGGCAAGACTTGTCCTGGCTCACCCAGGTGTGGCAGCTCCCCTCTGGCTCCTCCCCCCCCCCAAGCCTGTGGCGTCAGTGTCGGTTGATTGGTTGGTAGCCACGTTGCTCGTATGTATGTTGAAGTTCTTTCGCACCGTACATAGCCAACTGTGCTAATCAGAGGTGCCCGCAAAGGAGAACAAACTTAAGACACATTGGCCCTGACTGCAAGTGTGGCGTGTGCGTGGGGAGTAGTGGCACAGTGGATAGTGCACTCCGGTATGAACCTGGCAGGCCCGAGTTTGATTCCCACTCATGGCCAATACCTGTAGTGATTATCTGAACTGGTTCTGGGCATCCCCTATGTCGACTCGGCCTCAAATGCTGTCCACCGCCTCTTGTGCTGTGCCAGTCTTCATAGGTGCTCGCAAACAGCGCTTGCCTCAACAGTCTGTTAAAAGGCTATACGGGGGGGGGGGGGGGGTCTGTGTTTGTGAATGACAGTACTGTACTGTGTAACTCGGTTTTGTGTGTATAATGGCATGCGAGGGCATATTAGTGTGCTGCTGCCTATGATACTATCAATAAGCTTGGGCGTTGGGCTATTTTTCAAGCTAATCACCTTCGGGTGTGAAATCTCCTCTGGCCCATATATTATTTAACATCTATTTTGACCATGTAAATGGCTGGGTCATGTACTTCACATTGCCAAAGCAGCTTTTGTTTGGCCGGATCGAAGGTTAATGGGCATGGTACATGCTTGACGAGATGGACCGGTGGTACGTACGGGAAGATGTGGCACTTGTTGACACCAGCAGTGTGAAGATGGCCTCTGCTTTGAAGGCTATTGGGATGCTAGGCAGTGGAGCGACGCTCACAACGAGCAGAGCTGCTCAAATTTAGCAGTTGGCACTATGGGGTGCACAGGTGGTGCATCTGTCATCTCAGTCAACCCATGGCACCTGGGGTCTGTCCTGAGACCTTCCAGCAGCTGAGCCTTCTCCACTTCTTGTGACCTCAAAGTGCACTCAGCCTGGCACAAGTGCTGTGGTGATGTCGCCGCCACTTAGTGGCGAATGGCAGCTGTTGTGTGTATTCGTGCGAGTACATGTGTGTGTGTGTCACACCAATCCTGAGGTGGCTGGCTCTCTTTAAACTGTGGCTCCCACCCGGCCATGGCTGGCTCTCTTTAAAGCGCATGTGGCTCCCGCCACCTCAAGTGTGTGTTGCTCTTGCCCGGACATGGCTGGCTCTCTTTAAAGCGTGTGTGGCTCTTGCGCTTTCTCTGCCGTGGCGGGTGCAAGAAGGCCTCCTCCTCATGCGTGCACGCTCTCTACCATCACAGCTTGAACGATGCGAATGTGGGGCTCTGCACGACGCAGGCTCTCGACACAGCGTAAAATACAAAATAACACAAACGTCCGTTTAAAACGCCCGCGAAGGAATTCTAATACTTGCGGCTCCCCCTCACCAGAGCCCAGTGGTTGTGAGATGTCCGTATCACGTTTTAACGAGGCACGATTTCAACTGCCGAGAACCGCTTACGTACAACATATACGAGTTGAAAATCATCGATTGCGATGGAGCATGATTGGATTACGGTGTCATGAGCGTTGAATGTTAATGAAATTGGCAAATCGCTGCATCGTTACGCGCCGAGCTGCAGCCACCTTGACGGGCCTAGGGAGCATTTCCTCGCTCGCCCGCTCACCATCTCACACCCACACACTTGTGCCCCAACCTCATTTTGTCACCCATCTATCCACTCATTCATTGACCCAACTTCCCCACATAGAAATGCAAAAACCCAAACAACAGCGAACAGGAGGTGGCTGCAGCTGATTTGCACCACCGCTAGGTGTGTGTACAGGTGAGGTGTGTTTGTGTGTGCATGTGTGATTCACTATATCTTCTCGTCCAGTCGCCGGGAACTTCACGCGCTCTCCTCTGCGTGGAGTCTATTGTCAACTGACCATGTTTCTCTGACCTTTAAACACTAAGTCTGCCGCTACCCGAGACGTGGTGGGAGCTCGCTGTCCCGGCTTGACTTTTGGGCGTCGGGGTCAGACCCCACCCCGGAATCCATCGTGGTGTCAACAGTCTGAGGGCCTTCGGAACAAGCCTTCCTGACACCTGCAGCAACACCCGGAGAGGCACAGGCAAGCGCATACACGACTGTGTTACCCCATTGCGTGTCACCACCCCCTCATCGCAAATCACCTCCCCATCATGCATCACGTCACTGTCGCGCATCACATCACACTGTCGCGTGTTACCCCGAAGCGTCCGCCACTCACTCGGTGTAGGTGTGCACGGGCGTGTGGGGCAGCGGGCTGAGCGGGTCGGCCGTCGTGTACTTGATGTTCGTGTACTCACGCCCCTTGATTTTACTCCACTGCGAAGCGGCACATGCAGACACACAAACACGCAGACACAACACGGTCAGCGGTCCGTTATTTAACCGCTCACAACACATGGCTTTGCTCGAGATAGGGAGAAACTTCACAACGTTCGGTTGGTCGTAGCCAGAGATGCTCAGTAACAGCGGTCCTGTGGTGGTGATGGGCAGGTGCAGGTGGTGTGACGGCAGTGGTGCTGGTGGCTACTGCCCCCACCTGCTCCTCCAGCATGCGCTTCTGCAGCGTTTCGATGTAGTGCTGCACGGCACGGTACACAAACTTGTACTGCGCCTCCGTCTGCACCATGCCCGAGCGCTGGCTCCGCACCATCTGGATCGTCTTGGGGATGTCAATCTCGCAGTCGAGGCCTTCCGGGCACACACAAAGACCCCCCAGGTAGCCTTAAACAGGCTGTTGGAGCAAGTGCTGTAAGCGAGTAGTGCCTACAAATGCCGGCATGGTACATGCGGGGGGCCAGTGCCACGCACGGCCCCCCCTTGATGAGCTGACCCAGAAGAGGCCCAGGATCGGTTCAGATATCCACGACCGAAATTGGTTATGAGCGGGAATCGAACTCGGGTCGCTGGGTTCACCGTGCAGCGAGCTAACTGCTACACTACCGCTCCCCACACATAGACCGCATGACCGTGGAAGGCATGTGATGCTACCTTTTTGCCTGATGATGCCCAGGAGGATGTCGATGACGATGACGGTTCCTGTTCGCCCAATGCCGGTGCTGCGGGAGGAGACAGAACCAGCAGCCCCCGCGTCACTCGCCCGCTCCACGCTGCTATCGCCACAATCGACTCCTCCAGCAGTAGCGGTTCAACCGCCGCGGACACAGAGGCACGTCTCCCACGATTATTGTTACGTTTTTTGTGCAGTTTTTCCCCCCCCAATATCCTGACTGTGCCATCGCAATGCAGGGCGACGTTTCGTGCAACAGCCCACCCCGCCTCTCCACTTGTTCTCCCCACGATTCCCCCCCCCCCTTTGCGCGTCTCCCCTCCCCGCACGTCTCCCCGCTGCTACCTGCAGTGCACGACGACGGGCCCGGCGAGGGGCAGCCCCTCCTGCCGCTTGTTGACCTCCTCGAGGAAGCCGAGCACCCCCCCGGGCTCCCCCGGCACGCCGTGGTCCGGCCACGCCAGGTACTGGTACTGCCACACGCGGCGCACGTCCTCTGGCTGTGCCCATTCACGGTAGGAGGGGGTGGGCACGTGGTTGACGGTTAGAGTTACATCATCCCTAAGAGGTTGAGTCCCATTAGCCGACCGACTTTCAAAGCAAACCTATTAATTCTTAAAGCAGTTTTGAAAGACTGTAAGCGGTCAAAGGAAAGCAATCAAGTGGAAACGGGGGCAGGACACGTCACGAGAACTGCTGACGAGAGATGAAATTAAATCCGGAGTGGAGTTCGGAAGCCACGGACTGGACACGAGCAACTGGGGGAGAATCAAGTTTCAAGTTGATTTTGGTAAACCAGCTGAGAACACAAGAGACCAGGATAGCCTCATTTGCTAGAGTGCCTGGGGCATTAGTCTGCCAGCAAGGAGTGCAGGGGGTGGGGGTAACGTTTGCTGCTTTGCGAATAATCCCAGTTGAGTAGTTGGCAGAGTAATTTCCTTATTCGGCAAATTCGGAAGCCAAAGCCAACACTCAACAGCTTACTCTTGCGAACGACATCAGGGGATCTTTAACGTCCATCATTGAGTGCAGCAGACGGCGTAGACCATTATTACACCTACAATAATAGTCAGGGCAGACGTTGGATTTGAAACAAACAACCAGCTGCGAACACTCTTTGGCTGGGCCATGTTACACACCCCCCCCCCCCCCCAAGTAAAATAGCTTTTGCCCAGCAGTGAGAGGTTACAGGCTGACAATAACAAGCATGCAGTAAAGGAGTTAAAAAAAATCGGGAGCCACAAGCGCCTAAAGTTCTCCACCCGCCCCCGCCGTTTTTCTGTTCCGTCCCCAGAAATCATCGACAGGTTCATTGCACTTAAATCAGAGCTGCTGCTGGCGGGCACACCACGACAGCGGGAGGTCTTGGCTGTGATGGCACAGCGAGCTCTAAATGAACGCCAGCTGATGTGCGGAGGAGGGCGACAACAAAGCGCTGCACGTAGCGGGCAGGAGGCCTTACCGCGTCGACGCGATACAGGTCCAGCTCCCGCACCACGTAGTCGTAGGCCTGGATCTCGTCCACAGAGCGCACGCACAAGCCCCCAAACTCCTGCGCGCCGCCCTTGTCTGGCCAGTAGTGCGCACACTTGTTCTGCAGTGGCGGGGGGGACACACAAGGGTTTGGGTTAAGGGTCAATGCAAGCTATTGCGGTATCACTTGAAGAGCATCCATTCGGAATTCTCGGTGTTAATAGAGAATGGCCCCTTAAGTGGATATCTTAGAGCTACCTTCCGAGATCCCTTCCAGTGACCTCTACTCAAAACACTGTAGGAGGTAGTGCTTTCCCAATCTGTTGCATGACTGTCAAAAGTAATATTTCAATTCTCTTGAGCTGGAATTTGGCCATATTAAGCGCAGTACCAAATTTAACGCGATGCTCTTTTTGTGTGCAGGTTCTGATTGGGAACCCAAACAAAACCTCTGAAACCTGGACTCGAACCCAGGACTCCGGGCTGCCGGACCACCTCCAAGGCTCGTGAAAACGTCTAGAGCAGGGGGGGGGGGGGGAGGGTGCCTCACCTTGCCTCTCTCCATCTCCTTGGTCACCATGACGACGATGCGGGAGTCCTCCTGCAGGACCATGCTCCACAGGTCAGCCACGGTGCTCTGCAGGCAGCCCTGCGTGGCGATGTAACGGCGCGGGGCGGTGCTCGGCCCGCGACCGTCAGAAATGTCCGCCTGGGGCCGACGGCGCCGAAGAGAGCGATTCGAACAATTGCCTTCTTGAGTGAGCATCGTGGAAAATGTAATTAGAAAGAAAGCTATGATTGCCAACGTCTTTGAGAAAAGACGACGCATAAAGTACCGTATGTACGTATGTTGAACTTGTTTCGCACCGTTTGTTTAGCCGATCGCACTATTCGGAGATGCGGGGGAAGAACAAACTGAACAAAAAAAAGCAATGCCTAAGAATTGAGTTTTCAATCTAGATTTAAAAGTGCATAGCTCCAGTGGTGCTATGCACACGTGTATTTGGGTGATGTTTTAATTTTGTCTTTCACTCAGGAGGCCTGTACAAATGTAAATGTACGCGGCGATGATTTGTTAACGTTCTCGTCCGTTTCTCTGAAGGCCCGGTTCACATTGTCATTAACCCTGTTGTAGCGAGCACCCCTCCCCCTGATGCATGGGCCAACTTTCTACTGGGGGTCCCCGTAAGGGTGTCGTTTAATAACAAGGTAACATCTTTATCGCCTCTTGTTCTGTTGCCTTCCAATGCACAATGTCTTGTCACAATAAAGGCTCCCACTGTAATATCGTCTCCTGCTGTATCACAGAGGTCGTCCAGAATAAACACCTCCTTAGAGACCCAAGCATTGCACATCCTCCTGGCTTTGGCATTTCTCCTCAGAGCTACTGGTATCACCATCAACCGCATCAGAACATGAACAGGCTGATGCGCACAGCTCCTTCATAATTGTTAAACTAAAGGCAATACACGGTACTGCAATTGTGACCTTGCAACCCAAACTATGGACCATTTACTAAGACCACTGTGGTCCTGCACTCCTTCAACAGAGGAATCGCAAAAAGACGCCAATTCTCTCCTGAACCCCTCTCGCCGTGGCCAGCAGACCTTGACATTGCCAACTATCTCCTGAGCATAGTGCTGCCATACGCAAGAACAGAATATCGCCCGATTGTAAAGACCACCGCCCGTCAGGTCAGCGCGTTCACTATTGGGTTCGGAGGTCATGAGGGACTCACCACAATGAAGTTGGCGTTGATGTAGTCGGAGCCCGGCACGGAGAGGTCCACCTCCCGCAGGATCACCCGCGTGTGGTCAACTACGCACGCACACAAGACAAAGACAAATGTCCTCCCATAGCCTTAACAGACTGTTGGGGCAAGTGCTGTTAGCGGGTACCAATGAAGGCCAGCATGGCACACGCGAAGGTGCTGTGGCTAGAACCACGCCAAGCCGCATATCTCCCCACTCTAGGTACTTATTTTAGGCTGAGTCGACCTACGAAAATCCCAGGACCGGTTCATATAATCATCATTGGTGTTGGCCGTGAGCGGGAATCGAACTCGGATTTCCGGGTTCGTAGTGAAGCGCGCTAACTGCTGCACTCCTGCTCCCCTATACACTCGCCAACGCGTGTACACTCGCACACACTGATGTGCACTCACAGGGCAGGATGTTGCGGTAGCGGTTCTTGGCCTTGTTCTCTGGGCGCTGTCCCTCCTTGCGGCTGTACAACAGCTTGCACTCCTGCTGCTGCAGCGTCTGGAGGTCACCATCACAGGGGGTCAACTTGATACAGTACAACCACAGATATTGCTGCACTGTTGAAGCAGACCACAAGACCCCCAATTTATTATGCGTGGCGGTGGCAGCCGCCGATCAAAGCACCATCCAAGGGTTCAAACCCTGCTTAGTTTCCGGGATGCAAGAAGATTGGGTTGCACTCCTGGAGATTCGCTGAAAGGCGACCGATTTCATTATATTATTTTTACAGATGAAATGATTGCGCGTGCTTGTGCACATGGGAAGTGGGTAGTGTAGCGGTAAGCGCGCTGCACTACGAACCCAGCGACCCAAGGTCGATTCCAGTTCACGGCCACCCGCATCTCCAATTAGCACGGTTGGTGACAGAGTACGAAATAACTTAAACATACAACACGAGTGACGATTATCTGGCTCTCCCCTAGGTCGACTCGACCTCAAATGAGGCCGAGTTGATCTCAAACCTGTTGGGATGTGTAAAACATTGGTACTGGGAGACAAAGGTGGCCTGGCTTGGTGCTGGCCACCCACCCCTTTGTGTACCATGCCATCCTGAAATAGGTACTGCTTGCTAACAGCACTTGTCCCAGCAGTCTGTTAAGGTTACGCGGGGGATCATGCGCACACACATGCTGCTTCGCCAGGACATCGTTGGATCAACCTGTAACGGCCAGATCTAGACAGAACTTCTTTCACATCTGGCGAGGATGGCGCTAGCGGCACTCACCTCAAACTCCTCCCAGAAGCCCTGCTTCTGCTTGTCGGCGTCGGCGGGCGTCTTGCTGAGCTCGCGCACGCGGTGGTCAATGCTGGCCGCGTTGATGCGCGTCGCGTACAGCGGCTGTGCGGGGAAGCGCCACCACACGCACACGTGGGCACAAAACGTACCCAAGCACAAACCCACATACGATCCCGTCATCGCAAGCATGACCCAGTAATCTCAAAAGCTATTGCAACTAATTATGTACGTAACCCATTACTCTACCAATTACAGGTTCGATTCATCGGATAAGGAAATTTGCTCAAAATCTGCATTGGCAAATTCACTAGAACCTGACCAATTGACTACAAACATAGCAATCGATGATACAGTTTAAACGAGTGACAAATTTGATAGATTGTGACAGCTGTAGACACGATTCTTGAAATGTGAGCTCGCGAGAGACAGGTCACCCGGCCGGGGTGGACGATCTTCCCACCTGCTTGAGGTGGATGACGGTGCCAGACGTCTCCACCACGGGGTTCTTGCGGAAGTGCTCCACGAGGTCAGCGAGCGACTCAAACTTCTCCTCTACCCCGACGTCGTATTTTCCCTCCTGGTGGACGTCACAAGGGTCACGGGCAGCCCCCACCTCCGGTCAACCGCTCGACCAACAGCACCGCTCGCAGCACAACCCCTCTCACCACACACTGCGCCGCGCCTCGTCGCCACGTTACCTCTCCCCACACGCTCCCCCCCCCTCTCCCCGCACGTTCCCCCTTCTCCCCAGACGCTCCCTCTATCCCTGCACGCTCCTACCCTTCGCCCACTCCCACCTTCCGCCCGCCTGTCACCCAGCCGGCACGCCGTGCCATCGGTAACATACGGGGGGACCCGCCTTGGGCAATGCCGCCCGTTTTTAGATCGCAAGAGATTTTCACTGCGTCGTTATAAGACGCAAGGTATGCGGCTGCCGCCGCGGTGTGGGGGCTGGCAGCACGTTGCAATTGCATTCCCGAGGTCGCCGATTCCACCTCCCCGTACGGCAGTTTAAGCAATGGGCACGTTTCTTTAAAGTTTCATCAAGGATGTCTCGCAACCAGGTGACCAACTGCCTCACTGCCGTCTGCGAGTACCAGAGCAACATATATTGCACAAATTCCACGTAGCGTGCAACACATGCGAATTGCGACAAGACAAAGAGAGAGGAGGGGGGGATTGCAAGCCGTTCATCACCCATCATTGCGATCGATCTACGGAGTACAAATGCGGACAGGGCCACGGTGCCGAGACGACGCCAAAGCCAGTAATCCTATGGTGGAGCCATCGGTGTTGATGGTGGCGAACGCCCGTGATCCAACACTTTGGTACGCAAGGGTTGGTGGATCACGCGTGCTGATTTGCGCGAGGCTTCCCTGGATTTAAGAAACATTTTAAAACGATGCCTTCGCTCTTACGAGCGTCCCACCTTGGGACTCCCAAATTATTTCTAAACTAACTCGATCAAAAAGTTAACTCGTCCTAGTTTGTCTCTCGGGGTGCAGTGTCACATTCGTTCATCGGTTAACATCGATTCTTAAGCTCGCGACGCATGATTCAAATATGCGCGTGTAAGAATCAATCGACGTCTTGCGATTCGTGCAGCTTGTAGGCAATGGACGCATGTCTTCCCCGCTGCAGCCACTAGAGGAGCTGTCATTCACCGCAATCTGTACAACTGCCCCCCATCACCCCCTCGGTGGAGACAGTGAATAGATGATCTCTTTCAACCTCACTATCATGATCACAGTATTATGCTTGTTTCCCCAAGAAAGCCTCACCAAGTCTCAGGACTCTTTCAGGGAGGGTCTTGCCAAGTTGTTTGCATTAGGGGGGCGATTTTGCCGTTGTGTGTAATGCCATCTGCAGGTAATAGTCTTACAGAATTGGGGATGTTCGGCCAATGCTTGTTACATAATGTTTTCTTTTAGCTATGGGGGTAAAAAAACGTGGAACCCAGAGAAAACTCGCACAAAACAGGGGAGAACATATAAACACATACAGGTGGTGGAAATCCTAAAAAAAAAGATTACCACTCTGGCACTACCAAAATGAAACCAGGATATTTAGCACGAGTTATTAACGATATCGCCTGGTATACAGGAGGTTGTGAGTTTGATCCCGACCCTGACGCCTGTATATTTGGAGTTTGCGTGTCTCTCCGTGGTCGTGTGGATATTTCTCCAGGTCCTCTGGTTTTTCCCTCCACATTTAGAATCAACAACAACACGTTTAAGAGTATTTGCCTGCTGTAAATTTCCACGTGATAAGCCACTTCTTTGAGCTATCATTCGTTGCCAGGTCGCTTCTGAAAAAGATGCTTTACAGCTCAGTGGGCCTTACCTGCTAAAACAAAGAAATTTGGTGGCGCGCGTGTGTGACTGCGTGTGTGTGACCGCACGCGCGCGTGCGTATGACCGTGCGCGTGCACGCTCGTGACTCACCAGGCAGCGGATCATCATGTGCGTCACCTTGGGCTTCACTTCGTTGTTCTCCACGCGCTCCTCGCCCGTGCGCACCGACAGCACGAAGTCGCCCGGCTTGCTCTGGCTCTCGCGCACCAGGAAGCTGCCGCCCTTGCCCTTCTCGGCGAGCAGCCGCTCAGCGTCCTTGCCGGAGATGTGGCCGTGGAACCACCTGCCGACCGCGGCACGCACAAGCGGCACGACATGCCCGAACGCTCAAAATTCGAGCCGCCCTTGCAAGGAGCAAGGTGAACCATGTGCCTTGTTTGTCTCAGCGGCGTTTATCTCACCTGCCGAGTTAAATTAACGGACACTGACCAACATTAAAGAAACCATGCTGGCACAGATGCTTTTGCTGGGGGATTCATTTCCCACAATTATTTCCGTGCCGCTGTTTCGACTGGATTAGTTGACACTTGATTAGTACTGTATAGTAGTAGCCACAGCCAAAGCGAGAGGTTTACTGGTGTGTTGCGTGCATGAAATATTGTCCAGGTTACTGATCTGAAAAGACCTGGCAAAAGGCCCCGATTGAAGCCCCCCAGGCAATTGGCTTCCGCTCATTCCTGAAATGTACCCACGAATGTAGGGTCTGCCTACTTCCTTGTCCCTTTCCTCCACTCATTCCTATCCCGGGGCCATGTCAACATCCACTCCACGTTCCTTCGCAACCTGGCTCACTACTTGGGAACCCACGTCTTATCACGTCCTAGTGCCGACATCTTAATAATAATCATCATCATTGGATTTATATAAAATCACTCCGTGTGGCGTCAGGCGACCTGGCGATGGACCGTAAGGACCTCTAGGCCCTGCTGGGTAATGCGATATTGATATTTGCGATATTTTGTGCAAACACTTCTTAAAAATTACACTGAATTATGACCAAATAAACCGACCTCTTGACGCCGTGACCCCCGCAGCGCTCGTTGGCCAGGTCGGAGCAGTTGAGGGGGTAGCGCAGCTCGATGACGTCGCCGTCGCGCTCTCGCAGCTGGCCCTGGTTCTCCGTGTAGAACTGTACGAGCTCCGCGAGCGTCGCGAACTTCTCGCCCCCGTACAGGTCGTAGTAGTCGCCCGTGTTCTGGATCTTGATGTGCCGCACCTCGTCCCTCTGCCTGCGCACGCCAGGCGGTCACAGGGAACGTCAACGCGCCACGCCGGTGGGGGCGGCGGCCGACGGTTTTACCGCCGGGGAAAACCAGCGAAGTGCTGCTCGAGATGAACCACCAAATTGGTGACAGAATCGCTAAGTTGGCAACGCTGTGTCCCCCTCCTCAGCTCCCTCCTGCATCCCAACGCTGCCCAAACCCGCTCCGTACCTCCTAACATCATTACACTATAAAACACATTGACTTAATGCTTTCGTGACTGCAGGAATTCATATTCTTGGGTCTTTCGGTAAAGTCACGTAGATAGGTAAGACCCAAGAATACTATTAAAAAAAGAAAGACCCAAGAATACTACAAAAGACAATTTTTGTTCCTGGGTAGTATTATTTCATAATTATGCCTAAATAGTACAGAAAATGGCTATTTTTCCCCACAAACTTTGCTTTTGTGATATTTTGAAATGTACCTATTTTCAATGAGAAAACGGGCGAATTTGTGTCTTTTCGTTCACATAAAGTCAGAAAAAAACCATGAATCAAAATGTACATGTATTTATACTAAAGTCATGCAAAAATTACTACAAAAGATTTAGAAGTGAGTATTTTTTCGAGATTTACGATTATACTGTAAATCACTTTCACAAATCAGCCCTCAAATGTAGTCTCTCATCATATTCTCGTTATATTGTCCTTGGTAGCGGCGTTCAAAATCCAGTATATTCTGGTGGAAGCGATCGCCTTGCTCCTCCGAGTAAGCTCCCATGTTCTTGAATTTATCAAGATGAGCATCAAGAATATAGACTTTGAGGGACATCCTACAGACCATTATTTCGTAGTTCTTCACCAGTCTCACCAGCTCTACATAGTTTTCGACCTTGTGATTGCCCAGGAAGCCACGAACCACTGTGACAAAGCTGTCCCAAGCTGCTTTATCCTTACTAGTGAGGTTCTTGGGGAATTAATTGCACTCCAGGATCTTCTTTATCTGTTGTCCGACGAAGACACCGGCTTTGACCTTTGCCTCAGACAGCTTAGGGAAGAAGTCTTAAAGGTACTTAAAGGCTGCTGACTCCTTATCTACAGCTCTGACAAATTGTTTTAGAAGGCCCAATTTGATGTGCAGTGGTGGCATCAACACCTTCCGGGGGTCCACCAGTGGCTCCCACTTGATGTTGTTCCTCCCCACAGAGAACTCGGTCCGCTGTGGCCAGTCCCGCCTGTGGTAGTGCATCTTGGTGTCCCTGCTGTCCCAAAGGCAAAGATAGGGAAACTTGGTAAAACCGCCTTGGAGACCCATCAGGAATGCCACCATTTTGAAGTTTCCGATGACCTCCCAGCCGTACTCATCATACTTCAAGGCATCCAGCAAGGTCTTGATGCTGTTGTAATCCTCTTTGAGGTGCACCGATTGAGCCAGGGGAAGACACGGGTACTTGTTACCATGATGGAGCAGCACTGCTTTGAGGCTCCTGGATGAGCTGTCAATGAAGAGGCGCCACTCATTCTGGTTACAGGCGATTCTGATTGCCTCGAACAGACTGGTCACATTGCGGCAGAAGCAGAGCCCATCTTGACGGGTGAAGAAGCTGCAAAAAGGTTGGTGACGCTTCCTCTGATCTGCAACTTGCACACTTTCATCCAACAAGTTCCACTGCTTGAGCCTAGATGTCAAAAGCTTGGCATTGGACTGGGTGAGACCAAGATCTCTGATCATGTCGTTGAGGTCTTTTTGGTTGGGGTGGTATGGGTTTCTCTCCTCAGCTCCACCTCTGAAATTGCATCTGGATCTACAGCATCTTCCTCCCTCTCTGACTTGCCGCTCTGTTCTAAAGACTGCTGCACTATCTCCAGAGGAGTGGGTACGGAGATCTCATGGCAGTGTGGCACCGAGGTGATGGATGAAGGAAGGTCCGGATACGTGATAGCAGGTGCATTATTGCCAGTCCGACGTTTGGAAGGGTCCACCATGCAGAAATAGCAGTTGCTTGAGTGGTCAGTGGGTTCCTGCCAAATTCTTGGGATAGTGAACTTCATGGCTCTCTTTTCCCCTCTGTACCATCCTACAAAAATACATTTACTTCACCCATGACTAATGTGTAAGAGATTCTCGCAACATTTTTCATATATGATATATATTTTTTCAATAACATTGAAAATTGTAAAATATTTTTCAATTAGAAACTTTAACAATTTAAAATTTTTTGACGAATTTTATAATATAAAATTCCGAGCAACAATTGTCCATCTAACCTTCCAGAGTGTTTTTGCATTGCTCGCAGGTGAAATGAGGTACCCAGGGTTTGCCTTGATCCCCGAGAGGCATGCCGAAATATGCCTTGTAGGCCTCACACATCTTAGCAGATGCTTCCAGAGTCCTTTTCCACTCTTGTCTTGATAAATTGCCCGCAGACATAGCAAAATGCGTCTGCCGGATGCTTGCAGCCTCTTGATGCCATCTCAGAAAAATTCAGCTATGTATCTACTGAGACAGCTGGAACTAAATTGAACTAGTGGGCTTAAGCCCTCTGTATTTATACTACTATTTATATTACTAGAAAGTTATAGAATGTTGTAGAAGTTACTCCAAGTTTACTCAGCACTGAATCTATCTGGAATTTTCTGGAAAATAGGTAAATTTCAAAATATCACTGTCCTGGTCACAAAAGCAAACGTTTATGGGGAATAAAAGCTATTTTCTGTACTTGTGAGGCATAAGCAATTAGGAAATAACACTTACTACCCAGGAACAAAAAAAAATTGTTACACAGTGTTATCAGCCATGATCAATCCACTGAGTTACAGGCCTACGATGCAACAATCCACCCAGCAACGGCTTTGCTCACTGTAGCCAATCATCCAGCCAAGAAGATCCGGCCTTGACGCTGGCCTTCAACAGCTCCCGGCCTTGGTCTCACCTTGGCCTTGTGGCTTTCGGACTTGACCAGGGTTTTGGACTTGTAGGTCCTGTGGCCTTGAATCCAAGACTGGTCTCATCATCATCATCACTTCATATATAGCCTGCACCTCCCATGCAGTACATCTCGAGACATCTAGCAGCAGGTCACCCCCCAGTGGCAGCTGTTCCTGTGAGGCCCAAGGTGAAACCAGCACCTGCCCAAAAGTAGGCATTAGTCTGCCAATAGGCAGAGAAATTTGACAATTTGGACCGTGATGACGGCACACGTGGCCTGCTCTTTGAATAACATCAAAGGATGTGTACCTTTGATCAATAAAGCAACGGTATTAACTGGGGCTGCCGCTAGACTTGAATCGCGAACCCCATGCAACGAGCAGCAAAACGTGCTCCTGCTTGGACCGTGTCACTGTTCCCGAACTGAGGTCATGTCTTTTAATCCACACAGCGGGTGGACGGGACACAAAGGTCAGGTGAGCCTCTCACCGCACGGACAGGGTGAAGTCGCCCGGGTTGCTGGAGCTGGGCCGCACCAGGAAGGAGCCGCACACTCCCCGCGTCATCAGCAGCTGCTCAGCCTGCAGCCCCGTGATGTGCGGGTGGAACCATCTGTAAGGACGGGCGGTGGCGCAGGTGAGGATACAGGTGTGGGTGAGGGAGTGGTGAGATTATATAATCAAAAGGTAAGGGTGAGGATACAGCTAAGCAGACATGGTGAGCCTGGATATGAGACCACCGGGGTTGTTGTAGGCGTGGGGCTGCGAGGTGGCCAGGAGATGCGAATGATGAGCGGTCACCCCCCCCCACCCCGCTCGTCGACACCGATGGACTTCGTGGCCAAACGTGCGGATTGTAGCAGGAGGCATCTGCAGGGGTTGAGTGTTACCTCCTTCGTAAGCGTGGATTTTCTCTGGGTACTCCCACACGTAAAAACACTTAATGGAGTTGGCCAAAAACATCCCAATGTGTAGGACCACCACGGAGCTTGGCGCAGCTTCTGGTTGCCCTTCCCACTCGTCTGTGGTTTCCGGCGCCCTGGATCATTCTCTCTCTCTGAACGTAAACTGCACGTGTTACAAATAATAGATTATGAGAATAGCACCATAACCACCACCATCACCACTTCGGCCACCATCATAGTGACCTCTATTGGCCAGTCGCAGCCCTGAAATCAGGTCAAGGTCAGAATGTGACGCGAGGTCTGGTGAAATCAGGTGAGATCAGTTCGTCCAAGGCCATGTCGGATGAGGTGAGGTCAGCTGACCCCATAAGCTGCGGTCAACTTGCATTGCGAAGATTTCGCCTCAAGCATACTGCACTTTTGTCACTGAAAATGACTCACCAGCACTGACCATCGTGGTGAAGTATGGTCAAACAACCACGACCGACACGGAGCAGGGTCGACCTTCATCCAGCGGTGGCATGCATTACTGTGCAACTGAAAGGGAAATTACCCCCTAATCCACGTGACGGTGCCTTGATGAAATAACACTATGTAACACGATTTTTGTTCCTGGGTATTAAGTGTTATTTTCTAACTGCTTATGCCTCAAAAGTATAGAAAATGGATATTATTCCCCACAAACTTTTATTTTGTGATCTGGAATTTACGTGAAGGAATGACACAAATGCACACCACGTTTTCTCATTTAAAATATGTAAATTTTAAAATATCACTGTCCTGGTCACAAAAGCAAAGTTTGTGGGGAATAATAGCCATTTTCTGTACTTTTGTGGCATAAACCATTAGGAAATAACACTTACTACCCAGGAACAAAAAATATTAATTTTGTTACAGTGTAATAAATTATGCTGAATAAACGTGTATCCCTTGTGTTCATCCAATGCTTGAGGGCCTCCCCACGTCGTGGGGGGGGGGATATAACCATACTTCACCACGCCGGTCAGCCGCGAGTTTAGCAAAGGTGATGGGGAGGAAGGGGACCATACACGTGAGAGCATACAGTACAACACTTGGCAGTTCCGACAGTGCCCTCTGCTGAACAGGTAGAGCCCCTAACATCCCAACAAACAGCTGCTCCCTATGACGAGATGGGACCAGAATCTGGCGAGTTCCGATCTGGGTTTAACGAGGGCACAAACCCCCCCCCCCCCCCCTGTACGCAAGGGGTAGCTCCTGGGTTTGGGCTCCTTGTATGGCACTGAGTGATTATGGGGGACCCGTGGGTAGAGGGATGAGTGGGGGACGACGGGGGACCTGGACCCCTAGGATGGATGGGATGACGACGGAGAGGGATAAGCCCCCCCCCCCACACACACCCCCTGCGCTGGAGGGATATGGGGATAAGAGGGAGTCTGAGATTTAAATCACCGAGGGGGTTCGGCGATAGACCCAGCGAGTCGTGAGAAATCAGCCAAGGGACCGGTTGTCGCAAGGGATGCAGGCCCCAGCGGGCGAAAGGGATGAAAGGAAAGCGGCGAGCCCCGTGGTGGGTCGCCGCTGGGCGCAGGGATCGGAGGCCCTGGCGGCGCCCGTCGAGAGAGATGAAGACGACGCCAGGGGCGCCCGTCGACGGAGGGGCGAGTCGGGCGGCGGGTACGGGATTGAGAGATTGGGAGATTAGAGCTGATGGGGGCCAGGATGAGAGAGGGATGAGAGAGAGATAAGGGCCCCCCCCCCGTTGGAGGGGGTTGGAGGGACGAGGGATGAGCCCCCCACCCCCGCCCCTCGTGTTGTAGGGCCGAGGGGAGGGAGGCTCCGGGATGAGGAGGCCCCGCAGTGGGCCACTGCAGCTCACCTTTGGGAGGTCATTGCTGGGCTCGGTGAGGGCCCGGACCAAGGGCGGCCCAGGGCAGGGGAGGCCGCGGGGCCCCGAGGGGGGGGGAGGGGTAGGGGACAGGGCTAGGGGGGCCAGGGGAGGCCACGGGGCAGGGCCCGGGGCCCGGGATCCGGCACTGTGGGGTCGGGGCCCGGGGACGCGCGGAGCCTGGGACTCCGCGCTTCCGGAGGCGGAGCCGGCTCCGTGCTGCCCCCTAGCGGCACGGGGAGGGGCATGGTCGGGGTGGGGGGGGCGTTGGTGAGGGGCATGGTCGGGGTGGGGGGGGCGTTGGTGAGGGGCATGGTCGGGGTGGGCGTTGGTGAGGGGCATGGTCGGGGTGGGGGGGGGGCGTTGGTGAGGGGCATGGTCGGGGTGGGCGTTGGTGAGGGGCATGGTCGGGGTGGGGGGGGGGGGGCGTTGGTGAGGGGCATGGTCGGGGTGGGGGGGGGGGGCGTTGGTGAGGGGCATGGTCGGGGTGGGAGGGCATTGGTAAGGGGCATGGTCAAAATAATGGTGGGGGGAGGGGGCATTGGTGAGGGGCATGGTCGGAGTGGGAGGGCATTGGTAAGGGGCATGGTCAAAATAATGGTGGGGGGAGGGGGGCATTGGTGAGGGGCATGGTCGGGGTGGAGGGGCGTTGGTGAGGGGCATGGTCGGGGTGGAGGGGGGGCATTGGTGAGGGCCATGGGGCACTTGTCAGGGTGTGGGGCACCGACCATGGGGCATGTTACTGGTCACGGGGCATGGCGCGCATGGGTCGGTCACTGATGGGCATGGATGTGGCATGGCGCATGGGCGGGGCACGGAGTATGATCAATGCATCAACAGGCTACAGGGCATGCACGGGGCATGGCTCGTTGCCAGGGTATGGAGTATCGGCAGGACGCGGATTGCCCATGGGGAATGGACATGGTCGAGGAAAGGGGCACGGGAGCATGGTTAGCACACAGACAGGGCGCGTAGGACATGCAAGGGGCACAGTCAGTACACGTGGCGTGGGGGCATGGGGAATGGTCGGAATCAGGGGGCATGAGGCGCGGGGCAGGTTGGGTGGTGGATATGGTCAGAGCGTAAAGGCATGACCAGGACCAGACGGCATCGTGTTTGAACCGTCAGCATGGGGTGCAAGTTACATTGGTGGCCAAGAGATGGCAGCACAGAAATTGATTGTTGAATAAATAAATGGGCAGAGGTTTGAGTTATCACCTGGCCCACAGAGTATACGTGGTGGGTTGTGTCTGGGCTTTCCGGTTTCCTTCCCACAACAACTAAATGCGTATATTATTTTCTACGAAGTGTAGCATACTAAACCCCTACCAGTTAATCAGGTAGATATGTTTGACTCTACCTCTCTGGCTGCTATGTTACTGGACATCTGTAAAAAATAGCTTTATAACTCACCGGATTCCTCCAGTATACAGTATTCTGTTTCTGACGTGATGTGAGGCAGGGCCATTTGCAGAACGTCGCCTCGTACAATATATTATTCTTTTTTGAAAGTCCACGGCGAATGTGTTGAGTTGCTGTGTGTTTTTTGTGATCATTTACCTCTGCCAACGCAACAGCAGCATCAGCAAATAATTGTTGATATGTCTAAATGTCAGATTCATTTCCACCCCCCAACCTTTAATTACAGCAAAAAAAACAGTAGCAAAGAAAAATCCCAAATGGAAATCCAGTGAACGAGGCAGAGACGCGCAGACATGTGTTTTATTTTTTAAAAATCACACAGAGCAGGACTGTACTTCCCACGACTCACCTTAGCGTGGAATCAACACCATTACCACAAGACTCACACGAAGTGACGATAAGCGTGTACATGAACACAAACATCAACACAACCAACAACAACAACATTGTCAGCAGACACAACAAGCGAGGCTGTGAGCAATGCAAAACATCTGGCTCCTCCCTCTCTCAAAAGGTTTTCTGCAAGAAACTCAATTCATCACTTGGGTAATGACGTGAATGCAAAATATTATCGAGTTAATAAGATTACCTTTGTATATCTATATATAGCAGCGCTCATTTACGCGACTGCATCACACGCTTCGCGAGCCGCAACACACACAGGCGGCGTAGCATGCATGGCGATGTCTGCAGCCAATTAACGAGGGTTTATGCAAATGGTTTTAAACATTGCCTCCTGCCTTTAACGTAGACTTTCCTTTCGTTAACAATGTTGATTTCTCATATTTTTCTCTTTCAAGATTATTTCACTAATATCCCTTCAAATTTAAGTGCTTATGGCATGACATTAAAAAAAACCAATGCATGATTGTACAGGATCATTTGTCAATTCACTGAAAACCTAGATTCAGGTTGCCCCCTGCATACCACACGGTGGTTATTTGACCACATCGCCAGTACGTTGCGGGTTGGTGAAGCGTGGCAGCGCATACGTTGAGTACAACAATGTACCTTGCTCCTCTATATGTGGGGCACGCACCTGGATCAGAGACATTCTGTGTGCGCCTCTCGGGGGTTGTGGGGGGCTACGCAAGACAATGCACGTGAGCTGTGGTGGTCTCGTGAGGTTTCGTCACACGAGGTCACAAAGCAGTTTAGTTCTGCATGGGCGCACGAGCAATCCATTCGTAATTGGTTTCTTTTGGGTTTCGATCGTGACGGTATGTCAGTTTTTAACTACAGCACAACCCTCCACCATCTATCGACAGAGCCACTCACATAAAATTGTTACGTCACGTGGGCAAATGCGCCACAGCTGATTTGGTTTATGAGCAAAATTGGAATGCTGAAAGGCCCAAGCAAAATGTAGGCTATTTCTATTTGTACGAATAAAATGCATATAACAATATAACACTAGCAATCCAGCTACATCGGCAGTTAACATGGACAAAATTGTACCTTGGGTACATTTTTGCCTTTGAAATGAAGACCACGCTGGCATTTATAGAGCCCACAACTAATTAAACGTAGCTCTCCAGGTTGTACTGAACGTTTTTCGGGACGATGTCCGACGTTTTGCTTCTGCAGGAATTCAGCAAAATATCTAACATCACGCTGAAAGCACACCCGGCACAACCCGGCAACACAGCAGCACATCCACGGAAACCGACGCATTAGTTCAATCATATAAAAAACAAATAACTTATTTTAACCAGGAACGCCAGACTGATTACCAACTACAGTACTCTTTTTCAAGAGCGTCCTGCTCCATTGGACATTTATTTTAAGATGTTTTCAGACAATTAATGAGTTTAGTTTATTATGCATGTAGGAGGAACTCGAGCACCCAGAAAAAAAACCATGCGTGGAAGAGAGGGCAACTCAAACCCTGTCCAGATGGAAACAGATGCAGATTAATCAACTTGCTCTACTGCCTTCTCCCAAATGATAAGCCACTTAGTTGAGCTTTCATTTGTCGCCAGGTCGCTTCTGAAAGAGAGCTATATAGCTCAGTGGGCCTTACCTGGTAAGATGAACATAGTTTAGTATACTTTAGTTTCAAAACAGTTATACTGCGTTTATTTAAATAATATATTTATTTGAATTTGGCTATAACATTATACATATTTGATATTTCATTGTACTTTATAAAAATTACGTAAAATATTACATAGTATTAACAAAATCTAACACTGTAATAATTATATTCTTGGTTCCCTTCTACGTGACTTTACCGAAGGAACCAAGAATATGAATCCCTGCAGTCACGAAAGCTTTAAATCAAAACTGTAATAATTATTAGAAATATGTTGTGATTATCTGATATATTAACATTTTTACTTTTACAAGCGTATTTCATTATTACCGTCACTTAACGTGCATATTAACTTACTGTTTGTGAACTTTAAAAAAATAAAAAAAGGAAAAGGAGCAGCCCTGCAATTGCTCGTTCAAGCCACTGCTGTCAGGAGCTCTCGGTAGCCCCTCCAGAGGCAATTTTGGCCTACTCTTCCACGCTGGCCAGAGGTGGCAGCACCCAACACTTTACCCCGCGACACGCGATCAGCCAATCGATTGCATTTGTACCCGTTCACACTTCTGTGTGGACAGAGGCGATGGGAGGTGGATTTAATGAACTTGCCCCATCCTGTCAACTGCCACGCTGGGTGACCACTTCATAAACACACGTGAATTGCGTTTAACGTAATCAACGAATTAAATCAGGGGCTGCTCCATTTCCCATTGGCTGTATGGCGAGGAAATTCCCTGCCCTTGTCATAAATAATTCACAACTTTTTAGTCAAATTCCACACTGAATTCAAATCACAATCTTGCAACACGGCATTTTGCAGTGTTGAAAGGAGATCTGAAACCCACCTTGGAGAGCGACCCAGTAAACATGTCCAACGTTGACATTTGGTTGGAACGTTTGGTCCAACAGTGGCCTAACGTTCAATTTTTACTGGGAAGGTGTGACTCAAAATCCACTTTGATGGCCATTCCCATGAGGGACAATGAATTATTTGACCCATCCCCATCCTACGAGGCTGACCAACATCCACCGATTTGCCAAACAGTAGCTGTCAGGGCCAATCGCGTTTGCATGTTTGTAAATATCAGGTAAACATTCCAACGTTGGCCCCAACGTTACATGTTCACTGAGCAGTAATTTTGCGTATCCCAAGTTTTTGGGCAACCCCTTAGGTCAATTCCACTGGTTTTCTCCAGCGCAAGTCCCTAATAACAATACAACTTTACACTAAAGTTTTGTTCATATCTGATCTCCTTTACGAGAGTTATCGTGGGGCCCCGTACATTTTGGACAAACAGAGCTAATGCACAAATGATTAACTTCATTCGGAAAGTGTTAAAGTAAAAAATAATATGTAAAAATTAAAATCGCCCATTGTCGGCTCAAGCGATCTCTAGGCTTCCCATCTCATCCTGAGGCAAACCCGAGGTGAGCCAGCGTGAGACCGAGCGAGAGACTTGGCACAACGTTCCAAGACTGAAATTGTCATCACTCATGAGACAAGTCTTGTCGGGGGGGAGGAGAAGGGTAGTCCGTGGGGTCAACTGGTGACTGGTAAAGTAGGTGAGGTGTCAAAAGTTAGAGGAATAAGTCTGAGGGGTCAGTAGGCAAGGGGTCACTCGATGAGGGGTGAGCTGGTGTCCCATGGTCCTGTCAGCACAAGGATATGCTGAACTTTTCAGGCTTTATGTTCTCATAGATGGGAAAGGAATTCAGCCTGAGTTCACACAAAAGACAAACATACACACACAGAATCAAGGTCACCCAGCCTCCTGCTACCTCTGATTCCCTAATCCCTCATTCTCCCCCCTGATCCTCTTGCACCCGTCTGCTCCCCTGATCCCTCTTACCAAGGAGCACAGCAACCACTGTAGGTGTTGTTGTGGGTGACTAAGAGACACCCACAACAATATGGACAAAAATCCGCGGTCAGTTTCGAGTCGGCAGTTCTCTCCCCATCAACAACGCAGCGCCAACTCTGACTGGCGCTGCCTTGTTGATGGGGACGCTCTCAGTGACCAAACGGCAGGCTCAGTGCCGAGTCAGTGGCGCGTATCGATCCACCTCGAATTATTACACCGTTACTAGCGTGCCTTAATGAGTAAATTTAGGCTCTCACTTTTTCTCCTCCTTTTGCTCAGTTCCCTCTCCCTCCAGCTTCTGATTCTGTGGAGAAGACAGCGGTGGGAGACAGTCACAGGGCCTCCTGCCGACGCAATCACTCGGCCACCACTCACGGGGTGGTCTCTTCTTCTTCTGCTGCTAATAGCAATAAGTTAGACTTTATAACGTGCACAATTTTTCGTTCAGTCTCAAAAGACAACACGATTCAGAGACGTAGGAAACTGCAGACAAGCAAGGAGGTAGCAAGAACCGCCGCCAATAATTGCCCAAGCTCTGTGATCCTACGACGGGATGTTTGGCCAACTCCATTCACGTGTTCATGCACCCATAGAAAACCCACGCATTGCGAAGTTGGATAACACTCAATCCCCGTACAGATGAAAATTAGTCCCACTTGCCGTACTGACATCGTCCGCCGGCTAAAAGCCAGGAGATGGCGACCTCGCTCCTGGCTACATCAAATATCATCGCGTGTCACAAGACGTGTGACAACGCATGAGTGTATCGATTGAAATCTAAATCGATTCAGAGACATCCTTTTATTGATTCAGAAAACTAAAAACGGACGATACAAGCAGCACGGACGTCTCCATGTGCCGTGCGACAATGCCGTGCGACTTGCCACCTCGTCCTGCACGAACACCTCCAGGCACTTGTACACGAATGCATACTGCGCCTCAGTCTGCACCATCCCCGACCTCTGACTCCGCATGTCCTGGATCGTCTTAGGGATGTCCAGTTCACAATTCAGCCCTGTGGGAGTGAGGAGGGGGATACAGGGGGAGTGGGGATGGGGGGCACAGGAAGGGCAAAGAAATACAGCTTGCATTTTAGGGGGTGTTCGATATTGGGCCTATAGTCCAGTTAAATTGGTCAAGGTGTGATTTACAGCATCATGGTGCGATACAAAGGATCGTTATTTGAAGGGCTGGTGACTCGATTGACGGGATTATCTGGATCATGGCCCAGTTCAATGAAGTTGATCTAGAGTCGATTTACAGGATTAATACTTGATTGAACGGATCATGACTTACTTAATTGAACCATGGCTTGGTTAACAGGATCATGAGTTCATTGAATGGAACAGGGCTCTATTATCTAAATCTCTGATCAATAAATGAATCATGGATAATTTTAATATGACCATGGCTCATGGTTGAATTAATTCGATCGTGCCTCAATTGATAGGATGAAGACTCAATTGAACAAGGGGTCTGTAGAAGGGAGCACTGACATGGCAGAGTGGAGATGCCTCTATTACAAACCAGCCCATGGCTCTATTAAGCAGATAATACGTAACGTAATAATACGTAACGTAATAATACGTAACGTAATAATACGTAACGTAATAATACGTAACGTAATAATAACAATAATAAAACGGCATTGTGCCTCCCCACCTTGCTGCTTGATCTGCTCCTTGAGGGCGTCGATGACGATGAGGGTCCCCGTTCTTCCGATGCCCGCACTGGGAGGAGAGAAACGGCGTCCCCGCGAACGTTAGGCTTCGGCGGGGACACGTTTCGATGGTCGCGGCTGGCCAGACACGAGCGGGCGAGAGGAAGGGGCGAGCGCTGCCCCTGCCCAAGTCGAGCGCTTGCTTCCTCCAGCAGACGGGCACAATCAGCCCACGCGGCTCCCCCAGGAGGACCGGTCTGGTGGAGCCCAGCACTGGTGCAGTATAATCATCACCACCACACGTTGCCGCCTTTGTATTACAATGATAAATTAGTCCCTCGCAGAGGGACGCACGATGCTCAAATAGAAACCCTTACACTTGCACAGAGCCAAATAGACTCGCACAGAGAGCCAAGCACTGGTGCAGTGTAATCATCACCACCATCATCACCATTGCCACAACATGTTATTGCCTTTGTCATTATCAATTAGTCACCTGCAGTGCACGATGATGGGTCCGGAATCCGGCACCGCACTCTGAACCTTGTTGACCTCGTCCAGGAATCGCAGCACCATCCGGGGGTCCTCCGGGATGTCGTGGTCTGGCCAGGCCTTGAACTGGAACTGGTAAACCTCGTGGCCCTGACCGGACTGCGTGGACACAGGCGGGACACAGGACACCACCACCGGTGGAAATCTCGATACGGTATCGCGACTCAGCGGCGCCTCATCGGCGCCTCATCGGCACAGACAGAGAGGCCGGGCCCCACTCGTCAATACCGGCAAATGTAAATAAACCATAACGGTACAAACCTGCTCATTATAACTTGCAATAATCATACGTCTCATTGTGGAGAATAAAAATAACGAAATACAATAAATAAGCTAGTCAATACGCACCTGTCGACACATATGTCTCTCCACATAAAAATTAAGTTATATTTTACATAACCCATTGGGCGCACGGCCTTCTGGGAGTGTTTCTTTTTTCAACAGCATTGGTTTAATACAAAAAAAATACTCTCTGGACCGGCCTGGACATTTCGTGTCTCATCAGCAGGGTCGGGTCTATTACTTGAATAAATGCTCGTGAACAGCCATAATTTTACAGGCAAGGATTCTCTCTTCACGATATGGAGACCTAATTAGAGTCAGGCTTACTTACAGAATGTAGAATCATAATAAGGTTTCTTTTGGGTTCGACCGCCTTAATATACATGTGTCGTTAAACCCACCACGACCCGACACAGACAATTAGTAAGGTTTGTCACGTAACAAAACGTGCCAATTAGTTACGACTTCAGCACACCGGTGAGTTGGAGAGTAAACCCACAACATTTACAATTCAAGTACGAAATTCATTTATATTTACACGATCTAACCCAAAATAAACCTTTATTATGGATAATATTGGTCGCGAAAGTCGACGCATTTAACTGAATGTAAATTTCATACAGCCCCCAGCCCCCCTCCTTCCCCCCAACCCCCCACCCACAGAGGCTTCCATGCCCAGCCGCATGATTAATCACCGGCCACCACTGTTGGATTTAATGAAAGTTCCCTCTCCATCTCGCGTCTGAGATCAGCTGCATTCACGCGATTGGACACTGAAATGTTCCGACTTGTGTTGACATTTTCAACGGTGCCCTGAAAAACGTTATAACCCACAAAATCTCATTATCCAGAGAGTAAACAAATGATTTGGTGCGGCTGCTTGCTGCTGCTGCGTTGGCAGTAGTGCATAAGCACAATTAACAAACAGAAACCTCAACACATTCATCAATAATAACTGTGTGCATCCTTAACGGGGGAAAAAAATACAAAAGGTGACGTTTCGGGCAACGGCCCTTCTTCATAGCGCAGTAGAGAGTAGACTTGTGATAGCTTTCATTCTCCGCAACGCAAATTATATTATAATTTTGAGTTACGTATTACATCATTTTCCATGAAACCAGTGCCCATATCTAACATCTGGCAAAATAATTTGCACTGGGTCATGAAAGCATGACTCTACCGATGAAGCACCGAATGTCAAAACTGGCCCAGAGTTCGCTTGTGTTGAACCAATGCCGCTGAAATCATGCACTCCCAGAAGGCCGCGCGTGTGGCTGATGGGGTGTGTAAAAAAACAAAAGTTACATTTCACTATGCAGGCGTACTGTATTTATTTAGACTCGTGATTTAACCGATCTCCGAGGTCTTTGTTCGGCCATCGCCAGCTCCTATAACGGAATTCACACCGAGTCTTCGTACGGGGGCGAGACAGAGAGAGAGGGAGGAGAGGGGGGGGGCGAGTCCGCGGTGTGCGCGCGTGCGTGGACTCACGCGGCCGACCACGGTGACATGCAGCACCCGCACGGTGAAGTGGCTGCTCAACCGCTCCTCGTCGCACCGCACGATCACGCGGCCAAACTGCCGGTGGGAGCCCACCTCCGGCCAGTAGCGGAAGCATTTGTTCTGCGCGGGGCAGGGCCGGAGTGGGGACGGTGACAGAGGGGGGAAGAGGGTGAGAAAGGGAGAGAGCCACGAAGTGCGGAGGAGAGCCCTTGTCCACCTTGGCTCTCTCTGACCAAAAACATGCCATCCCCCACCCCCCCGCAAATATTTCCCCCAAATGATAAAATACGGATTTAGACTCATAAACGCGTCACTGTCACACGGCTGTCCGCTCACCCTCCCCGAGAGAGAGAACGACTCGGAGGGCGCGAGAGAAAGGCTGCCACGCGGTGAGCTGGAATCAAATTCCACCCTCCCCGAAGATCTGCAGTCCTCTATGTATTGAGGTGTCATCAGCCAATTGAGTCGTTTATACATGTGGAAGGAAACCGGAGCACCCAGAAAAGAAACCCACACATGTGAGGGGGTAACACGCTATCCCATACAGAAGGCACAATTTTCGTTCGCACTTTGCTGTACCACGTTCTCCTGGTGAGCCAGGGGATGGCTCCTCCTTAACGTCCACAGAAAGAGAGTTTCGCAACATTTGCGCGGTGATCCACCAAACCTCGCTGCCTCCACGGTGCAAGATTACCGGCTGGGTGGGCTGGGTGGGTGGAGGGGCTTTGCCGAGGTCGGGAACGTTTGAGTGTCAAGGTCGCACCAGAGTGAAGTCGACGAAATTTACCTCGGGCATCAACAAGTGATCTCGGAGGTAGCTCTGTGATATCCATTTCCATGGGCCTCATCTCTAACACGGAGGTAGCTTGCATTGCTCTGCCGTGGTATCAAATGGATCCTTTCGTCTCGGGACACGGCGCCAATAGAGTAAGCGCGACAAAATCGTGGGAGGAGAATATCGGTACGGAAAACAAACCCCGGTCCGGTTGCCGTGGCGACCGAGGGAGGGGGGCAGCACCTCACCTTGCCTCTCTCCACCTCCTGTGTTGCCATGACGATGATGCGGGAACGCTCCTGTAGGACCATACTCCACAGGTCGGCCACGGTGCTCTGCAGGCAGCCCTGCGTGGCGATGTAACGGCACGGGGGCACTGTGTCCCCTGTCTTCACCTTCGCCCCCGGGGGAGTGAGGTGGGGGTGGCGGAGTCGGGCGCAGGGAGGAGGGCGGCAAGAGAAGGGAAGATGCGAATGGAAACGTTGAATGAGATGTCGGACGTTGCACGCACGGCCGGGCGGATCAGTCTGGTCGTGCGTGGGAAGGAAAGACGATGATCGTCGATGATGATGTTCAGATTCGAGCAGCTGCGGCATTAGAACTGTCTACTACTAATACTGCGAGCCCGATTCCTTGTACTAACCCCATCAGAGCCAACACTAACTGCAACCCTATCACTAGCACAACCACATCAGTCTTAACACTCACTGCAATCCTATCACTAGCACTAACCCTATCACTGGCAATAACACTAATAACACTAACACTGACTCTAACCATGTCTCTACCCATATCGCGAGCCCCTATCCCTATGGCTCGCCCGATGACTATGCCAATAGCTAGCCCTAACCCTACCACAAGTCCCAACCCAATCCCAATCGCTAACGCTAGCCCGGCTCATACCCCAGGGGAAGACCCCTCCCAGACCCCTGTCCTTGTCTCCCCGGCTCACCACGATATAATTTGCGTTGATGTAGTCTTGGTCTCCTTTCAGCACCACGCGTGTTTTGTCGACTAAAGGCATCCGACACGCACACACACAAAGGCAAATATCACCCACATAGCCTTCAACAGACTGTTGGGGCAAGTGCTGTTAGAGGGCGCCCGGTATGGCGCACGAGGGGGTGGTGTGGCCAGAACAACGCCCAGCCGCCTTTGTTTTCCCAGTGCTGATGTTTGCACACCGCACCAGGTACTCATCTTAGGCCGAATTGACACAAACAGACATGATATTATGTTGCTCATAACATTGCTGCAGATTATGTTGTTAGTGACGGTGTTGATGTTGATAATGTTGCTTGTGACAATGTTGCTAGAGGTATAGCTCGTGACGAAATTGCTTGTGAAAATGTTGCCCGTGATAACGTCGTGATGGATGACGTTGCTTGTGACAAAAAAAGTGATAACACCGCTCGTGACGATGTTGCTAGGAACGATATTATGTGATATTGACAAAGGTTGGTGTATATCTTGCTAGAAACGATGCCGCTCGTGACAAAGTCTCTAGTGATGGTACTTCCAGTGGCAGTGTTGCATTAGACAAGTTGCTAAAATCGATGTTGCACGCACATGGCAGGATGTTCTTGAAGCGGTTCTTGCCCTTGTTACATGGGTCTTGCCCTGCGTTTCTGGTCAACTCCGCATGTTCATTGAGCTGCAAGGTCTGATGGGAGTCACCAGGGGTCACAGGGTCACAAAGGGAACATCAGAGGGTCAGTGGGGTTCACAGCCGTCAGTGGGAATAGGGGGGGGTGGAACCAAGATAATTGTTTGTTCAGGTGAGTGCACTGTTCACAAACACGCACCATCACTCTCATCGCTATCATTGCCATCAAACCCATCATCACTACCACAGTCAATATTATAATTATCATCATAATCGATGTCATCACCATCATTTTCGCTATCATTAACACCATAATTTTCACCACAAACTTCATTATTGCTATCACAAACGTCAACATCGCCTTGACCACTATAATCATCATCATAAACATTATCATTATCATTCTTGGAGGTCATGAGATCTGACCGATGGCTGTGGCCATAGGTGGTTGGGAAGGCGGTGCTCCGGGCCTCACCTCATACTCCAGGCCGAAGCCGTTGGTGTAAGAGGCCGACCGCTTTCCCACAGATCCATAGGACCTCTCCCGGGGATTCTGCGAGCCCCCGTGCCTGCTCCGCTCGAGCTCCTGCACGCGAGCGGGGAGCTCAGCGGCCAGCAGGCTTGACGTGCAGAGTGGCTGTCAGGTGTGGGCGGGGAATCAGGAGACAGCGAGACCGAGACACGAGATGCTGGGAGACCAGAAGATTAGAAACACCAGGAGGTCCAAGCCGTCTAGGCCTCAATGTGCAGAGCGGCTGTGGTGCATGGGAGGGGGGAAGGGAGTTTGTGAGTCGGGTTAAGAGAGCCAGGGGCATCAAGAGATGGGAAGAATGGCAGAGAGTGAGACTGGGAGACCAGGAAACTAGGAGGCTATGAGATCAAGAGAGCAGGAGATCAGGAGAAGACCTTTGTGAAGATGAACTCATGGTTTGGGTGGCTTTTGGTGTGCGCCGTGATGGGGTGGCTGCGGTAGAAATCCACCAACTGCTCGAGGGAATCGAAGTCCTTTCCGTCCCCGATGCTGTAGCGCTCCTCCTGCACCCAGGTACACAGTGTGGATGTGACCACTCCCGTGGGACGGGCGACTGGTGCTCACAGCTACGTCCCACGCCTATCGACCCAACACAGCACCGATTCATCACCCTCATCACATCTGTAATCCAGCACTGTTAAGGCAGCGAGAGTTGGTGGATCGCACACATTTTGTGAAACTCCCTTCCCAAGGTGCGATACCCCGGATCGCCAAGAGAAGGCAGTTACAGCAAGTGGACTACCGCATTTTCCCGCATATAACCCGCGGGGTATACCACTTTTTACAAACAAAACAAGACCCTGCGGGGTATATGGAGGTGCGGGCTATCCCAAAACTATCTTACACGTGTGACATGTCATGACACGTTACATTTACTCATGGTAGGGCTATCCACTATGCAACACTTACTTTTGACTAAAGCACTGCTGAATAAACCACTCACACTAAAATTGAATATGTTATCACGTTTTAAATGATTTGTTTGTGCAATTAAATGACAATGTTGGAAGTGCGCGCAGTTTACCGGCGACGGGAGAGCTGGGGGGAGAGAGAGGTGGGGGTTGGGGGGTGGGGCAGCTGGGGGGAGAGGGAGGTGGGGGTTGGGGGGTGGGGTAGCTGGGGGGGAGAGAGAGGTGGGGGTTGGGGGGTGGGGCAGCTGGGGGGAGAGAGGTGGGGGGTGGGGCAGCTGGGGGGAGAGAGAGGTGGGGGGTGGGGCAGCTGGGGGGGAGAGAGAGGTGGGGGTTGGGGCAGCTGGGGGGGGAGAGAGGTGGGGGTTGGGGGCGAGGCAACGGCGTCACCAAAGCGCCGTTGTTATCTGCGCAGTGCGCAATCTACCAGTGCTAAAACTGTACATGCACCGTGCTTACTTATCTACCAGTTATGTGTTACTTATTTATTGGATATTTACTTTTGTTACTTATTCACTGCTTTAAGGTCACTCGTTTTCGGTTAGTTTGTTTTCTTTGTGCACGTTATGATTTAAATGTTAACAATTGATAGTGGAATGTATTACAAATGTAAACTTCGTATTAATATGATGGAATTAATCTGTGGTAACGACGTTAAATATATTAATGCATGCGGGGTATATGAAGGTGCGGGCTATCTGAAATTTGTTTTACACAAAACGCTATTTTTGCGGGGTATATGCGTCTGCGGGTTATATGCAGGAAAATACGGTAATTGTGATCTGTCCATCTCTACGGGGATAGCGTGTTGTCCCCTTTTGCACGTGGGTTTGCTCCGGGTACCCTGGTTCCCTCACACACGTATAATATATCCTCGTCGTTAATTGGCTGAAAACATCTTAAAATAAAAAAAACAATGCAGGACCCTGCTGAAAAAGTGTCCCACGACTCAATAATGTGGATCTTCTGGATAAATAAGTAATTTTTTGTAATATCCATGAGGTTTTTTTTGGGTTAGATCGCGTAAATATATGTCGCTAAAACCCACCACCACCCGGCACAGCCAACTAGTAAAGATTGTCACGTAAACAGAACATGCCAATTCGTCACTAGTACAGCAGAGAGAGCCAAGGCAACATTTACAATCTGAGTACGACGTATTAAGATTTATTATTGATTTGATTCGTCATCACGACTCAGCTTGAAAACTCTCTTCTCGAACCATCCACCTCTGGATTGCCAGTCCAAGTTATTAACCGGTACGCCGCTACAGGGATAATGACCACCATAAGTAATATTAAAAAAAACGTTAAAATGTTTTTAAATGTACCGTACTAGTAATGGAAGAACTCCACGACTCCAGGAAGTGGCCCCGAAGCTTGCCATAACGTAAGGGACCGTGATCATTTACAGCCAACGTCAGTTTACCGTGGACAATTAGAGCCAAGCCAAAACATAACATATAAAAAATAATGTTTTAAAATGTTTTTTTTTTATGATAGAATATAGTATTGTCATCAGTAAGACATAAGTATACCAAGTTTGCAGTGGATACCACATTGGGAAGTCGGTTAAAATTGAGTTACAAGATTTGAGGATACAACGACAACAACAGAGTTAATAAAAAGCTTGTAAATAAAAAAAGGCAAAACGGAAATTCAGATTCATACTCATGTCACTAACTCGCTGCCCCGCTCACCACCTTACCATTACCACTGCACACGCAGTATGCTTCCCATCGCGAACTGCCAACCGCCCCCCCAATCACCTTGAATTCAACGTGGACGTGGATGATCACGGGCAGCCCTCTTTTGCCATCGACGCCGTCCTGGGATCGCACCGTGAGCGCGAGCTGCCCGGGTTTGCTCGCGCTCTCGCGCGCCAGGAAGGAGCCGGCAGAGACGCGAGGCGCCAGCAGCAGCTTCTCGGCCTCCGTGGCGCGCAGCGTGCCGTGGAACCAGCGATTGAACGTCGGCTCCCTGCATGGCAGTGGCTTATTGAGCAAAATCTGTGCACGACGTGGAGGAGGGGGCGCAGAAGAAAGAACAGGAGGAAGAGGAAGCCCTTGAGTTAGCTAAGCTATAATCTATAGCCAAGCTATTTTTATTTTACCAGGTAAGGCCCACCGAGCTATGTAGCTCTTTTTCAGAAGCGACCTGGCCACAAATGATAGCTCAACGAAATTGGCTTATTATGTGGAAATGTATAGCAGCCAAATACTCTAAACGCGTGTTGTTTCTAGATTTGGAGGGAAAACCCCAAGGAACCAGAGAAAAATCCACACGACCACGGTGGAGAAACTTGCAAACTCCAAATAAACAGATGACAGGATCGGGATCGAACTCGGTTATTACGTCATCCCCCATGTCACGTCCCCATATCCCTACGCCCTCCTGTCCCATGCTCACATTTCCTCTTCCACCCATGGCCCGTGACTCTTCCACCCTCCATCCCATGCCCTCATGCCCTCCCACCCCATGCCCCTACATCTCTGTGCTTCCACGCTCTCCCATCCTATGCCCCACACCCCCACACCTCCCCACCCCACGCCCCTGCGGCCCTTTATCCTCTCAGCCCACGTTCCTACTCCCCCGTGGCCTACCGGGTCGCCCCCCTCCTTGAGGCACAGGAGGCCCCGGTTCTCGGTGTAGAACTGCACGAGCTCGCCGAGCACCGCGAACTTCTCGCCACCGTACAGGTCGAAGACGTCGCCCGTGTGCTGGATCTTGATGTGGTGCACCTGATCCCCCTGCCTACAAAGGCAAAGGACAAATTAGACCCCCCGTGTCGCCTTCGCAGACTTTGGCGGCAAGTTGCTGTGAGCGAGCAACAATGAAGGCCGGCACGGCACACGAGGGGGTGGGTGGCCAGCACCACTCCCTGCCACCTTTGTCTCCCGAGTGGTGAAATTTACACATCGCAGCATACTAATTTGAGGCCGAGTCGACCTCGGGGAGGCCCAGGACCGGTTCAGATGATCGTCACCGGTGTTGGCCGTGAGCGGGAATAGAACTCCGGTCCCCGGGTTCGTAGCGCATCGCGCTAACCGCTGCACGACCGCTGTCCACATAGACACGCACGCAAGACCCACACACACCACCTGCCTGTGTGACGTTGTACGTGCATGTGCACCTGACACAGAGGACGTAGTCATCATAATTGGTGGCGCTGCGTCGCACCAGGAAGCTGCCCTCGTCCCCGAACGTCATGAGGAGCTCCCCCGCCGTGGGCCCATCCAGCTCCTGATGAAACCACCTGCAGCAGGGGACCCAGGCGGCACGCACACACGCACCAGTAGGCGCAGCAGTTGTAGCTGCTGTAGCAGAAGCAGCAAACTGCTTGCCAGCAGCAGCTGGACATACGTGAAAAATAGCTTCATAAGTGAATCGGAAAAGTCTTCTGAGTGGCAGACATGAAACGCTCTTGGGTTGAACATGTAGTCGTCCCACCGTTTGTGAGCAGCACACCCTGCTGCGTTGGTAAATCTACGCGTGTTCAGAACAACTTGCACGCGTTCTCCTGTTGCGATGCTCTGTTTTCACAGCGTCTACAGCATGAGCCGAACTTATTGGCTCGCATTGTAAAGTATGGTCAAATAACCCCCACGAGCAACGCATACATGGGGAGGCCTTCATCCAAGCCGTATATTGTGTACTGTTTTTATTTATTGCATAAGTTTCCTATAAGCCTGTGGGTTTCTGTGTAAGTCTACGCAAGTATATAGATTTTATTGAGTCTATGGGCAATCACAAAAAAATATACGGATATGTGTAGGTCTATGGCTCACTATGTAAGAACATTGACCTCAATGTAAGTCTATGGGACTACTTAACTCCGTGCGTGGGTCTCTATGCAAATCTACAGGTCTCGGTGTCACACCTCTGATTAGCAAGGTTGGCTACGTACGGTGCGAATGAAGTTCATCGTACATACGTACGCAACGAGCTATCTCTTTAGTTCTTTCAAGTCGACGTGTCGGTGTGTACATCTGTAAGCTCCTGCGTAAGTCTGTGAGTCTCTATGTAAATCCGTTGGCGCGTTTCCAGGCGAATCACGGAACAAATGAAGCGGTGCTCACTTGGTGAACCGGCTTGGCAGCTTGCGTTTTATTATTTTTCTTTACTGTTTGGTTACAGCCGTCGCTCGACAGATTGATATTATCTCGTGCAAACAGATTTGTTATTGCCCCGCTGGCAGCGATGTTGTCAATGGCTCCAGGGGATTGGATATCACACAGAGGTGGTGGCTCTAAAGGGACGAAGGGTGGAGACATGTACGGCGGGACCGTAACACCAGGCACCGACGTGATTCAACCGAACAAGAGCGAGAGAGCTGAGAATGAGAACACTTCTCTCGCATGGAGAGCCAGATGGGTGGATTTTTTTCTGTTTACACATTTGCTGAGCAAAGGTCCAAATGCCACCCCCACCAACGCAAAGGAAGTCTAAATGTTCGGGAATAAACATAGCCGTCGAAGTTGTAATAGAGATAAGAGATAGCACGTTTCTTCATTCGAGGAAGGTTATAATACGACCTTGGGAAACGTTACAATGAGAGAGAGGCGGGATTCTGAGCGATGAGGAGGGAAGAGGAAAGAGACGTGGTTGTGAAGCTGTTTAACACAGTTCGAGACATTTGAACGTGCTATTTTATTAGAGGGGACTGTGCGCGTTGTTTTGGGTGTGGCGTGCAACTAGTGTTATTTTTGTTGCCATTGCCCGAGTTTGCATTTGGTGTTGTAACATCGGCAGGAAATTATGTACTTGTGATATTTGTACTGGCAAACTTTACTTTTGTGACTTGCTTACCTTTTCTTACTCTGCTTTGCACTCCTACCGTGTCGTATTGTTTGTTGTTGTAACTTGCTGGCCCACCCCTCCTGGACATTTGTAAAAAGAAAAAAAGAGCTTCATAGCTCATTGGATTTCCTCCGGGATATACAAAAAGATTCTGATTCCGGAAAAAACACAGCCCAGCAGCTCGAGATGGTTTACTATATAGATCCATAGTTCTGCTTGCACGGCCACAATCACAACACCGTGGCTTGCCTTTAATGTTCCATACTAGACGGAGGTGGATGCGTGCATGGGCCTGCTGTTGATGTTCTGATGCGGTTGATGGGTGACTTCAGTGTCTTCGAGGAAGAGGACTGTCAAAGCCATGAGGCGTACGATGATGGTTGGGTTCTCGAATGAGGTTGTTATTTTTATCATTCTGGACGTCCGCGTTGTTTACACTTTTGTTCGCCAGCAGCGGTACAGTTCTCACGCATTTGGTGGGGAGGTTGTGGGACGGTGGTGGTGGTGCGGGTGAGGAGGTGCCATTGTCGAGGTCTCGTCTGACGGGTGTAGCTTGTAGTCGGCAACCAGAAATGTGTCATTGTACATTCACTCGCCGTTTGCTTGTGACCCAAGTGGACGGTGGAAATCTGTGGCGGAAGTCTGAAAAACTCTGCCCAGCCAGCCGCGCGACAGGCAAATTGTGAGGCTCGTGGCGTCGTGGCAGAGGAAACACCCCTGGGGAGCCAACAGGTCTCACCGACCACCGGAGCATAATGACCAAGATCCTGAGCAGATGACCAGGGTGCAGAAGGCCTTCTCGCTGCGCAGGGTTCGTCAGGTTCACCCCCAATTTGTGAACCCTCTTTGCCCTATGGCCCGAATGTCGTTACTTGTGTAACGCGAGTGGCCTTAGTAAAAGTTATGCCCACAGTTTAGACGTGGGATGTTGGGACAGAGTTGGCCCAACGATTCGCCAACCAACGTTGCCCTCACGTTGGGCATGATCCACCAGGGCGGTGGTTCCACCTCGGCTTGAATTTTACACCAAGTTACTCAGCGAGCGAGCGAGCAAGCAAGTGCAGGACCGTGCCCCACCAATGTTTAAAGTTCACATTGCACTGTTACAGAATATTGTACGGAATAGGGGCCTGGTATAGAGTGGAGCCTGGGAAAGAATGGGTTCTAGATTGGATGGAGTGTGGCCTGGTTGGAATAAAACCTGGTGGTGGAGTCGACGATTTGGTGGAATGGCAGGTGGATTCATAATTATCAATCACGTCCAGGCGGGTGGCTCCACGTGTTTTCTTACCACGATAATGAAGCGATACAGTTCAAGCTACAGGCTACACTTACAATGCAAGCTAGTGAGACCACAGTCGATACTCACAGTTCAAACAAGTCTACCATGACTGTCTAAAATTCTACACTGACAAGCGATACAATCCACACACAGTCAGTTCAAACCCACACGGACCCCACGCGCGTAGCGACCCCGTTACAAGATCCCCTATCCCCCTCATTCCACACCCCTGTACTTATTATCCCTTATTCCCTGTCCCCTTGATCCCTTACCCCCCCTGTCGAGGGGGTACCGGGCTCCTCCAGCCTTGGTAAACCAACAACCCCTTCCACCCCGACCTGATCTGGACATTGCTTTTAAAACTCATCAGATTCCTCCAGTAGAAATACATTATTCTCATCTCATTATATCCGATACAATACTAACCGATCTGATAATATCCAATACGACAGTATTTAATATAATCCGATCCAATCATATTCGATCTAATGTTATAAAATCTGATCGTGTTCGATCGACTCGAGTCACAGATCCCAGGGACACTACTCACTGTCGCGCCATCGCGGTAGACGAGACGAGGTGCGGCTTGGAGGTGAGGAGGTGGGTGAGGGGAGGAGAGACGGGTGAGGTGAGTGACGGGTGAGTGACGAGAAAGAGAAGGGTGAGGGGAGAGACGGGTGAGGTGAGAGACAGGTGAGGGGAGAGACGAGGGAGAGACGGGTGAGATACGGGTGAGGTGAGAGACGGGTGAGGTGAGGTGAGAGACGGGTGAGTGACGAGGGAGAGAAGGATGAGGTGAGAGACAGGTGAGGGGAGAGACGGGTGAGAGCCGGGTGAGGGGAGAGACAGGTGAGTGACGAGGGAGAGACAGGTGAGGTAAGAGACAGGTGAGAGACAGGTGAGAGACGGGTGAGGTGAGAGGCAGGTGAGGTGAGAGACAGGTGAGGTGAGAAACGGGTGAGGTGAGAGACAGGTGAGAGACAGGTAAGAGGCAGGTGAGAGACGGGTGAGGTGAGAGGTGAGAGGCAGGTGAGGTAAGAGACAGGTGAGGTGAGAGACAGGTGAGTGACGAGGGAGAGACGGGTGAGCTGAGAGACGGGCGAGTGACGAGGGAGAGACGAGGGAGAGACAGGTGAGGTGAGAGAGAGACGGGTGAGTGACGAGGGAGAGATGGGTGAGGTGAGAGACAGGTGAGTGACGAGGGAGAGGTAGGTGAGGTGAGAGAGAGAGACGGGTGAGTGACGAGGGAGAGACGGGTGAGGTGAGAGACAGGTGAGTGACGAGGGAGAGGTAGGTGAGGTGAGAGAGAGAGACGGGTGACGAGGGAGAGACGGGTGAGGTGAGAGACGGGTGAGTGACGAGGGAGAGACGAGGGAGAGACAGGTGAGGTGAGGGAGAGAGACGGGTGAGTGACGAGGGAGAGACGGGTGAGGTGAGAGACGGGTGAGTGACGAGGGAGAGACAGGTGAGGTGAGAGAGACGGGTGAGTGACGAGGGAGAGACGGGTGAGAGACAGGTGAGAGACGGGTGAGCAAGGTGAGGTGAGAGACGGGTGAGAGGCAGGTGAGAGACAGGTGAGAGACGGGTGAGGTGAGAAACGGGTGAGACAGGTGAGAGTCGGGTGAGAGGCAGGTGAGAGACAGGTGAGCGGTGTTGCGAGCTGGGTGAGAGACAGGTGAGAGGTGTTGCGAGCTGGGTGAGAGACAGGTGAGCGGTGTTGCGAGCTGGGTGAGAGACGGAGTCGAGGCAGGCGAGGAGCCGTCGCCCCTAACTGAAGATTGAGAGCGAGCGCGAGACGCGCGAGCGTCTTCTGGTTTCCGGGTGCCAGGCTAGGTGCACCGGCCCGTCCCCTGTTCCTGCCCGCGCTCCTCCCCTCACGGGGAAGTGGGCGGACTACATTTGCTGCGAGCTCGTTTGAACAGGCGAGGTTGGAATGTGTGCGTGTACAGGCCTCCCTCCCCTAGGTCGACTCAGCCTCAAACTAGTCCCCCTGGTGCGGTGTGCAGTCAACATCGCCACTGGGGAGACAAAGGCGGCCGGGCGTGGTTGCTTGCCAGTCACCCCCTCTCGTGCGCCGTGCCGGCCTTCGTAGGTGCTGCTCGCTAACAGCACTTGCCCCTGCAGTCTGTTACAGCCTACACGGGGGATCTTTGTCTTTGTGTTCCTTGTGCGTGCCCTCTCTGTGCCGTCGTGCGTCTTAACCACGTGGTCAACGTCGGCCCAACGTTGCCCACGTTGACTAGACCACGTGGTACGCGTGAGAGTGCAGGGTACAGTCCACAGTGTGTGTGTGTAAATCCTCGCTGTGCACGGCGACGCTGGCTTCACGCGCGAAACGTCGGACTCGCGTCATTGTGTAAACATCCGAGTGGACTGTGTCACGGAAAACATCGTCCTCGCCATAAGAAAAACATTGACCTAGCCATATAAAAACATCGTCCTCGCCATAAGAAAAACATTGACATAGGCATAGAAAAACATCGACCTAGCCATAAGAAAAACAATGACCTAGCCATAGAAAAACATTGACCTAGCCATAGAAAAACATCGACCTAGCCATAGAAAAACATTGACCTAGCCATAGAAAACCATTGACCTAGCCATAGAAAAACATTGACATAGGCATAGAAAAACATCGACCTAGCCATAAGAAAAACAATGACCTAGCCATAGAAAAACATTGACTTCGCCATAAGAAAAACATTGACCTAGCCATAGAAAAACATCGACTTCTCCATAATAAAAACATTGACATAGGCATAGAAAAACATCGACTTCGCCATAAGAAAAACAATGACCTAGCCATAGAAAAACATTGACCTAGCCATAGAAAAACATTGACCTAGCCATAGAAAAACATTGACATAGGCATAGAAAAACATCGACCTAGCCATAAGAAAAACAATGACCTAGCCATAGAAAAACATAGACCTAGCCATAGAAAAACATTGACCTTGCCATAGAAAAACATTGACCTAGCCATAGAAAAACATTGACCTAGCCATAGAAAAACATTGACCTAGCCATAGAAAAACATTGACCTAGCCATAGAAAAACATCGACTTCGCCATAAGAAAAACATTGACCTAGCCATAGAAAAACATTGACCTAGCCATAGAAAAACATCGACTTCGCCATAAGAAAAACATTGACCTAGCCATAGAAAAACATCGACTTCGCCATAAGAAAAACATTGACCTAGCCATAGAAATTTGCACTGCGGGGAGACGATTGCGCAACCCTCCTTCGACCGAGTTTCACCCGCAGCCGTAGGGTCCGCGGTCATTTGCCAGCAAGCGCGTTGCTGGCTAACTTTTGGTCGCCCTGTGTACGCCGAATTGTTTGACGCGGTGCCTAACATGGTTGTTTGGTAAACGTTGCAAAAGGGGCCGTCCATAAATAACGTCACGCACCTAGGGGGGGGGGGGTCAGACATTTGTGACGATGTGTGACAAGGGGGGGGGGGGGGGGGGGGGGTGAGAAATGTGACGTCACATCAAAATGCGCAACTTTAAATAAACATAGACAACATGTTCTACTTAATTAAATATACTTTTAAATAAATGTTTTCTCCTACATCAAAGTGCAGCGCCACATTAAATACGCACTACAATGACTATACTTTAAAGCGATTTGAAGCATGTTTTATTTTCAAAATGGAAATATGGGTTTGGGGTGGGGGCAGAGCTTTGTGACGTCATATTTGAGGGGGGGTCTGACTTTTTGTGACGCCGTGTGACGAGGGGGGTCAAAAATCGTCCAAAATCGCGTGACGTCATTTATGGACGGCCCCTAAGACGACAAATGCCGTCTGTCCGCGATGTTATTATTCTGTCGCACACCTTACAGGGGCCTTATTGAAGTTAAACTACAAAAACTGCTTTCTTTTTATCAGGTAAGGCCCTCTGGAGCTACACGGCACTTTTTTTAAAGAAGCGACCTGGCTACACAAATGATAGCTCAGCGAAGTGGCGCCTCTACCATCACGTGGACATTGGTGGCAGACAAACTCTAAACGCGTGATGTTGATTCTTCATGTAGAGGGAAAGACCGGAGAAAATTCCTCGCGACCACGGGGGGAGAGAGAGAGAGACACGCAAACTGCACATATACAGCAGGCGTCAGGGTCGGGATTGAACCCACGACCTCCTGTATGCCAGGCGAGGGAGTTAACATCTCCTAGCCACCGTGATGATGAAAGAGAGACACGCAAACTCCAAATATACAGCAGCAGGCGTCAGGGTCTGGATCGAACCCACGACCTCCTGTATACCAGGCGAGGGAGTTAACATCTCCTAGCCACCGTGATGATGAAAGAGAGAGAGAGACACGCAAACTCCAAATATACAGCAGGCGTCAGGGTTGGGATAGAACCCACGACCTCTTGTATACCAGGCGAGGTAGCTAACATCTCCAAGCCACCGTGATGATCATGATGAGAGAGAGATAAAGAGACACGCAAACTCCACATATACAGCAGCAGCAATAGGTGTCAGGGTCTGGATTGAACCCACGACCTCCTGTACACCAGGCGAGGGAGTTAACATCTCCTAGCCACCGTGATGATGAAAGAGAGAGATGAAAACTCCAAATATACAGCAGCAGCAATAGGTGTCAGGGTCGGGATCGAACCCACGACCTCCTGTATACCAGGCGAGGGAGTTAACATCTCCTAGCCACCGAAGCTCCCCTTAAACAGATGCATGTTTTTTTCTGTCTGTTGTCGCCTTTATAATTACTCCCGAGTGATTAGAAGGATCAGTGACAAGTGATACCCCACTCAAATGAGCCTTATTGAGGCATTTGTGCACCATCCCGTCCACAGCCCAGCAGAACCAGTGGTGAACTTTCCACATTCCTGTGGCGGGGAGCGAGTCTGTCGAGATCCCCACAAAGTGGTACTGATTTTTTTTATCAACCCGATAGGAATGATGATGAGCTAAGTCAAACTCCCGCCCCAACCAACTGCCCCATATAAAGGATGGTGCTGCAATTACATTATAGTTATTGTTTTACCTCGCTCAGCAAATTCGACAATAATTGTTGAGGTTTTCTTTGTTATTTTTCTTGTTATTTGTCTCCAAGTGCCAACGCAGTATCACCAAATAATAATGCCACCGCAATATTCCATTAGGGGCCGTCCATAAATGACGTCACGCTGCATCACAAAAAGTCAGACCCCCCCCCCCTCAAACATTACGTCACAAAGCTCTGCCCCCCCCAAAAAATATATATAAAACATGCTTCAGATCGCTTTAAACCATTGTCATTGTAGTGTGTATTTAATGTGCCGCTGCACTGATGTTGTAGGAGTAAACATTTATTAAAAAGTATATTTAATTAAGTAGAACGTGTTGTCTATATTTAAAGTTGCGCATTTTGATGTGACGTCACATTTCTCAAACCCCTCCCCCCTCGTCACAAATGTCTGACCCACCCCCCCAGGTGCGTGACGTCATTTATGGACGGCCCCTTATGCAACGTTTACCAAACAACCATGTTAGGCACCGCGTCAAACTCGGCGTACACAGGCGACCAAAATTTACCAGCAAAATGCTTGCTGGCAAATGACCGCGGACCCTACGGCTGCGAGGGGGAACTCGGTCGAAGGAGGGTTGCGCAATCGTCTCCTCGCAGTGCAAATTTATATGGCTAGGTCAATGTTTTTCTTATGGCGAAGTCGATGTTTTTCTTATGGCGATGTTTTTAATATGGCGAGGACGATGTTTTCCGTGACACAGTCCACTCGGATGTTTACACAATGACGCGAGTCCGACGTCTCGCGCGTGAAGCCAGCGTCGCCGTGCACAACGAGGATTTCCACACACACACTGTGGACTGTACCCTGCACTCTCACGCGTACCACGTGGTCTAGTCAACGTGGGCAACGTTGGGCCGACGTTGACCACGTGGTTAAGACGCACGTCGGCACAGAGAGGGCACGCACAAAGGAACACAAAGACAAAGGTTCCCCCGTGTAGCCTGTAACAGACTGCAGGGGCAAGTGCTGTTAGCGAGCAGCACCTACGAAGGCCGGCACGGCGCACGAGAGGGGGTGACTGGCAAGCAACCACGCCCGGCCGCCTTTGTCTCCCCAGTGGCGATGTTGACTGCACACCGCAACAGGGGGACTAGTTTGAGGCTGAGTCGACCTAGGGGAGGGAAGCCTGTACACGAACACATTCCAACCTCGCCTGTTCAAACGAGCTCGCATTTCTCTGACCCCCACCCCTAGGTGCGTGACGTCATTTATGGACAGCCCCTTACATTGTGTATTTTTGGGGATCCCCACTAAGAATAGATCCCCCGTGTAGCCTGTGACATGCCGGTGGTGCTCGAGGCCGAGTCGACCTAAAAGAGGTCCAGCAGCAGTGGCTCGCCTGCTTGGCAAGAGCTGGGCACCAACCACTGCACCACCACTATTGTGGGTCACAACACCACTACCCCAGTGCCGGATTCAGCTAGTGCGGGACCTGTAGCATATATTATAAAGGGGCCCTAAATAATATATTTTGAAACCGTTAATATTAAAACACCCACAATTTTCACTTGCATAGTAAAGTAATTGTTTTTTTTCATTTGCTATACAGCCAGATAATACGACAAATCTCTAACCGTAAACACCCAGTCGTTCATATTCTTGGTTCTTTCAGTAAAGTCACGTAGAAGGGAAACAATAAAATAATAAAAATATAAAACAAAACCACAACAAGAATTTTCTTCTTGCTGTGGTTTTCTTCTTGCTGTGGTTTTCACACCTGATGATGATTGCTTGTGTTGCAGTCGAAACGTGAGAATTGTATTGTTTTATATTTGTATTATTTTATTGTTTCCCTTCTACGTGACTTTACCGAAAGAACCAAGAATATGAATCCCTGCAGTCACGAAAGCTTTAAATCAAAATTTACCCAGTCGTTCGTAAAAGTCGAAGACGGCATTGTACTATAGTAAAAGAGGAAGTCCAGAATCACACCGAAATTGATAGCTTGAAAGCATTTAGCGCGGCCCTTGAAAGTGCGGATCCCCTAACATTTATAGATACTTTTGCAACTAGAATAATCCGGCACTGCCACCACCCCCTCCACCACCACCACCACCACATTCTCTTGAGTATTCGCACCTTGCACACACTGCAAGTCCGCGTGCGAGACAGCGCATGAACACGCGTGCGTCAATTCCGAGTCTTTATTCCACCACGGGATGATGCTTAAACACCGCGACTCGCCACGTCTCCTCCTCCGCCGTGTCGCCCACAACATTGATCAAACAGGGATTTATCGCCCACCAACGTGTGCAGCAGCGTCGCTGCACAGTCCCACACTCGAGCACACAGGCAGGTCCACGGAGTGACGCGTATCCACAGAGGTCACACACTCCCACAACCCCACCAGATATCACACACATTCCCACACACAACCAACAAATATCACAAATACACACACACACATAAACCCACAGATATCACAAATACACACACATAAACCCACAGATATCACACACTCCCACAACAACTACCGCCATTCGCCACTAATTGGCGGTGACGTCACCACAGCACTTGTGCCAGGCTATGTGCACCTTGAGACCACGTGAAGTGTCGAACGCCCGCTGGCAGGAGGTCACGGGGCAGACCCAAGTGCCACGGGTCGACTGACTAAGATGACTAAGATGACTGGATGATGCACCACCTGTGCCCCCTACTGAGCCAACCTGCTGTTCTTTAGCCACCCGGCGCTCCGCTCGTTGTTGTGAGCGTCGCTCCTCCGCCCTCCGTAGTTGTTGCAGGGCGACTGCCTCTAACTGCCCAGTAGCGTCCTTCACAAGCCTCCTCCACAGAGGCCGATCTTGACACCGCTGGTACCAGTCATCAGCAAGTGAACTTCCACACACATACAAACCTACAGATATCACACACTCCCACACACAAACCAACACAGAACACGCATTCCCACACACAGACCCATATCAGATCAAAGACACTCGCACACAGATATCGCACACAAGACACAGTCCCGCACAGACACACAAACCCACACAAATCATGCACAGAGACTGTCCCACAGCCAAACGCACTCGCACAAACATAGTAACGCCATACTAAGGCAGTCCACGTCCAGCATCGTAGAAACACAGCTCCCACATGCGCTCCACAATGATCACGGCGGCGCAACGTTGAATGTCCAACGCAGAGGCCGAGACTCCGACAGTGGAGATGCTAGACGGCCGAGAACACACAACACGCGCACACACACCTGGCGGTGCTCTAAAAGGGGGAATTGAAGTTGATTTGTTTTATTTAAACACCACGCAGCCCCACACACAGACTCGGAGATAAAGAGAAAAAAAGATCCCCCGTATAGCCTGTAACAGATTGTTGGGGCAAGTGCTGTTAGCGAGCACCTATGAAGGCCAGTAACGGCACACGAGCGGGTGGGGTTGCCAGCACCACGCTCGACCGCCTTCGTCTCCCCAGTGGCGATGTTTACGCATCGCACCGGGTCTTCACTTGAGGTTGAAACGACCTGCAGCACAACAGCGACTCATTCTCACACACACACACATGCAGAATCACACACGCGGAATCGCACACTGGATGCGATTCACACGCGTCTCTGGCACATCATGGATCACGCTGCCTGGGTCGCCACCACATTTTATACAAAATACCTCATTCCCTCCATCCCAGGAGAGGCAACTGCGCCCGTTCATTCATTAATTCATTCACCTTCACATTAAGCTGGGTCTGGGTTCGAGTCCAGTCCAATCTGGAGACTCTGCCCACTCGTTCACTCATCCAGGGTCAGGGAAGGCAGAAAAGCAGCAGTGCCTCTGGGTCGGAGACGTCACACAGCTCACGGTGTTCCACCCACGATGGTCTCAGAGTATCGCCTAATGCACGTGACCATCTTCAGGGCCCTTCACCTGTGGACTACAAACCTGTACACCTTCACAGCCCCTATGCATCTGTACAGCGGAATGCCCGTACTCCCAGTCGTTACCTGTGCATGTGAACACCTTGACACGAACTCTTTACGCCTGTACACATTTACACATTTTACACATGTAAACCTCCACAACACCGGTACACCATTATACCTGTACACCTGTAAACAATTACACACCTGTGCAGCAGTAAACCCCACCAACATGCGCACCAGCTAACCTATAACAACAGGTTCTGCAGCAGTCCACGATACCTGTGCATCTGTATACATGCACGATTGCATTGTGTACCTGTACGGCTACATGCACGTTCCCCCGTTCACTTGTATATGTTCCCGGTTCTGGCATGGCCAATCTCTCCAGTCGCCGTGTGGATGGGTTTCCATGTGTGCACGTTTTTTTAGCCATGCAACTAAAATGGTATTAATGCACTGTGCTATCCAGTGTAATATGCGCAAAAGCACGCACGAACACCAACACACATCCATACACAGGCACATCCAACAACAACAGCCAACATTCACCACGAAGTGGTGGTTATGTCACCATGGCGCTTTAGCCAGGCTGTAGGTGCCCTTTGAAGCTATCACGTCAAGTGTGGAAGGTTCTCGATGCTAGTAGGAGGCCACGGGGCAGACCCAGGTGCCATGGGTTGACTGGTTGGGTTGACAAAGCCAAAGGTCCCCCCGTATAGCCTCAACAGACTGTTGGGGGCAAATGCTTTTAGCGAGCATCTATGAAGGCCGGTACGACACACGACGGGATTGGTGACCAGCACCATGCCCAGCCACCTTTGTCTCCCCAGTGGCGATGTTCACACACTGTACCAAATACTAATTTTAGGCTGAATTGCCCAGGACCGGTTCAGATAATCGTTATTGGTGTCGAGCGTGAGCGGGAATCGAACCCGGGGTGCTGGGTTTGTAGTGTAGGATGCTAACCGCTATGCCACCGCTCCATATCCACACAACCACTCACCTCACAACCACTCAATCCACAACCACTCGCCAATATACAAGTGCGCAAACACGCGTACGCACCCACACTCCGAGACCCACACCAACCCCACGTAGGTACGGACGTACACCCGTCACTTCTCACAATGTCCCCATTCCTCGTTTCCCCTGGGCCGGGTCCGTGTTGGGTTGACGCCTCACTCGAGGCCGAACTCCATGCTGTCGGAAAGTTCGGTGCTGCTGCTGCCCGCCCTGCAAACCTTGCTGGGGCTGCCCGAGAAGACCTGCGGCGGTCGCGCCCTGCCCGACGCCCTGCCCGCCACCCCGGGGGCTCCACCACCCCCACCACGCGTGGGGTGGTGGGGGTGGTGGTGCCCGGCAGGGTTGCTCGCACAGTCCAGGGGGTCGGCCAGGGCGACTGGCACCAGGCTGCAGTCGGAGAGGGACCTGAACTTCGAGTTCTCGGGGTCGAGCGAGAGGGCGGACGCGGTGTTCGCGGGCGACCGTCCGCCGCCCGCGTCGCAGGACACGTCGGTCATGCTGCGGCAGAACGGCGGCGGCAGGTCCTGCTGCCGCTGGAGGAGCGAGCGGGGCGGCGGCGCGGCGTGGGACGTGAAGTCGTCGGCGGAGCTGCACGGCATCACGTCCTCGCCCATGTGCGGGAGGCTGTGCTCCGACTTCCAGCGCATGATGGAGGCGGCGGTGCTCTCCGCCGGGAGCTGCCGACGCCGCGGGGGCCGCGAGCTGGCGGTGCGGCGGCACGGGTCGGCGGCGTCTGTCTGCGATGGAGCGCGACAGGAAGCGTGGTGGCGGTCCGAGTCCAAGCTTCCTCCTCCTCCTCCTCCGTCTCCATCGTCTCCTCCACCCGCTTCACCTCCTCCTTGTCCTCCCGTTCCTCCTCCGCCTCCTGGGGCACCCGGACCGTCCCCCCCGGAGGCCTCCGAGGGGTCGTGGAGGAACGAGAAGCTGAGCCCCGCGCCATAGGAGTCGTCGATGGGCAGGCTCGCCGAGGAGGGCCCCTCCTCGCTCTCCGAGTCGCCCGACGTGGTGAGCACGAGTCGGGGTGGGGCGACGCACGGCATGGACCTGGTGAGGGGGGTGGAGGGGGTGAGAGGTGAGGGTGCGTGAGGGGGGTGGAGAAGGGTGAGAAGGTGGACCCAACTCACAAATAAAATCATGATGAGATTGTGTCCCCGATTGCACAGATCTCTGTTAACGCATACATCTCCAAAGACAAAGATCTCCAAATATAGCCATTAACATGCTGCAAGGGCAAGTACTGTTAGCTAGCACCTTTAAAGGCTGGCACGGTGCACAAGGGGGTAGGTGTCCAGCGCCAAGCCCGGCCAACTTTGTTTCCCCAATGCCGATGTTTACAGACATCGCCAAGTACTCTTTAGGCTGAGTTGATCTAGGCGAGCCCCAGGATCGGTTAAATATTTTGGCGCTGTTTATTAGTCGTGAGTGGGAATCGAACTCAGGTCACTGGGTGTTCAGCTCAGTGCGCTCCCCATAGGTAGCGGTAGTGTAGTGCACTCACCACACACACCTAAACTATTTTTTTTATTTTACCAAGTAACGCCAACTGAGTTTAACACATAGGCTTTCGCGACCAATATTATTCATAATAAAGGTTTTTGGGTTAGATCGCGTTGTTTATAAATCTGTCGAAACCTTCCACCACCCGACACGGCCAATCAGCAAAATAAAGTGTCACGTTGACAAAAGACAATTAGTTTACTACTTTAGCCCACCGGTGTGTTGAAGAGTGAATCCACAACATTTACAGTTTGAATACGACGTTTTGCTGGTAATTACATCCAGCATCATCGGGCAATTTGCCAGGATGGTAAAGCCCTCACTTGCTCTCGGTCTTAAATAGAGCAGCAGGGTGACGTCATCATTTAACTTATTTCAGGTGCAGTGAATTGAGGCGGAGGGGGGGTATTGTAATTATATAATCGATTGGCCATCAGTCAATGGTTATGAGTTGTTTTTCAGAAGTGACCTGGCCACAATTGATATCTCAACAAAGTGGCTTATAACGTGGATATTTATAGCAACCAAATACTCTTAAGCGTACGTTTCTTAAGCGTGGAGGGAAACACCGGAGGACCTAGAAAAAAAATACACACGACCACGGGGATGACATGCCAACTCCAAATATAGAGGCATCGTCAGGGTCGGAATCAAACCCACGACCTCCTGCACACCAGGCGAGGGCGTTAACATTTCACCACCGCGGCTCCCCAACACACACCCGTCCCATGCATACATCTGCGTACCTATCAATCCATGTGTACGCGTGCACACACCTGCAAACGTGCGCACACGTCTACCCGCAACACACATCTGCCCGCGTATATCTGCACACACCGCTAGCCCCCTGGGCGTACCGTTCGGGGGTCCCGTGGGGGGGGGCGATGCTGTGCGCCTGCACGAGGCTGAACACGGGGATGAGGCTCAGGTCCGGCTCGTTGCTCAGACGGCGCCGCTCGCTCTCCTGGGCGCGCACGCTCGCGAGGGAGACCTGGGGCGGCCACGATACACGCCCACGCGCGACGTCAGTGGAGAACCCACAGACTCGCATCGGCACTCACGTAGAGACGCACGGACTCGCATAGGCACTCACGTAGAGACGCACGGACTCGCATAGGCACTCACGTAGAGACGCACGGACTCGCATAGGCACTCACGTGGAGACGCACGGACGCGTAGAGTCCCACATGCTCCCGTAGAGAACCATATGCTCGCGTAGGAACCCACATGCTCCTGTAGAGACCCACAGGCTGGCATAGGAAGCCATAGTCTCACATAGAGATGGACATAGATGCAGTACTCAGATAGAGTACCCCTAGATTTGCATACTGACCCATAGTCTCACATCGATACTCATATAGAGACTCCTATATTCACAGAAATGCCCATAGACCCACATAGACCAATAAACTCGTACAGAGACACAAATCCATAGACTCGCATAGAGGCGAGGGGCGCTGTGTGAACGTGATTGAAGGTGAGGTGAAAATGTATAAAGGTGAGCGGAGGTTGGGTTCAGTGAGGATGGCGAGTGGAGGCTCGTTGAGTGGTGAGACTGGTGAGGACCTGGGCGGCCGAGAGGGCCTCCACCCACTCCTGGGCGGCTGGGACTCCGCTCGCCTGGAAAGCCAAGGCTGCTGACACTGTCCCGTACTCGGTGAGGTACACGATCAGGAAAGAGCCTGCATGCAAAGAACGGACATCATCGTCGTCATCCACGGGGCTAGGTCACACTATGTCAATTGATGATGATGATGATGATGTTGACAATGATCATCCCAGTAAACATGCAACATTCGACCCAAGTTGGCATGTGGTTCGAACCGTTGTCCCAACGTTCCATGCTCACTGAGTATAATGTTGACAATGGTCTAAGTAGACAAGTAATGGCGATGCTTATCATGATGATCATCATGATGGTTTTGTCGACTGTAATTGACGACCAACGGCGATGATGGTTGTTGTGTTTATGTTGACTGATGATGGCGATTGTGATGATGATGATGGCGATTGTGATGATGGTCGAACCCGGGTCTCGGAGCTCCCTGCACACGAGTCGGTCCACGGCCATGGGTGGCCGGATGATTCGAGTCTTCTCGCCGCGCCGCGTCCACTTTGACACGAGCAACAGGTCCGTGAAGAGCACGCAGTGCACGTCCAGCTAGAGGGCGGGGGGGGGGGGGGTCATGGAGTTAAGAGGGTTTGGAGTCACGGGGACATTGGACACGGGGTTTTGAAGTCATGGGACACGGGGATATGGGGACCTGGGACACGGGGATATGGGGACCTGGGACACGGGATTATGGCGATTGAACACGTTGGCTTTCGCAAACCAATATTACTCATAATAAAGGGTTTTTTGGGTTAGATCGCGTAAATATGAATGTGTTGTTAATCCCGCCACAGCCAATTATTAAGGTTTGTCATGGAAACAAAACGGGACAATTATATTGCTACTTCAGCACCACCGGTGTTGTTAGAGAATAAAACCACAACCATTTACAATAAAAATAAAATTGGGATATTCGTGGCACGGGGTGATGTGGCATGAGGAGGCCAGGGGGATGCGGGGTCACAGAGACATAGGGACATAAGGACACAAAGACTTGGAGGGACACAGGGTCACAGGGACATGGGTTGGAGGCGTGTAGGCAAGGGTCCAGGAGGACATGGGAATATTTTTTGTATTTTACCAGGTAAGGCCCACTGAGCTATATAGCTCTTTTTCAGAAGCTACCTGGCCACAAATGATAGGCCAATTAAGAGACTCATCATTTGGAAAATGGATAGCAGCCAAATACTCTAAACGCGTGTTGATTCTATATGTGGAGAAAAAAAACAGGATCCGGGGAAATATCCGTGCGACCACGGGGAGTGAGACACGCAAACTCAGAATATACAGGCATCGTCAGGGTCAGGATCGAACCCACGGCCTCCTATGTACCAGGCGAGGTAGATAATATATCACCACCATGGCAAATATGGGGACATGGGTATTGCAGATGGCATATGGGAACAAGGTGGGGCAAAGTGATACAGGGGTACGGAGACGTATGTATGTTAAATTTCTTTCACACCGTACGTATCCAACCTTGCTAATGGGAGGTGCGGGGGAAGGAGATGCGGTGACATCTGGAGGCGGGGGGGGGGAAGTTGAATGTGGGGTCACTGAAACTGCAGGGGCGACGAGGTCATGGACCCGTGGGAGGCAGCCACATAGCGACACAGGGCATGGAGATTCAAGAGGAGACTCGGGAGCTGAGGAGACACAAAGGCTTTGGCAACCGTGGCTCAGCCGATTGAACGAGGTTGTGCGAGGAGGTTGAGGAAAAAGGAGCGTTGCGGCATCGTACCCGGTCCCTGCCGTCCCTCATCTTGAGGGGTCCCTCGAGCACGACCTCTCGGTACCGCGATCGTCCGGCCCCCGGGATGGGGCCCATGAGGTCCAGGCAGCTGAACTCCAGCAGGATCTGCAGGGGTCACGGAGACACGATGCCGCTCGCGAGAATCGTATCGGCAGCGGTGACGGTGGTGGCGATGATGATGATGGCGGTTTCCGTCATTATAATGGTGAGCAACAATTACAGTAATGATGATACTCTTCATGATAGTGATGACAGTGGTTGTGATGATAGTGACAATGATGATAATCAGGATGGTTGGAGTGTTGCTGCTGCTGCTACTGGTGGCGAGTTTTCAGTTTCTGATGATAATGGCAGTCGTGATAATGGAGATGATGATGATGGTGGTGGTTGTAGTGGTGGTGGTGGTGGTAGGGGTATCGATGATGGCATACCTGTCAACCCATACGGTTTACTCGTATTCTTGTACAAGGTAATTGAGTACAACAATGTTTTGTCTATTTGTTTGTGTGTTCTCCCTTGTGATTGGACTTTAAGGATGAACGTTGAGATTTATAAGGGCACGGGGTGACCAATAAGGTCTGAATTGGTCTGTAATAAGGTAGGGCACTGAAAAGGGGCTGACAAGGTGTGTAGTGGTGATGATGGAAATTATAGTGGTGATGAAAAAATGACGACGATGATGGCAGTGATGATAATGGTGGTAATGATGGTGACGGCGATGATGATGATGATGATGGTTACGGTCCAGAAGGTTGTCCCCCCTCACCCTGTCCACCTCCTCGGAGCCAGGCTCCACCACCTCGTAGGCCTCGATCCGCGCCGCCACCCCTGCCACACGCCGCTGCTCCTGCCGCATCTTCAACTCGGCGTTCACCTCGACGATGAACCCCTCCACGCTCTCCGCCTGCACACGCCGCTCACCTCGTCACTCTCCGCCTGCACACGCCGCTCACCTCGTCACTCACCTCGTCACTCTCCGCCTGCACACACTCTGCTCACCTCATCACTCACCGCCTCGCTCACCTCGTCACTCACCTCGTCACTCACCGCCTGCACACACGCCGCTCACCTCGTCACTCACCGCCTCGCTCACCTCGTCACTCACCTCGTCACTCACCGCCTCGCTCACCTCGTCACTCACTACACTCTCTGCCTGCACACAAACGGCTCACTTCGTCGCTAACCTCCACGTTTTCCGCCTACACAAACAAACCTCATCACTCACCTCCTCACCAGATCACTCACTGTGGTGTGAGATGCAGGGTACTGGGTGCAGGGTGCAGGGTACAGGGTGCTGGGTACAGAGTGCTGGGTGCAGGGTGCAGGGTGCTGGGTACAGGGTACAGGGTGCAGGGTACAGGGTACAGGGTGCTGGGTACAGAGTGCTGGGTGCAGGGTGCTGGGTACAGGGTGCAGGGTACAGGGTGCTGGGTGCAGGGTGCAGGGTACAGGGTGCTGGGTACAGGGTACTGGGTACAGGGTACAGGGTGCAGGGTACAGGGTGCAGGGTGCTGGGTGCTGGGTACAGGGGACAGGGTGCAGGGTACAGGGTGCAGGGTGCTGGGTACAGGGCGCTGGGTACAGGGTGCTGGGTGCAGGGTGCAGGGTACAGGGTGCTGGGTACAGGGTGCAGGGTGCAGGGTGCTGGGTGCTGGGTACAGGGCGCTGGATACAGGGTGCTGGGTACAGGGTACAGGGTGCTGGCTACAGGGTTCACCATGGCCAGCAGGGCAGTGCGGTCCCCCTCCGCATCGGTTTTCTGCAGCATGGCACGCAGCAGCAGCGGGTACTTGGTGAGGCGCTGGTGAGGGCTCGCCAGCATGTCCAGCAGCTTGAGCCGGCTACACGGCTTCTGGGACTCGGCCCACTGCGCCCACACCCATACACATACACACCCAATATACACACCGATACACAACAACCGCCATTAGCCACTAAGTGGCGATGACTTCACCACGACGCTTGTGCCAGGCCATGTGCACCTTGAGGCCACGTGAAGTGTCGAACGCCCGCTGGCAGGAGGTCACGGGGCAGACCCAAGTGCCACTAAGATGACTGAGATGACTGGCTGATGCACCACCTGTGCCCCCTACTGTGCCAACTTGCTGTGCTTTAGCCACCCGGCGCTCCGCTCGTTGTTGTGAGTGTCGCTCCTCTGCCCTCCGTTGTTGTTGGAGGGCGACTGCCTCAAACTGCCCAGTAGCGTCCTTCACGAGCCTCCTCCACAGAGGCCGATCTTGACACCGCTGGTACCAGTCATCGGCAAGTCCACTCAGCTCCACGTCCTCCTGTACCACATCACTCCATCTCTTCTCTAGCCCGTGCCGCGCCCGTTTAGCCTCCTCGATCTTTCAAGGATTTGTAAGCTCACACAATCCAGCCTAGTTAAACCCAGGATGGATCGTAGGCAGGCTAGCCTAAATGTTTCTAACGGGCGAAGATGTTCCATTAGGGGGGTCCACGTTTCGCAAGCGTAGAGAAGGGAGGAAATGACCGTGGCCGAGAAGACCTGAAGCTTAGTGCGGAGCGACAGACCAGGTAGCTTCCACACAGCGTTACGCAACCTATGAAAAGATATTGCCGCTCGACTGATTCGAAGTGAGACCTCTGCTGTTAAACTGGAGCCGGTCATAAGCACACTGCCCAGGTATGGGAAACTCTCCACTCCCTCCACAACTGCCCCATCACCGATTGGGAGTTGTGGGGGTTGAGTGTCCGATGGTACAAAATACCCAGGCAGGTGCTTAGTTTTGGTGGGGTTGATGGTAAGGCCCCATCTCTTAGTGGCACGCTCCAGTCTCAGCAGCAGCATCTCCAACTCCTCCTCTGAATGAGCAGCTATTACTAAATCATTGGCATACATAACGTGGTTGAGCAATAGGGAGCCATCCCTTGACCGCACCCGGGCATCGATCAGCCTCCCATTATATCTGTACCAAATGGAGGTTCCCCCGGTACAGCTATTGAAGGCTTCACGAACTACGTGGTCAAAATGGATGTTAAATAATGTGGGAGCCAGAGGACATCCCTGTCGCACCCCAAGGTGTACAGGGAATGACTCTGACTCCGGCCACGTAGTTTTACCCGGGCCCGCTCACCATCATGAAGGTCCTTAATCATCATGAGCAGAGGGTCAGGGACTCCAAAAGCACGAAAAACAACCCAGAGTCCAGGCCTACTGATGGTATCATAGGCCTTGACCAGGTCAATAAAGCAGAGATGTAGGTCTTGTTGGAATTCCCTACACCTCTGCTGTAGCAGACGGACAGAAAATATGGCATCTGTACACGACCGCCCTTTCCTGAAACCGCATTGGGGCTCCGCAAGCCTCTCCTCAGCGTGCCTGGCAAGGCGATGTTGAATAATCCTTGCCAGGACCTTTCCCGGCACACTGAGGAGTGAGATGCCCCTGTAGTTGTTACCATCTGTGCGGTCCCCCTTCTTAAAGAGGGGGACCACCAGGGCATCCTTCCAATCCTGCGGAACCCATCCAGTGGTCCAGACTGTTGTTATGATGTCATATAGGGCAGTCTGTGCACAAACGCCACCCTCCCTCAGCATTTCGCTTGGGAGATCATCTCTACCCGGTGCCTTTCCTGGTCTCAGACTCCGGATCACCTTCAGTACTTCCTCAACAGATGGCACCTCAGCCAGCCACTCACAGGGGGTGACTTTTTCCAATATTTGAGGCACCGCAGCCTCAGCAGGGTCATCCCCACTTTGTGCCACGATGTTTTCCTGGATGAGGGATTTCCCCTCCCCCAGGACCTCACAGAAATGCTCAGCAAATCTGCCAACCTGTTCCTGGGGGTCGGAGATTGGATCACCGTTTTTTCCCCTAATGATGGTAATAGGTGCGGCGCTGCAGGTTGCTTTTTTGATGGAGTTAAATAGAGATTTGTGAACGTGGGCTACTGAGGCAGACTCCATCTCCTCAGCAACCCGCGACCACCACCCATCCTTGCAGCGCCTCACGGCTCTCCGAACTTCCGAGCGAAGGCTGCGGTAAGTCTCCTCATTCTCTGATGTGGGATTCTGTAGCCGATGACAGTGGGCCTGTCGCTTTTTCTCAACCATCCTGAACACCTCCTCTGTCAGCCAGGGTCTCTGGGGAGGTCTGGACCGCGTACCCAAAGCAGCCATTGCAGCTGCATGAGTCACAGTCCTAAACCTCGCTCATTTACCCTCGACATCAGGAGGAGTGGGGGACGATGCCAACCCCAGCCGCAAGCGATGATGAAATTCTCGCTTGCAACTTTCATCAGCTAACTGAGACCAGGCCACTTTAGGTTGGAATGGGGTCCTGGGTGTACACCCACCACTGGAGTGGAAGAATGGCAGGCGCATCTTACAGATGACAAGTCGATGGCCAGAGGGCAGATCAGCTCCACGGTAGGTCCTGGTGTCAAGGACATGGGCTCGCATCCGCTGGTCCGTCACTATGTAGTCCAGCAGATGTTCTTGCTTGGACCCGGGTTGCATCCATGATGTTGTGTGGATGCGCCGATGCCGGAACAGCGTGTTGGTAATTACAAGCCCATGGGCTGCACAAAGATCTAGCAGCCTCCTACCGTTATTATTGACCTGATCTGGCCCATGCCCTCCAATCACTCCAGACCAGGTGCCAGCATCATGACCAACTCGGGCATTGAAGTCACCCAACAAGATGACTCATTTCCGAGGGGCCATTTTAGCCAGCACCTGTGACAGGAGGTCACAGAAGGCATCTGACTCATCGGCTTTGCCTGCATCCCTCCATGGATGTTCGTCTTCGGTGGGGGCATAAGTAACCACGACCACCAATCCTCGCCTCCGATTGATGGGAAGGCGAGCCCAAAGTAGCCTGGGGCTTACAGCTTCCCACACCTCACCGCCACGCTCCCACGCCCCCTTCATTATTTTGTTCAAAAGAAGAGCCACACCCTGTTGTTTGGCAGTCTGCTGCCCCGAGTAGAGGACTGTCCACACCCACATACACACACACACCCACACACATACACACACACACCCATACACATACACACCCTGATACCCATACACACAGATACACACCCTGATACCCATACACACACATACACACCCCGATACCTATACACACCCATACACATACATACCGATAACCCATACACACCCATACACATACATACCGATAACCCATATACACCCCCAACACCCCGATACCAACACACATACCGATACATGCACCGGTATGGGGCGATAGTGATACACCTCGACACAGTGTTGCAGGGTGTGCCACGTGGTGTGGCGGTGTGGTGCGCGTGGTGTGGCGGTGTGCCACGTGGTGACGTGTCGCTGACCGTGAGGTAGATGCGGAAGACCTCATTGTCGCGGATCAGGCTGCGAGCGTAGTCGGTGCTCTGCTGCTCGCTCAGGTAGTACCGCAGGTACGGCTCGAAGCGCTCGCGGAACTACGCGCCACGGCACCGCCCCACATACCACGCAGCGCACCACGGTACACACAGCACAGACAGGCACACAGCACACAACACGCAGCACACCACACAGCGCGCACAACGGTAAGCAAGATGAAGTAGGCACGCAGCGTTGATTTGTGTAGTCACGCAGTTTGGTGGGTTCCAGAGTGTGGTGGGTTCTAGGGGCTGATGGGTTCCAGAGTGTGGTGGGTTCTAGGGGCTGATGGGTTCCAGAGTGCGGTGGGTTCTAGGGGCTGATGGATTCCAGAGTGCGGTGGGTTCTAGGGGCTGATGGGTTCCAGAGTGTGGTGGGTTCTAGGGGCTGATGGGTTCCAGAGTGCGGTGGGTTCTAGGGTCTGATGGGTTCCAGAGGGCGGTGGGTTCTAGGGACTGATGGGTTGCAGAGTGCGGTGGGTTCTAGGGGCTGATGGGTTCCAGAGTGCGGTGGGTTCTAGGGGCTGATGGGTTCCAGAGTGTGGTGGGTTCTAGGGGCTGATGGGTTCCAGAGTGCGGTGGGTTTTAGGGGTTGATGGGTTCCAGAGTGTGGTGGGTTCTAGGGGCTGATGGGTTCCAGAGTGCGGTGGGTTCTAGGGACTGATGGGTTGCAGAGTGCGGTGGGTTCTAGGGGCTGATGGGTTCCAGAGTGCGGTGGGTTCTAGGGGCTGATGGGTTCCAGAGTGTGGTGGGTTCTAGGAGCTGATGGGTTCCAGAGTGCGGTGGGTTTTAGGAGTTGATGGGTTCCAGAGTGTGGTGGGTTCTAGGGGCTGATGGGTTCCAGAGTGTGATGGGTTCTAGGGGCTGATGGGTTCCAGAGTGCGGTGGGTTCTAGGGGCTGATGGGTTCCAGAGTGCGGTGGGTTCTAGGGGCTGATGGGTTCCAGTGGCTGATGGGTTGCAGAGTGTGGTGGGTTCTAGGGACTGATGGGTTGCAGAGTGTGGTGGGTTCTAGGTGCTGATGGATTCCAGAGTGTGGTGGGTTGTAGGGGCTGATGGGTTCCAGAGTGTGGTGGGTTCTAGGGGCTGATGGGTTCCAGACTGTGGTGGGTTCTAGGGGCTGATGGGTTCCAGAGTGCGGTGGGTTCTAGGGGCTGATGGGTTCCAGAGTGCGGTGGGTTCTAGGGGCTGATGGGTTCCAGTGGCTGATGGGTTGCAGAGTGTGGTGGGTTCTAGGGACTGATGGGTTGCAGAGTGTGGTGGGTTCTAGGTGCTGATGGATTCCAGAGTGTGGTGGGTTATAGGGGCTGATGGGTTCCAGAGTGTGGTGGGTTTTAGGGGTTGATGGGTTCCAGAGTGTGGTGGGTTCTAGGGGCTGATGGGTTCCAGAGTGCGGTGGGTTCTAGGGGTTGATGGGTTCCAGAGTGTGGTGGGTTCTAGGGGCTGATGGGTTCAAGAGTGTGGTGGGTTCTAGGGGCTGATGGGTTCCAGAGTGCGGTGGGTTCTAGGGGCTGATGGGTTCCAGAGTGCGGTGGGTTCTAGGGGCTGATGGGTTCCAGTGGCTGATGGGTTGCAGAGTGTGGTGGGTTCTAGGGACTGATGGGTTCCAGAGTGTGGTGGGTTCTAGGGGCTGATGGGTTCCAGAGTGCGGTGGGTTCTAGGGGCTGATGGGTTCCAGAGTGCGGTGGGTTCTAGGGGCTGATGGGTTCCAGAGTGTGGTGGGTTCTAGGGGTTGATGGGTTCCAGAGTGTGGTGGGTTCTAGGGGCTGATGGGTTCCAGAGTGTGGTGGGTTCTAGGGGCTGATGGGTTCCAGAGTGCGGTGGGTTCTAGGGGCTGATGGGGTCCAGAGTGCGGTGGGTTCTAGGGGCTGATGGGTTCCAGTGGCTGATGGGTTGCAGAGTGTGGTGGGTTCTAGGGGCTGATGGGTTGCAGAGTGTGGTGGGTTTTAGGGGTTGATGGGTTCCAGAGTGTGGTGGGTTCTAGGGGCTGATGGGTTCCAGAGTGCGGTGGGTTCTAGGGGTTGATGGGTTCCAGAGAGTGGTGGGTTCTAGGGGCTGATGGGTTCCAGAGTGTGGTGGGTTCTAGGGGCTGATGGGTTCCAGAGTGCGGTGGGTTCTAGGGGCTGATGGGTTCCAGAGTGTGGTGGGTTATAGGGGCTGATGGGTTCCAGAGTGTGGTGGGTTTTAGGGGTTGATGGGTTCCAGAGTGTGGTGGGTTCTAGGGGCTGATGGGTTCCAGAGTGCGGTGGGTTCTAGGGGTTGATGGGTTCCAGAGTGTGGTGGGTTCTAGGGGCTGATGGGTTCAAGAGTGTGGTGGGTTCTAGGGGCTGATGGGTTCCAGAGTGCGGTGGGTTCTAGGGGCTGATGGGTTCCAGAGTGCGGTGGGTTCTAGGGGCTGATGGGTTCCAGTGGCTGATGGGTTGCAGAGTGTGGTGGGTTCTAGGGACTGATGGGTTCCAGAGTGTGGTGGGTTCTAGGGGCTGATGGGTTCCAGAGTGCGGTGGGTTCTAGGGGCTGATGGGTTCCAGAGTGCGGTGGGTTCTAGGGGCTGATGGGTTCCAGAGTGTGGTGGGTTCTAGGGGTTGATGGGTTCCAGAGTGTGGTGGGTTCTAGGGGCTGATGGGTTCCAGAGTGTGGTGGGTTCTAGGGGCTGATGGGTTCCAGAGTGCGGTGGGTTCTAGGGGCTGATGGGGTCCAGAGTGCGGTGGGTTCTAGGGGCTGATGGGTTCCAGTGGCTGATGGGTTGCAGAGTGTGGTGGGTTCTAGGGGCTGATGGGTTGCAGAGTGTGGTGGGTTTTAGGGGTTGATGGGTTCCAGAGTGTGGTGGGTTCTAGGGGCTGATGGGTTCCAGAGTGCGGTGGGTTCTAGGGGTTGATGGGTTCCAGAGAGTGGTGGGTTCTAGGGGCTGATGGGTTCCAGAGTGTGGTGGGTTCTAGGGGCTGATGGGTTCCAGAGTGCGGTGGGTTCTAGGGGCTGATGGGTTCCAGAGTGTGGTGGGTTCTAGGGGTGATGGGTTCCAGAGTGTGGTGGGTTCTCGGGGCTGATGGGTTCCAGAGTGCGGTGGGTCCAGAGTGTGATGGGTTCTACGGTCTGATGGGTGGGTTAGAGTGTGGGTGGGTGAGAGTGTGGGTTAGAGTGTGGGTGGGTTAGAGTGTGGGTGGGTTTGAGCCTGGATTTGGCTAGAGGGCTGTTAAGGGCTCCGGGGCCTTCGTGTGACAAGGGCGGTGGGGGGTGGGGGGGGGGGGTGCTCACCCCGGTAAAAGCCCCGCGGAGGTCTGCGGGGCGGAGCGGCGCGCGCAACGAGCGCGACCGCTGGAGCGCGGGCGCCAGCTGCTCCCGCCACAGCCCCTTGTGCAGCGCCAGCAGCTGCGGAACGTTCACAAACACACGCTCCACCTGCACCTGCACCACCGGCAAGATGTGGGGGGGGGGGGGGGGGGGGGGGGGGGGGAGATCGGTGATTGTGGGTGACGTCACGGGCCGTCACGGAGCGTCGCCGACTGATCGCGACGGGCCGGCACGGGCTGTGGCATCGCGCGTGGTAATAAACGATCATCACGTGAACTCCGGTGGTCATCCTCGCAGCAACAAACACGGCGGTCACCGCCGTCGCGCGGCGCTTTCAGGTGCGCTTCTGCGGCCGTCTGGAACGCTCTTCCTTCCGATATTAGGAAGCCACTGGAGCTATGTACTTTCAAATCTCGATTGAAAACTCATTTCTTTAGAACTGCTTTTTGTGTTTAGTTTGTTGGCCTTCCCCCGCACCTCCGATTAGCGCTGCTGGCTACGTACGGTGCGAAAGAAGTTCAACATACATACTTCATCGGCTATCGCTGACCCATACAGACTCTTAACGAGCATCACGGACGGCACCGTCGTGAGGTCACCTCTCTGAGCAGCCCGGTCTCCTGCAGGTTGAGCAGGCAGCTGATGAAGAGCTGCACCGAGAGACGAGCACAGACACAGATGTCAGAAACGGAGACGCGATTCACTCGCTCACTCGTTCATTGTTTCATTCGTTCGACTTGCTCACTCGCGAGAAATCGTCGACAGGCATTCACTCAACGCAATGAATTCGCTCGTTCAATCACCCCACGCGTTTATTCACTCATTCGTTCACTCACCCATTAATCTCATTCGCGCACCCGCGCACTCATTCCTGAACACATTCACTTGTCCATTCATTTATTGAGGAATCGATTCATTCACTCAATCCACTCATTCAGCCATCAGTGGGAATCGGTGAGGATCGGCAGGGATTGGTGGAAAATTGCGAGGATTGGTGAGGATGGGTAAGGATCGGTGGAGAATGGCGAGGATTGGTGGAGAATTGTGGAGATCGGTGAGGATTAATGATTGGCGAGGATCGATGGGGACCAAGGGCACTCACGTCACACAGGAGCTGCAGGCTACGCATGTAGGACATCTCGGTGCTGAACAGCTCCCACGTGGCCTCCTGCTGCTGGTAGCTCCGGTGGCTCAGGCTCTAAGAGGTGGACAATGTAAGGTGGACAATGCGATGTGGACAATGCGAGGGTGGACAATGGGAGGTAGCAAATACGATATGAATAATGCGAGGTGGACAATACGAGGTGGAAAATACGATATGGACAATGCGAGGTGGACAATGTAAGGTGGACAAAATTACGGCGGACAATGCGCGGTGGACGTGTTCAACGACACACCATGTTGCCTCGAGTAAATACACATCTTCGCCGGGGGAAACAAAGGCGGCCGGGTGCCATGAAGGCGCCACACCGCAGGTACTCAAGCGGTATTTTTATTTCTGGAAGATTTGCTGGTTTATCCCAGGATGTTTCTGATGCGCGTCGTCACTTTAAGATGTTTCTGTGTTCATATTTTGTTTGTTGCGGTTGCACCCGACTCAAGAGCCGCATGGCTCACAGGGCTCTACCTCATAAATGAAACTTGAAACTAAACTTGAAGAATTAATATTTCTCACAACCTCCACCGCCTATGACTACATCTGCGATGAGCACCATCGGGGGCGACGCGCGACCCTCGGTTACCAAGTCCCAACATAAGCTATTTTTTTTAATGTAACTTTTACCAGGTAATAGCCCACTGAGCTATATAGCTTATTTTTTCAGAAGCGACCTGGCCATCACAAATGGCAGCTCAACGAAGTGGCTTATCATCGTGTGGAAATTTATAGCAGCCAAATACTCTAAACGGGGTGATGTTGATTCTAAATGTTGAGGGAAAATCCAGAGGACCTGGAGAAAAATCCGCACGACCACGGGGAGAGAGACACCGCAAACTCCAAATATACAGCAGCAGGTGCCAGGGTCGCGATCGAACTCACGACCTCCTGTAGACCAGGTGAGATCGTTAACATCTCGACACCACATTGGAGTCAAACCCGAAGGCATGCGACCAGCCGAGAAACTCGGCCCGGCAACCCAAACTCACAGGCAGCTCGAGTTCAATGCACATTGAATATCGTAGCCTCTGCCGACAACCCAGAATCGGACTACCGTAACTAAACTGGCTGAATCCGATGAGCGATAAAGCTCTTTTTTACAGATGTCCAGTAGGTGCACGGGGTCAGAACGTTACACCAACAAAGAGGACAAAAACACGATACGAGTACAAAGTAAAGGAAAGGTAAATAACTTTGAAAACAAATACAAATAAAACGAATAAAAAATGTTTATCCCACCACGTAAATCTCACTCGGCTATTAGTGTCTTCTTTCAGAAGCGACCTGGCCACAAATGATAGCTCCGCTCATCACGAGGATTTTGTGGCTCACGGAAACTCGCTGTACGGGACATGGCTGATATGGGGGACCTTTGCGTGTGTGGGGAGGGGGAGCGGGAGCGGTAGCGTAGTGGTTAGGCACATCGCTCTACGAACCCGGACCACCCAAGTTCGATTCCCGTTCACACAGCAACCGTCGTTGATGAATATCTGAACCTGTCCTGGGCCGCTCCTAGGTTGACTCCACTTTTCATGAGCACCCGGTGCAGAGTTTAAACTCAAGCACTGGGGAGACAAAGGCGGCCGCGCGTGGTGGTGCTGGTCACCCACCCTCCCCCCCTCCCTAGTGTACAGCGCCGGCCTTCGTAGGTGCTACTCGCCAACAACACTTGCCCCAACAGTCTGTTGAGGCTATATGGGGGATCTTTGTCTTGCGCTAGTGGATACTGGTGGCAGAGTGGTTAACACACTCCCCTAACGAACCCGGGCGAGCAGAGTTCGGTTCTTTGCCACAGCTAACATCAGTGGCGAGTGATACCACAGCTAATCAATCTGTGGAAAAAGAGCTTCATAGCTTATCGGATTTCTCCAGTGTTAGTAAAAATTCTGATTCAATCCTGGGCCTCGCTCCCACCCCTCAACTTTTCACCAACCCACACTGACCAGCGCGGCGAAGTATGGTCGACTAAACCATCCCCCCCCCCTCCCCTACCGTCACGGCATGGAGATGTTTTCATCCAGCAGTGGGTTGACAAAGGGCTGTAATCTATTATTATTATTAAATGCGTTGCTATGATCATTCCTCACCTTCATGGAGCGCTGCCACGTTGCGATATGAAAGTGGGGTTTGAAGCTAAGATGTGAATTCTGTGAAGGCGTCTCTCCACCTCCCCCCCCCACCTCTCTCGCCTTTGAAGTTTCGCTCGGCAAAAACACGGCGCGAATAACAACACGACGGAGCATCGCAAGTTCACCGCCGTGTCTTCCCTGGGACAATGGAAACTCTCGCGATCTGCCAAAAACAATGAACAGGCAAAAGAGGAGGTGGTGGTGGCGGCCGTGCGTACGCGTGTACGATGAACTTCTTTCACGCACTACGTACGTAGCCAACGCTACGGAGGCGCGGGGGAAGGACAGCAAACTAAGCACAACGACGAGATTGGAATGAGCTTGTCGATCTAGATCAGGGGTGGGGAACGTCCGGCCCGCAGGCCGTATGAGGCCCGCGATATCATTTGGGTCTCTGTCCCTGCCAAGGCAACCGCAGGCGGGAGTCGAAATTTAATCAATCTAGGAGCAAACCTGGAAAAGCAGTTGCGAGTAGCACCATCATCAACACCAGCTAACATCATCACACGCCTCGCTAAAGAGAAGCAGTTCCAGCCATCACATTAGGGGTGAGTTAATTAAATGTTTGACCAAATATAACAGGCTGTTTTTTTAAGTTGATCATTTTGTATGGCCCGCGAATGATGTGATAAATATCCAAATGGCCCTCGGCAGAAAAAATGTTCCCAACCCCTGATCTAGATGGTGATTTAATAGTGCACGTCTGCCAGTGGCTTCCTAATGTCGGAAGGAAGAGCGTTCCAGGCGGCCGCAGAAGCAGCGGCGCATCTGAATGCGCGACGCGGTGACCACCGGCTTTGTTCGGTAGCCAGCAGCCAAAAGGCTCCGCTGCTCCGAGGGTGGCCGCGGGGTCGGGGCGACAGCGAGGCGGCACCGGCGGAGAGGGCCTGGGTTCACATCCAGGTTTTAGCATCCCGTGATTAACCGGGTTCTCGGGTGTGGCGAGTTGATGGTCTCGGCCTGGTTACAAGTGACTCACATAGAGACCCATAGACACTGACATAGAGACCCATAGACACTCACGTAAATACCCATAGACACTCACATAAATACCCATAGACACTGACATAGAGACCCATAGACACTCACGTAAATACCCATAGACACTCACATAAATACCCATAGACACTCACATAGATACCCATAGACACTCACATAGAGACCGATAGACACTCACATAAATACCCATAGACACTGACATAGAGACCCATAGACTCACAGACTGAGTTGTGATTAAACGGGGTTCTCAAGGTGTAAGCCAGTTGATGATCTCTGGGAGGGTGGCAGGAAAAGACAAGTCAATCTCGCCAGTGACCTTTGACCCCTCGCGCCGTCAGCGCCTCCCGTGGCGAAGGCGCAAATTCGGCCCCGGATTAAACGCACGGAACAACCCTCCCCCCGGACTAGAACAACGACGACGACGACGGTGACGGTGAACATACACACAAGACAATATAGACGCATACAATAATTAACTGCGGCCACTGCTGGATGAATACCCTCTCCATGCCCAAGCACTCACACAGCCTTCCCCCCTCCCCCTCTCCCCCCTTGCTCCTCCCCCCTCACTCACCTATATAACCTCTTGCCACGGCAGATCTCTCGCCTATTTCAGCATTTTTTTATTGCTGTGGTTGTTCCACCTGATGAAGATTGCTTGTGTTGCCACCGAAACGTCGTGATTTATTTCATTTTATTTCTACCTACGTGACTTTACCAAAACAACCAAAGAGTATGTGACCATACTTCACCACGCTCGTCATTGTGGGTTGGTGAAGGGGGGGGGAGGGCGATGGAAACAAGAGCAGTTCAAGCACTCATTTAAGACTGAGCCGACCTAGGGGAGGCCCAGAACCGGTTCAGATATCACTCACCACCGATGGGTTCATCGTGGAGTGCGCCAACCACTGCGTCACCGCTCCATCCCAAATACATATCCAGGCCAACCTCGCCTCGTCTCGACAGTCATCGTCTCTCGCGGGTCGGAGGGTGGTAGTTTTCGAGATGGTCAGGGGTTATGGATGGTGGTGGGGCTAGTCAGGGGGCCACGGTGGCTGCGAGATGTTAACTATCTCGCCTGGTATACAGGAGGTCGTGGGTTCGATCCCGACCCTGACGCCAGGCTGTATATTTGGAGTTTGCGTGTTTCTCTCTCCCCGTGGTGGTGCGGATTTTTCTCCGGGTCCTCTGGTCTTTCCCTCCACATTTAGAATCAACATCACGCATTTAGAGTATTTGGCTGCTACTATAAATTTCCACGTGGTGATGAGCCACTTCGTTGATAGCCAGGTCGCTTCTAAAAAAAAAGAGCTACATCGCTCAGTGGACCTTACCTGGTAAAATAATACAAATTGTTTCGTTTAGTTCTCACGACCTTTGCCCCCGAGCTTGGCCTTGACCATGACCCTGACCGTGGTGAGCCTGACCTTGGGGTCGTGGCAGATTTGTGTCCACGAGGCTTCGAGGTCGGGCAGCGGCTCGCTCCACTCGGCGGCGTCGCGAGGCCGGGGGAGGCCGTGGAGCTCGAAGGCCGAGAGGCGGCCCCGGAGGATCTCCAGCCGGTCCGAATCCTGCGCACAAAGACAAAGGTCCCCCCCTCCCCTCTTATAGCCTCCATCAGACTGTTGGGGCAAGTGCTATTAGCGAGCACACATCGAAGCTGGCGTGGCACAGGAGGGAGGTGGGTGGCCAGTTACCACGCCCGATCACCTTCGTCTCCCCTGTGCTCATGTTTGCACACCGCACCAGGTACGATACGCAATTAAGGCCCAGTCGACCTAGGGGAGGCACAGGACCGGTTCAAATATTCTTCAGCGGAAATCGAACTCGGGTCATCGGGGTTCATAGCGCAGTGTGTTAACCACTGCAGGCATACACACAATTTACACATTGACACACATACATACACACACACGTACACATAGATATACAGATATACGAACAACAAAGACAAAGATCCTTCATATAGCTTTAACAGACTGTTGGGGCAAGTGTTGTCAACGAGCACCTATGAAGGCCGGCATGGCACACGGTGGGTGGACAGCACCACGCTCGTCCGCCTTTGTCTCCCCAGTGGCAATGTTTACACACCGAACAAGGTACTCATTTGAGGCAGTCACCGTTGTTGGCCGTGAGCGGGAATCGAACTCGTGCCGCTGGGTTCCAAGCGTAGCGGCGCTAACCGCTGCACCACCGCTCCCCCCTTGGTATGTGGTGCCACTCGACTCGCGCCCAGAGACTGTCACGTTGCTCAAGATCTGCGTCTCGAATCGCGACGACCGTCGCTCACAAATCCCGGCGGCGAGCGTCCGGTGGCGATGAGTACAGCAGTAGAGGTCCAGGACACCGCAGTAGAGGTCCGAGTGGGTGGCTGCGTGCGTCAGTGCGTAGGCGGGTGGGTGATGGAGCGGGTGGGTGGGTGATGGAGCGGGTGGGTGGGTGATGGAGCGGGTGGATGAGTGATGGAGCGGGTGGGTGAGTGATGGAGCGGGTAGGTGATGGAGCGGGTGGGTGATGGAGCGGGTGGGTGGGTGATGGAGCGGGTGGGTGGGTGATGGAGCGGGTGGATGAGTGATGGAGCGGGTGGGTGAGTGATGGAGCGGGTGGGTGATGGAGCGGGTGGGTGATGGAGCGGTAGCGCAGTGTTTGGCACGGTGGCGCCACAAACCCGGTAACCCAAGTTCAATTGGCGCTCGCGGCCAACAACATGAGCGAATATTTGAACCAGTGCCGGGCCTCCCCTAGGTCGACTCAGACTTAATTAAATACCTCGTGCGGCACGCACAAAACATCAGCACCCCCTCGCGTGTCGTGCCTGCTTTACTAAACTAAGTGCTCGTGAACAGAACTTGCCCCAACAGTTTGTTAAGCCCGGTGGTACACATCTTGGTGGTACACATCCTGGTGGTACACATCTTGGTGGTACACATCCTGGTGGTACACATCCTGGTGGTACACATCCTGGTGGTACACATCTCAGTGTACACATCCTGGTGGTACACATCCTGGTGGTACACATATTGGTGGTACACATCCTGGTGGTACACATCCTGGTGGTACACATCCTGGTGGTACACATCTCAGTGTACACATCCTGGTGGTACACATCCTGGTGGTACACATATTGGTGGTACACAGCCTGGTGGTACACATCCTAATGGCACACAGCCTGACGGCGATGTGTTATTCATTGGCAGTGGGCCACATTTATCCGTGTGGTAACCACATAAACATGCGAACGTTGGGCCAACGTTGGCATGGGGTTAGAACCGTGGACCCCACGTTTCATGTTTACTGGGAAGACGTCGAAGCCTCCATTCGTCACCAACGTTGGCCGATGCTCGGCTTACGCTGGATAGACTTTTTATAGATGGCCCGACCCCGGTTCGGCATTCTGGGTGATTTCGGTCAGATCTTTTCTCGTGCATTCGAAACAAGGTGGCGGGATTGAGCTCATTAACTCGGGAAAGCCATGCGCACACACACCGAGCCTGAAGACTCTTTTGGCAAGAGGGTCTCTGCTATATTGAGATGATGTTTGGCCAACATTAATCATATTGTATGTTTTTTGTTGTTTAGCTTTTGGGAGAAAACCGGATAACCCGGAGGAAATCCATGCAGACCACGGGGGGGAGAACACACAAACTCTACAGTGCGTGGTGTGCGAACGTGCGAGTGAATGTTCCATTGCCTTGGTAAGGCCCGCAGGCTGCTGGCGGCCCCTGACAAAACACAAATGGTGAAAAGACAACCCCATCATCATGCTGCTGTCAAACCCCAATGGTTTCCAATGTGTGGCGGTCCTCACACTTGATGTCTTATCAGCTAAAGTGTCCCCCCCCCCCCTCCTAAAAATTAGTGAACAATACTGCCATAGTGGCTCACTTAATGGCCTGGCTTGCCGTCTTGTCACAGTGGCTCACTTTGTGGCCTGGCTTGCCGTCTTGTCACAGCGGCTCGCTTAGTGGCCTGGCTTGCTGTCTTGTCACAGCGGCTCACTTAGTGGACTGGCTTGCCGTCTTGTCACAGCGGCTCGCTTAGTGGCCTGGCTTACCGCCTTGTCACAGCGGCTCACTTAGTGGACTGGCTTGCCGTCTTGTCACAGCGGCTCGCTTAGTGGCCTGGCTTGCCGCCTTGTCACAGCGGCTCACTTAGTGGACTGGCTTGCCGTCTTGTCACAGCGGCTCGCTTAGTGGCCTGGCTTGCCGCCTTGTCACAGCGGCTCACTTAGTGGACTGGCTTGCCGTCTTGTCACAGCGGCTCACTTAGTGGACTGGCTTGCCGTCTTGTTACAGCGGCTCGCTTAGTGGACTGGCTTGCCGTCTTGTCACAGCGGCTCGCTTAGTGGACTGGCTTACCGTCTTGTCATTGTATTTGTCAAGACTCTGTGGGGGTTTTCCAGCCGTGACTGTGACCTCCTCAAGCGCAGGGTCACAGTCGCTTACAGTCTCAGCCGGGAGCGGGAGAGTGGAGGGGATGGAGGGAGGGGGGGCATAGACCCCCACAGTGGTCACGCGGAATAGAGCGAGGGATGAAGACTCATTAGAGACTTGTACCCCCATCATCATCATCATCCTAACATCACAATCACCGCGTCTCCATAACATTATCGTCATGATCACCATCATCAACATCATCCTATAAACGTATAATCCTCATCGTCTTGATGAGATTACAATCACATAATCACAACACCATCATCAATTAGATGGTCTCAATGTTATAGCATCCTCGTCGTCACGAGCACATCATCGTAAATAAATCATCATCGCATCAAGATCGTCACCAGCCACACAATGTTCCCATCGCACCACATTAAATCACTATCATCACAATAATATCCTAAGAGCAAGCACATCAATCATCATACCTACCAACCATCCATACATCATCACAGACCCTCGCTACTCATCTGCCTCTCCCATCATCACCGACATTTTCCCATCACAATGTTCAATTCACCGCCCCCCTCCCCCCCCCGTTCCTCCCCACCAAGCCTTCCTGCGAGGGTCAACCACGCAATACATTCACAGTGAGACATTACCAGCGAATCAACAAACAAACGACACCACGGATACACGCTCGTCCTTCCCATATTAGGAAGCCACTGGAGCTGTGCACTTTTAAATCTCGACTGAAACTCATTTCGCTGCGTTTAGTTTGCCGCCCTTCCCGGGCACCTCCGGTGGGGCACGATTGGCTACGTACGGTGCGAAAGAAATTCAACGTACGCATCGCGGCGAGAGGTTACTCATTTGAGGCAGAGTCAACCGAGGCCCATAACCGGTTCAGAGATAATCGTCACTGTTTTTGGCCGTGAGCAGGAATGGAACTCGGGTAGGCCGGGTTCGTAGGGCAGCGTAGTGCTAACTGCTGCGCCACCGCTCTCCACTGAACCACAGACAAAGATCCCCCGTGTAACCTGAACAGACCGCTGGGGCAAGTGCTGTTAGCGAGCAGCACCCATGAAGGCCGGAACGGCACACGAGGGGGTGGGTGTCCAGCACCACGCCCGTCCGCCTTTGTCTAGCGATGTTTACAGTCGACGTGGGGAAGGTCCAGGACCGGTTCAGGTAATCGTCACTTGGTGCTGACCGTGAGCGGGAATCCATCCCCGGTCGTCGGGTTCGCAGCGCGCTAACCACTGCGCCACCGCTCCCCCACACAGACACACACGGCAACACAAACAAATACATACGTGCACAAATAAACACATCCAGATGCGTAAAAACAAACACAATACGCGTACACAGAAACACTTCCGGGCACACAAATACACACACCCACACGTACACAGATGAATACCACGAGCAACACACAAACGTATGCGCGCACGTGAACGCACACCACATGAATGGACACACACAAAGACAAAGATCCCCCGTATAGCCTGAACAGACTGCTGAGGGGCAAGAGCCATATTTGAGCGCACACTCGCGCATAGACACCCACAAGCGATCCCCACGGAACAGCCGCCACGCGCACCAACGTGGCCGAGACGTCCACGCGGGGCGCGCGTGCCAGGCTCGGTGCACTCTGAGGCTGTCACGCGCAAAGTGCACAAAGTGTGTGGAAGGCTCGGCCGCTGGCAGGAGGTCACGGGACAGGCCCAGGTGTTCTGCGTTACGAGGGAGCTGGAAACCACCCCCTGTGTCGTCATCTCGGCGGTGTTCTAGCCGCCGCAGGGTGGATAAAGGACGCTCACAATAACCAGCAGAGCACACAGACACACACTGACACACACTGACACACACACCGACACAAAAGACAAAGATCCCCCGTATAGCATGAACAGACTGTAGGGGCAAGTGCTGTTAAGCGAGCACCTATGAAGGCCGGCACGGCACACGAGGGGGTGGGTGGCCAGCACCACTCCCGGCCGCCTTTGTCTCCCCAGTGGCGATTTATGCAGAGTTGAGGCCGAGTCGACCTACTGTGCCAGCGCACACACTCACACTCTCACACACACTCATACACTCTCACACACTCTCACACTCTCACACACACACCCCCTCACACACACCCTCACACACACACCCCCCCTCACACACACACACACCCCCTCACACACACACCCCCTCACACACACACCCCCTCACACACACACCCCCTCACACACACACACCCTCACATACACACACTCTCTCACTCTCTCACTCTCACACACACACACACCCTCACACACACACACACCCCCTCACACACACACACCCTCACACACACACCCCCTCACACACACACACACCCTCACACACACCCTCACACACACACACACCCTCACACACACACACACACACCCTCACACACACACCCCCTCACACACACACACCCTCACACACACACACCCTCACACACACACCCTCACACACACACCCTCACACACACACCCTCACACAGACACCCCCTCACACACACACACACCCTCACACACACACACACCCTCACACACACACACCCCCTCACACACACACCCCCTCACACACACACACCCTCACACACACACACCCTCACACACACACCCTCACACACACACCCTCACACACACACCCTCACACAGACACCCCCTCACACACACACTCTCACACACACAGACACCCCCTCACACACACACTCTCACACACACAGACACCCCCTCACACACACACTCACACACACACACACCCTCACACACACACTCTCACACACACACACACCCTCACACACACACACACCCTCACACACACACCCTCACACACACACACCCTCACACACACCCTCACACACACACACACACACCCTCACACACACACACCCTCACACACACACACCCTCACACACTCACACTCTCACACACACACCCTCACACACACACCCTCACACACACACACACACACACACTCTCACACACACACACTCTCACACACACACACACCCTCACACACACACACCCTCACACACACACACCCTCACACACACACACCCTCACACACACACACACCCTCACACACACACACCCTCACACACACACACCCTCACACACCCTCACACACACACCCTCACACACACACACCCTCACACACCCTCACACACACACACCCCATCACACACACACACACACACCCCCTCACACACACACACCCCCTCACACACACACAAACCCCCTCACACACAAACCCCCTCACACACAAACCCCCTCACACACACACTCTCACACACACACACCCCCTCACACACACCCCCTCACACACACACACACCCCCTCACACACACACCCCCTCACACCCTCTCAGACCACCGCCCACCTTCACCACTGCTCCTCCGGGCCCGAAGATGCCACCAATGCGAGCCCCCTGTCGCACCTTGCCCACGTCCACGGGGCTCCCCGCGGGGGTCGGGGCGGCCCCCTCGGGGGGCCCCCACTTCTCCAGGGGGACCATCGCGTCCCCCAGGTACGACGCCATGTTCTTGCGCCTCCGGCAGGGGGTCTGCGGGGGGGGGGGGGTAGGAGGGGAATCAGTGGAAGTAATTAGGGGGGGGGGGCGAGACGAGGGATGGGGGGGAGGGGTATAGGGGGGACGAGATGAGTAATTATGGGGGGGGGCAAGAGCATTATCATCTTGGGATGGGGGGGGTTACGGGGGTGGGGGGGGGGTCCATGAGTGGAGTAATTAGTCGAAGAGACGACAGAGGGGGGGCTCATCCTCGTGTTGGCCACGTGCTAGGTAGGGGTCGTCTGTCCCCGTCGCCCCCTAATAGCTCAGCTCGCGGGCTGGGCGGTGGTGGGTGGGTGGGTGGGGGGTTAATTGCCTCTGATGGGTAATTGTCTCTGCTTGCTCGTGACTAATGACAATGAAATTGCCCCATTAAAAAGGGTGCCAGCAATTCTTAGCAGGTGAATTAAGCAACGTCAAACAGGGTCAATCCTTGCCAAGGGGCACCGCGTCTCAGAGCCTCACTGCAGCAACCGGGTGGCTCTGATGCTGCTGATGATACTGCTGATGCTGCTGCTGCTGCTGATACTGCTGCTGATACTACTGTTGCTGCGTTCCCACGTGCGTTGGAAAGCGTGCCGAGCCGAGCCAGCCCACTTATGGTTTCTGGAATGGCGCGCGCAGAGAATAAGCCAGACAGAAGACGTGCTAACTCTATTGAACACACTCGTTTTCCCAGGGAATCCTCACACCGAGTCTCAACACTCATTGTCAGGAGGGTAATTTTGTTGCGGTAAGGGGCGATGCTGCTGCTGCTGCGGTGTGTAACTCCAATTGAGTAAAATGTTCCAGGTAGTTTCTGCGGCACTGAGATGCTTTGGCCAATCCGAGTGACATTACAGTGATATGTTGGCTCTTTGCAGGGAGGTTTTAGCGACGGAAGGAAATTGAAAAACGAGGAAAACCGCACACAGCATACAATCGCATTACTTAAAATTGACTAAAATACCAGGTCTGAGAAGTAAAAAAGAATATCACTTTGACTGCCACGTGATGAACATTTCTCTGCAGCGGGCTTGTGCGGAATTTTCCTGTGCCCTCATTTGTGAATTAACAACACCCCCCTCCCCCCCCCCCCAGTAAACATGCAACGTTGGGCTAACTTTTTTTCCCCCACGTCGGCCCAACGTTCCGTGCCTACTGACTGGGATGTAGTTCCCGGATATCTCCTTCCACGAGGCGCTGCCTAACACGGAGAATTCCGCGCGGGCTCGGCCCCTCGTGAGTGCCGTGACGACGCGTTGCACACAATTGTGAACACAGCCGACGATCATAACGGCCACGCGATAATTACCGATCACTAAACACGCCCGTCAACGGCCTCATAATTGCCACTGGAAATGTGACGTCTCCGTCATCCTGGCGAGCCTGCCACAGTTTGAGTCGTAAGACGATGTTCTTGTTTAAGGTGGCAGAAGACGTCTTGTCAGATCGAGGCAGCTGTGTCCGTAATGCAGTGGCGGCGGGGGCGCTGTGACAAGGCGGTCAAGAGGAGCCGCCTTGATTTAGCAGGGCAGGTGAGCGATGGGGGCGGACACCAATTCGGATGAGAAGGCAGTGTACAGAGAAGCGACATTGATACTGGGGGGGGGGGGGGGGGGGGGAGCGTTTCCTGTCTGTGGACACTCAAGAGCCGTCGCTAGGGTAATGGCGATTTGGGGCGACCGCCCTGGGCCCCAAGCTTTGCTACCACCCCCCTCCCACCCTTCGACATCACGGAGTCAGACGTAGCACTTTGCCCAGGGCCCCGGCCCCCCCCCCCCCCCCACTACGGACGGCCCCATGTGCATTGTTGTGATTGCATGCAAAATGCATCGGAGAGCTGGGCCCCCTTTAATTACGCGGCGGCTCGAATATTGGCATCGAGCACAGAGGCGTGCGGCTGGCTCGGCTCGACTCGGAGACGGACGCTGGGCCACGTCGTGATAGAGCGTCGGGCGCGTGTTGCAGGGTGTGAGCAGGGCGGACGCAGGGGGAGCCCTGGGTAGGGACACGTGTGTGTGTGTGTGCAGGGTGGGCTCGTGACCTCCACGAGTCGGGCGACTGAGTGGAAGAGAAGGCCCAAGGACAGACGGTGCGATGGTGCGAGTGTGAGGGCATTTCTCGCGTGTCTCTACTGTGCGCGGCAGCTGCGGGATCTGGCAAGTTGGTGGCATCACAGCTGATTTGGCCATAATGACGTCTTGAGCTTCAACCATCACTCACCACCCATCACCAAATATCCACATTATGCCACCCATCACCCACCATCCATCCCCTCGTCACTCATTAATTACCTATAACCGATCATGCATATTCCCATTATTCATTCATCCCCCACGACTCATCACCCATCACCCACTACTCACCGCACATCACTTATCAACCACCACCCATCTCCCCACACTACTCACCTATCACCCACTACTCACCTATCACCCACCGCTCACCTATCACCCACCGCTCACCTATCACCCACCACTCACCTATCACCCACTACTCACCTATCACCCGCTACTCACCTATCACCCACCACTCACCTATCACCCACCACTCACCTATCACCCACTACTCACCTATCACCCACCACTCACCTATCACCCGCCACTCACCTATCACCCGCCACTCACCTATCACCTGCCACTCACCTATCACCCGCTACTCACCTATCACCCGCCACTCACCTATCACCCGCCACTCACCTATCACCTGCCACTCACCTATCACCCGCCACTCACCTATCACCCGCCACTCACCTATCACCCGCCACTCACCTATCACCCACCACTCACCTATCACCCGCCACTCACCTATCACCTACCACTCACCTATCACCCACTACTCACCTATCACCCACCGCTCACCTATCACCCACCGCTCACCTATCACCCACCACTCACCTATCACCCACTACTCACCTATCACCCGCTACTCACCTATCACCCACCACTCACCTATCACCCACCACTCACCTATCACCCGCCACTCACCTATCACCCACCACTCACCTATCACCCGCCACTCACCTATCACCCGCCACTCACCTATCACCCGCCACTCACCTATCACCCGCCACTCACCTATCACCCGCCACTCACCTATCACCCGCTACTCACCTATCACCCACCACTCACCTATCACCCGCCACTCACCTATCACCCGCCACTCACCTATCACCCGCCACTCACCTATCACCCACTACTCACCTATCACCCGCCACTCACCTATCACCCGCTACTCACCTATCACCCACTACTCACCTATCACCCACTTCTCACCTATCACCCGCTACTCACCTATCACCCGCTACTCACCTATCACTCGCTACTCACCTATCAACCGCCACTCACCTATCACCCGCCACTCACCTATCACCCGCCACTCACCTATCACCCGCCACTCACCTATCACCCACTACTCACCTATCACCCACCACTCACCTATCACCCACTACTCACCTATCACCCACTACTCACCTATCACCCACCACTCACCTATCACCCATCTCTCATCAACCACCACCCTTCACTCATCCCTTAACATTCTTCAAGCATCACTCATCAGCCACCACTCTTCACCCATCGCTCACCTCCCTTCACCCGCCACCCATTACCGATCACGCGTATCCCATCACCGGTAACCCGCCACCCCATCATCACCCTGGCCGTGACATCCCTGAGCGATCGATGCCCGACTCGGCTCGCATGACTCCCGTATCGCGTCCCCTCGCCTCGGGGAGAGACGCGCAGACACGGACCGAGACACGGGCCGAGACACGGACCGAGACACGGACCGAGACACGGGGGCGACGCGGAGACGGGGAGACGAAGGCACGGATACACACACAGACGCAGACACACGGAGACATAGGAGTGACACTGGGACACCAAGACAGAGAGACACACACAAAGACAGACACAGGAGCGCCATTGAGACACAAGGAGACAGAGACACAGACTGTACATGTGTCTGAGACACACACAGACACATTACACACACTTATACATAGACGTGCGTGCACACACACACCAATAATAGATGCACATACCTACAGACACGCGCATAACGCGCGCACGAACAACACACATACCATTAAATCACGAACACACACAGGTAACACGCACAATAAACAGACACAAAGCCACACGCACAGACCCAGACAGTTACACACACACACAGGTACACACACACGCGCATAACACAGACACAGGTACACACAATCACACACACACAAGCGGATAATCACACAGGTGAACAATCACACACACACACACACAGGTGAACAATCACACACACACACAGGTGAACAATCACACACACAGGTGAACAATCACACACACAGGTGAACAATCGCACAGGTGGACAAGGACACACAGGTGAACAATCACACAGGTGGACAATCCCACACACACACAGGTAAGCAAAATCGTCGCTCACTGAGACCTCCGGGAAGAACTCCGCTTCTCCCTCCATGTCAGCGCGTCCCGTCGCCTTCCACTTTCACCTCTCCTCCCCACTCCTCCTCCTCCTAACCCTCCACCTCGTCCACCAGCACCACCACCACCACCAGCAGCAGCACCTCGTCTGAATGGCTATCGCTCAGCGCCCCGCGCGTGGTTTGCCGAGCGAGGGGCACGAGGCGAAGAGAGACGGAGCGAGGAGCGGAGCTGACGATGACGACGCTGATGCAGCAGCAGCAGCGAGAGACTCCGGGATGGGAGCGAGACGGGGCGGCAGCGAGGTGGGAGGCGGGGGGGGAGAGCGAGGTGGATGGGTGGGAGGGAGGGAAGGGGAGGGGGAGAAGGGGAAGCGAGGGACGCCGCTGAGGGAGACGGAGCGGGGAGGAGAGGGAGCGAGGCCGCACATGAAAGCGCCGCGGTAGAGGTCACTACCTCCCCGCACCGCCTCTGAAGCCCCCACTTCAAATGGGCCCCCCCCTCCGGTGCCCCCGCACCCGCGTCAGCGAGGGGGTCTCTTGTCCATCCTCGCCCCTCCCCCATCCCCCCTCCCCCGTCCCGTGGCTCCCCTTCCCGATCCTAGACTCGGGCGGGATGTGGGTCCCGAGTGTCTCGGGGTCCTGTCCAGGACGGTGGAGGATAAGGGCGGTGGGGAGGGGTGCAGGGTGCTGAGTGCAGGGTGCTGAGTGCAGGGTGCGGGGAGCAGGGAGCAGAGGGCAGGGTGCAGGGTGCGGGGAGCAGGGGGCAGGGGGCAGGGTGCTGAGTGCAGGGTGCTGAGTGCAGGGTGCTGAGTGCAGGGTGCGGGGAGCAGGGGGTAGGGTGCGGGGAGCAGGGTGCAGGGTGCGGGGAGCAGGGGGCAGAGGGCAGGTGCAGGGTGCGGGGAGCAGGGGGCAGGGTGCTGAGTGCAGGGTGCTGAGTGCAGGGGGCAGGGTGCAGGGTGCGGGGAGCAGGGGGCAAGGGGCAGGGTGCAGGGTGCTGAGTGCAGGGTGCTGAGTGCAGGGTGCGGGGAGCAGGGGGCAGGGAGCAGGGGGCAGGGTGCAGGGTGATGATTGCTGGGGGTCGAGTGAAGGGTGCACGGTGCTGGGTGCGGGGTGCAAGGGATAGAGTGCAGGGTGACGATGTGTAGGGTGCAGGGCGTTCTTGTGCAGTGTGCAGGAGGGTGCTTCGTGGCGGGTGTCGAGTACAAGGATGCTGAGTGCGGGTTGCTGAGTGCAGAGTTCCTGGTGCAGGGCGCTGCTGCTGCTGCTGAGTGCATGGTGTGTTGTACAGGCGCTCACCCGGCACCATCAGCTCCCTCTCAGGCCTCTTCGTGTTTATTCCACATCCATCACCTCCCACTGTGCCCCCCCCCCCCCTCACCAGCGCACTGCCCCAGCCCCCCCACCAGCGCACTAATTCCAGTCTAAAAATAGCTCCACCCCCCCGCGACCCCGCCAATAAAATGAGTGACAACCACCCAGTGTAGAGAAATAAAATAAATAAAAACACAATATGAATTAAACACACAACAAACACGCACACACACACACATCTCCTGTGGCTGCCTGTATCCACGACATTCGTATTCATCCCTCTGCAGACCCCTTCAAGGGCACGGGGGACACGGGGAGTTTCAGGGTTCCAGGCTCCCTTCGGGGGGGGGATGGGGATCAAGGTGGGGTCAAGGTAGTTGGGGGATGTGGAGCGAGAGAGAGCGTGGTACAGTTAAGCCACGAGATTCGCTCGGTTCATACATTACCAGCGCACTGGCTCGTCCGTTCATTCACCAGCGTATTCATTCGCTGGTTGTGTTCACACACACATTGAATTCGTTATCTCCCGCAAAACGTTCGGCCAATTCATTCGCCCGCTCATTCCATCACTCATTTATTCACACATTCATTCAATCACTTATTCACACTCATTCTCTCACATTATCGTGCACTCGTTCATCCAGTCATTCACACACCCACGGACATATTCGCGCGTTCATTCACCAACGGATTCGCTCATTCATTCGCAAATTCACTCACTCGTCAATTCATTTGCCCGATCATCATCATAATCACCATGAGCCCAGGGTAGAACACGCAACACATACCATCCATTGCATCATCATCACCACGATCATCATCACCATCATCCTCATCATGTCTGCTATTTAAATGACTGAAGTTGTCAACACCTGCTAATCATCACCCCATACACTCAGACTAACGCTCACTACTACACAGGGACAGCTGCCACTGGGGGTGCCCGTCTAATGTTTGCGATGAGATGTGATGCAATGCACCGGCTTTTGGGCTGTGTAGGCATTTACGCAAGCGGCCATATCCATGCAAAAGATCGTTACGGATCAGACTGCTGCACCACTAATTATTTGTCTCAGGCTCCGTGAAAAATCGATGGGGAATCATAATATTGGCTGCGAAGAACCACGTGTTTAAATAACGATGATGATTGCATCATCATCAACCTCCATCGCTTCTCATCCGTGCTATCATCCCACGCGTACCCCCCTAATAAGAGAGTAGGGTGCTCGTTTAGAATGGGGGAGGGGGGGTGGGTCCCGCACCCACCTACCCCCCCCCCCCCTCCTCTACCACCACCTACCGACGGCTCGAGTCCTGGTGCCACTGGTTCCGCGGGCACCGCTGGGATCCCCCCCTCGCCGGTTTGGGGGGGCTCCCTGGAGGGGCTCCTCCCCGCCACGGGGGTCGTCTGCTCCGAGCGGGGTCTCCTCCCGGAACGGGTCGATCCGGGCCGGTCCCCCGGGTGCCGCGGGGGTCCGTTGAGCGCGGTGCTGCTCACGCTGCGGAGGCGCAGGGAGCTGAGCAGGAAGGAGGGACACGCCACGCTCATGCGCCGGGACTTGCTGCTGCTGCTGCTGCTGCTGCCCTCGGGAACCTTGGCTGCTCCCATCGGGGGCCATCGTCGACATCACACGGAGATATAGAACAATGGGATCGTGAATATCAGAGAGATGGAACAATGGGATCGTGAATATCAGAGAGATGGAGCAATGGGGTCGTGAATATCAGAGAGATGGAACAATGGGATCGTGAATATCGGAGAGATGGAACAATAGGATCGTGGATATCGAAGAGATGGAACAATGGGATCGTGGATATCGAAGAGATGGAACAATGGGATCGTGAATATCGGAGAGATGGAACAATGGGATCGTGAATATCCGAGAGATGGAATAATGGGATCGTGAATATCGGAGAGATGGAACAATGGGATCGTGGATATCGAAAAGATGGAACAATGGGATCGTGAATATCAGAGAGATGGAACAATGGGATCGTGAATATCGGAGAGATGGAACAATGGGATCGTGAATATTAGAGAGATGGAAAAATGGGATTGGACTCACAGAGATATGACAATGGGATCCGCAATATCATGGAGCTATAACAATAGGATTGTGAATATTAGAGAGAGAACAATAGGATTGGCATTGTCGCCGAGATAGAACAATGGAATCATCAATATCAAGAAGGACGAACAATTGTGCTCATAGAGATGAAACAATGGGGATCCACAAAATCACAGAGATAGAACAATAGGATGTATATATGGATGTTGAACTTATTTCGCATCAACGTCAAAGACATACAACTGCGACAACATCCATGGTGACAGTGAGACCTTCAATCATCTCCTCCCATCACTTCTGACCTGTCCCATCTGAGCCGGACCCACAGAGCCATTTGACCCACAGAGCCATTTGACCCGCTCCAATTCGATGCGTTCAAATTAATTTGGCAGCATTTGCTCTTAGTTTGTTGTCCTTCCACCGCACCACCGATTAACAACACGGTTGGCTACGTAGGGCGCGAAAGAAATGCAACATACACTAGAGGAATCGCCTAGCCCTAGTATCTGTAAAATAAGTAAGTAAACAACAACGATGCACGGCCCTGGATGAAGACCTCCCCAACACCGCGCCAGTCGTGTTGGGGGTTGTTTGGCTATACTTCACCACACTCGTCAGTGCGGGTTGGTGAAGGGGTGAGGCGAAGAGGGATGGGGGGAGGGCAGACCCGAACCAGCACAAACATAATAAGACAAAAGAAACAAAGATCCCCCGTATAGTCTTGAACAGACTGTTGGAGCAAGTCCTGCCAGGGAGCGGCACCTATGAAGGCCGGAACCACGCCCGGACGCCTTTGTCTCCCCAGTTGCGATGTTTACACACCACACCAGGTAGTCATTTGAGGCCGGGTTGACCTAGAGGAGGCCTGGGATCGGTTCAGATAATCGCCACTGATGTTGGTGCCCGTGATCGGGAATCGAACTTGGGTCACCGGGTTCGTAGCACAGCGCGCAAACCGTCACACTACCGCTCCCCTATACACACAGACACACACAAAGACAAAGATCCCACGTATAGCCTTAACAGACTGTAGGGGCAAGTGCTGTTAGCGAGCACCTATGGAACGGTACACGAGGGGGTGGGTGGCCAGCACCACGCCCGACCGCCTTTGTCTCCCCAGTGGCGATGTTTACACATCGCACCAGGTACTAATTTGAGGCCGATTCGACCTAGGGGAGGCCCAGGACCGATTCAGATAATCGTCACTGGTGTTGGCCTTGAGCGGGAATCGAACCCGGGTCGCCGGGTTCATAGCGTAACACGCTAACCGCTACACTACCGCTCCCCACTATACACACACAGACAGACACCCACACAGCCACCCAGAGACACACACACAGACACCCACACACACCTACACACCGACACACACACAGGCATTCACACACACCCATACACAGAGACACACAGAGACACACACAGACACCCACACAGCCACCAAAGACACACACAGACACCCACACAGCCACCAAAGACACACACACAGACACCCACACAGCCACCAAAGACACACACACAGACACCCACACAGCCACCAAAGTCACACACACAGACACCCACACAGCCACCAAAGACACACACAGAGACACACAGAGACACACACATACACCCACACCGCCACCCACACCGACACACAGACACCCACACCGCTACCCACACCGACACACACACCGACACACACACAGACACCCACACCGCCACCCACACCGACACACACACATACACCCACACCGCCACACACACAGACACCCACACAGACACACACACAGACACCCACACCGACACACACACAGACACCCACACAGACACCCATACCGCCACCACCACCGACACACACACAGACACACACACAGACACACACACAGACACCCACACCACCACCTACACCGACACACACACACAGACACACACATAGACACACACACACAGACACCCACACAGACACACAGACACCCACACAGACACCCACACAGACACCCACACCGCCACACACACAGACACCCACACCGACACACGCACAGACACCCACACAGACACACACACAGACACCCACACAGACACACACACAGACACACACACAGACACCCACACAGACACACGCACAGACACCCACACAGACACACACAGACACACACACAGACACCCACACAGACACACACACAGACACCCACACAGACACACACGCAGACACACACACCGCCACCTACACCGACACACGCACAGACACCCACACAGACACCCACACAGACACACACACAGACACACACGCAGACACCCACGCAGACACACACGCAGACACACACACCGCCACCTACACCGACACACGCACAGACACCCACACAGACACACACACAGACACACACACAGACACACACACAGACACACACACAGACACACACACAGACACACACACACACAGACACCCACACCGACACACACACAGACACCCACACCGCCACCCACACAGACACACACACAGACACCCACACAGACACACACACAGACACCCACATAGACACACACACAGACACCCACACAGACACACACACAGACACACGCACAGACACACACACAGACACACACACAGACACCCACACAGACACACACACAGACCCACACACAGACACACACACAGACACCCACACCGACACACACACAGACCCACACACAGACACACACACAGACACCCACACAGACACACACACAGACACCCACACCGCCACCCACACAGACACACAAAGATAAAAAAGACAAAGATCCCCCATATAGCCTGTAACAGACTGTAGGGGCAAGTGCTGTTAGCGAGCACCTATGAAGGCCGGAACGGTACACGAGGGGGTGGGTGGCCAGCACCACGCCCGACCGCCTTTGTCTCCCTAGTGGTGATATTTACACACCGCACCAGGTACTCATTTGAGGCTGAGTCGACCTAGGGAAGGCCCGGGACCGGTTCAGATAATCGTCACTGGTGTTGGCCGTGAGCAGGAATCGAACCCGGGTCGCCAGGTTCATAGCGCAGCGCGCTAACCGCTACACAGACACACACACAGACACACACACAGACACACACACAGACACACACACAGACACACGCACAGACACACGCACAGACACACACACAGACACACACACACAGACACCCACACAGACACACACACAGACACACATACAGACCCACACACAGACACACACACAGACACCCACACAGACACACACACAGACACCCACACCGACACACACACAGACACCCACACAGACACACACACAGACACACACACAGACACACACACAGACACCCACACCGCCACCCACACACACACAGACACACACACAGACACCCACACACGTGCAGGGAGCGCGGTGGCGTCCCCCCTCGGGGGAGGATCTCAAAGCAAACGCAGCTGTGGCAGTGCGCACAGCCGCCAGCTCCGCTTAGGTAACGGCCCCGAGCTGAAAGTCAGCTGGGGGAAACACCCCAACGACATCAACTGGCGCTGTTAGCGAGCACCTATTGTGGCCGGAACGCCGCACGAGGGGGGCAGGGGGGTGGTGGTGGGGGGCTAGCACCACGCCCAGACACCTTTGTCTCCCCAGTTCATCATCTTTACACACCGCACCACTGCCGGATTAAGCTCGTGCTGGGCCTGTAGCAGATCATGTTATTATGGGGCCCCTAAATAAAAAAAACACGTACATTTTAAAACACATAAATGTTCAACTTGCATAGTAAAGTAATTGTATTTTCCATTTGCTATGACGGCCAGATGATACGACAAATCGCTAACCTTAAACACGCAGTCGTTCGTAAAATTTGAAGGCGGTATAGCACGATAGTAAGTGCACGATCACTGAACCGGAATTGGTAGCTTGAAAACATTTAGCGCGGCCCCTTTGAAAGTGCGGGGCCCGTAGCACATGTAGCTACTTGTAGCTACTTGTAGCTGAGGATCATCCAGCACCGCACCGTGCCAGGTCCTCGGTTAAGGCGTGGGAGGCGTTTGCGGGGCGGGGGGCACGGGGGGGGGCACGGGGGAGGGGTATAGGGGGATCGCAACGCCCCCGCCCAAACTGGGACACCTTTATCAATTTATTTTCAGCCGTTTAAAATTAAAAATTTTGTTCAAAATATGAATTAATTAGATGCACCCGCGATTCCCAATGTGGGGGACAAAGCGAACCCCCCCCCGCCCCGACCACCGGCACCCAAATATAGAAGTCAAACTCCGCCCGTGTGTTAAGGCCGAGCCAACCTAGGGCGAGGTCTAGGTGACCGGTTCAGATGCTCGCCACCTTTATTGGCCGCAGGCGGGAGGCGAACTCGGCTCGCCGGCTCGCCGGGTCGCCGGGTCGCCGGGTCGGCGCGCTGGGGCCGCTGCGCTCCTTGGGGTCAACCCAAAACACGAGTGTGTGCACGTGGACACGGATGCCGTGAAACGGCGCAGCCCTGCAATGTCTCGCTCGCCCCACTGCCAGAGGAAGTTCCTCCACCTTTGGGGGGAGCTCGAGAGAGAACCTCTACGCGTGCATTTACTAACTACGACTCCACAGTATTTTTTTGCTATTCTACCAGGTAAGGTCCGCTTAGCTACATGGATTTTTTTCAGCGACGTGGATATCACCAATGATAGCTCAACGATGGTGGAAATGTAAAGTAGCAGCCAAATACTCTAAACTGGTGTTCTTGTGGAGGGAAAACCCAGAGGACCCGGAGAAAAATCCACGCGACCATGGGGGAAGAGAGACGCGCAAACTCCAAATATACGTCAGAGTCGGGATCGAACTCATGACCTCCTGCATACCAGGCGAGGTAGTTAACATCTCATAGCCATCGTGGCGCCCTCTTAATTATTTCGACTACCCTTCCACGTTGGCCTGGCGTTTTGAAAAATGTGGGTGTACTCACACTTTACCGCACCACACACAACCTGGGTGGACAGAGGCGACCTCTTTGACCGCAAGTCGAGTTTGTTGGCCGTGAGCGGGAATCGAACTCAGGTCGCCGGGTTCGTAGCGCAACCTAGCGCTAACCGTTGCACCACCGCTCCCCACAGTTTCTCTCGATCCACTGAGGCAGATAGCCTCACCACGCCATGGCGATGCTCCCCCTACAGGGACCACCAGGAAATGCATCGCGATGTGGATTTAGCGGTGTCTCGATGGGAGCCGGCATCGCTCGACGCGAATTATTGAGTAGTGAAAAAGAGGCAGTCAGTTTTATGGGTCTCTGTATGAGTATATGGGTCTATGTGTGAGTGTCTATTAGTCTGTGTGAGTCTATGGATCTTTGTGAGAGTAAATGGGTCTTTGTGAGAGTCTACGGTTCTATGTGAATCCATGGGTCTATATATGGGAATCTATGCAAGTCTGTGGGTCTCTGTGTAATCTATGCATCACTATGTGTCTTTGGGGGTCTCTGATGCATTTGGGTTTTTAAAAAAATAATTGTACGTTGTTTTCTTTAAACCAATTAACGATGAGTTGTGCTGATTATACCACGTGGGAGGAAACCGAATCACCTGGAGAAAACCCACACCTTTCGCGAGGGGGCAACGCTCTATCGCCCGTACAGATGGAAACTCGTGGCGACTCGTGTCATGTGCCTGTACCGACTTCTCCTGGCGTGTCCCGGGGGTATGACGGGCACCTCCTCGACAAGCCACGGCAAAGAAGGGAGTTTCACAACAACATCTGCGCAGCCATCCACACAACAACCCATCGATGCTGCCTCCACACACGGCGCTGGATCGCAGGACACGTGGTCATGTGTGGCCTAGCCACCGCCCGGCTCTTAGCCCTCAGAGAAATCGACCCCTTCCCTTTTGCGTCTTGGACAGAGCCTCCTCCTCCTCCTCGCGTCCTATCGCCTCGCTCAAGAGAGCTCCTCCACAAAGTAGATGTAATTCTTCGAGATCATCGTCAGCGTTGCCTCGTCCCCATCTCCTCCACCCCCCGCCCCCCAGTCATCCTGCTCCCCACCCTCGCCCATTATGACAATTAACCCCCCCCCCCTGGTGATGCTGGTGAGAAATTCCGAGTGAGATGTCGTGGTGGTGCTGGTGAGGAATTCCGAGTGAGATGCCGTGGTGGTGCCGGTGAGGAATTCCGAGTGAGATGCCGTGGTGGTTCCGGTGAGAAATTCCGAGTGAGATCCCGTGGTGGTGCTGGTGAGGAATTCCGAGTGAGATGTCGTGGTGGTGCCGGTGAGGATTTCCGAGTGAGATGTCGTGGTGGTGCTGGTGAGAAATTCCGAGTGAGATATCCTGGTGGTGCTGGTGAGGAATTCCGAGTGAGATGTCGTTGTGGTGCCAGTGAAGATGTCCTTGTGAGGTATCCTGGTGGTGCTGGTGAGAAATTCCGAGTGAGATGTCGTGGTGGTGCTAGTGAGGAATTCCGAGTGAGATGTTGTGGTGGTACCGGTGAGAAGGTGCAGTGGGTGAGGAGGTACGATTGGTGCGGGTGAGGCTGGTAAGGAGGTCCCTCACTGACCCTTGACCGTGAGGTGCCGTCCTCCGAAAGGGAACGTCTCAAAGTCGAGGCACAGCGGCGTGCTCGAGTGGTCCAGGAAGACATCGACGCGGCCCAGACTCAGGCCCCTCCGTAAGAAGATGGGACTCAGCGTCTCCCTGCGACACACACAAAGACAAAGATCCCCCCCGGTGAACCTACACAGGCTGTTGGGGGGGGCAAGTGTCTCCCCAGTGCTAATGTTTTACACACACCGTACCAGGTATTCATTTTAACTAGACCCAGGACTGGTTAAAAAAAATCGCCATCATAAACCGGTCGCCGGGTTCTTGGCGCAGAGCGAAGTACGTCAACCCCGACACCACCGCTCCACTTACAAGGCCACACGGACCTACACACACAGCAGATGCTCCACGTGGTGGCCCTCGCCTAGTCAGTGCAACAACAACCGCCATTCGCCACTAAGTGGCGGTGACGTCACCACGGCGCTTGTGCCAGGCTGTGTGCACTTTAAGGCCACGTGAAGTGTCGAACGCCTGCTGGCAGGAGGTCACAGGACACACCCAGGTGCCATGGGTTGACTGAGCTAGCTGGCCAATGCACCACCTTTGCCCCCTACTGTGGAAAATGGCTGTGTTTTATCTGCCCGGCGCTCTGCTCGTTGTTGTGAGCGTCGCTCCTCTGCCCTCCGTTGTTGTTGGAGGGCGACTGCCTCCAACTGCCCAGTAGCGTCCTTCACGAGCCTCCTCCACACAGGTCGATCTTGACACCGCTGGTACCGGTCATCGGAAAGTCCACTCAGCCCCACATCCTCTCGCACCGCATCCACTTAGTCAGGACGTCACTGCTGCCACCTGCAATCCGGGTCTCACCTGAGCGACTTCTCCTTGACAGCTGGGACCACTTCCGTTCCCTGGTCTTTGGCCAAATCGAACTTGAGCGTGAACCACTCCCTGCCGGGGTCCTGGGACAGGGCGGGGTGGGGGGAGGGACGAGGGGATACGGTACATCACGGGAGGATGGGTCGGAACGTGGATCGATAGTCCAATATTAACGTACAATTTAATTGAGGGACTGCTGTGTACCGTTGTCTCGATGTGGTCTGGGACTGTTATTGTTGTTGCTGTTTTGTTGTTGTTGTTTTGTTGTTGTTTTGCTGCCCTGTCCAAGCTTGCATTGGGTGTCGACAAATCGCCAGGAATGTATGTACTCATGCAATTTGTCCATCACACTTTATTCATGTTAACATATACTTTATAATATCTATTTGTAGCGACTTGTTTCTCTCCTCTCTATTTTGCACTTTGCACTCCTATCGTTGTTTTAGTCGTGTCTCTCGCTGACCCGCCCCCGCAGTGGACATTTTGTGAAAAAGAGCTTCATTGCTCATCGGATTCCTTCTTCGGTCTAAACAGAGATTCTGATCCTGAGATGCGCATGCAATTGCACGTGGGAGTTTATTACAACAACAAACAAGACGAAGAGGTGTGGGCCGTACCATCACCTGTCATCAAACAATCCACTCTCCGCCCCCACCCTCTATTCTCCACGAGTAAATGGGGCAATTGTGGATAGGATGGAGATATTATCGTACCTGGGCAGTTTGTTCATGACCAGCTCCGGTTTCGGTCGTCTTATTTCCATTGGCAGCGTAACGCTGCTGTGTGGAAGCAACTTGGCCTGTCGCTCCGCACGGAGCTCAGGGTCTGTTCGGCCACAGTTATGCCCCTCTTATTCTCTGTGATTGAGAAACGTGGGCCCTGTTAAAAGGCACATCTGCGCTGGCCTGCCTGCGAGCCATCCTGGGTTTAGCCCGACTGAAATGTGTGAGAAGCTCACAAATCCTTAATAGATCTGGATATCAGAATCAAATTCTTTATTTATTTTCGTGGCTGAATCCGATGAGCTAAAAATCTATTTTCACATATGTCGAGTAGGGCAGGGTCAGCGAGTTACGTCAACATAAGTGAGCTCCTCCGGCAGGCGAGGGCTGCGTTGGCTGGATCGTGTAACCCACACGGCCAGTCACCACGTGAACCAAGCAGTGTCTGTTTGGCTGGATAGAGGGAGCGTGGTTGTTTGACACAACCCACCCACTGGTGTGCCGTGTCGGCCTTCGTCGGCGCTTGCTAACACAAGTCTGCCTGGTTATACGGGGATCTTAGTCTTTGTGTGAGTGTGTCCGAGTGCATGTCCTCACGTCTGTGTAATGCCTCCGGCCTCCTTTCGTCTTCCGCACCTTGACTCCCAAGAAGCGCTCCTCACTGCAGTGCCACCAGGGCGACAGGGACAGAGACACCTGGGCTACCAATCTTCAGTGTCACACCTGTGTTACCTAGGCTACCAATCTTCAGTGTCACACCTGTGTTACCTAGGCTACCAATCCTCAGTGTCACACCTGTGTTACCAATCTTCAGTGTCACACCTGTGTTACCTAGGCTACCAATCCTCGGTGTCACACCTGTGTTACCTGGGCTACCAATCTTCAGTGTCACACCTGTGTTACCTAGGCTACCAATCTTCAGTATCACACCTGTGTTGCCTGGGCTACCAATCTTCAGTGTCACACCTGTCTTACCTAGGCTACCAATCCTCGGTGTCACACCTGTGTTACCTGGGCTACCAATCTTCAGTCTCACACCTGTGTTACCTAGGCTACCAATCATCAGTCTCACACCTGTGTTACCTAGGCTACCAATTCACGGTGTCACACCTGTGTTACCTAGGCTACCAATCCACGGTGTCACACTTGTGTTACCTAGGCTACCAATCCACGGTGTCACACCTGTGTTACCTAGGCTACCAATCTTCAGTGTCACACCTGTGTTACCTGGGTTACCAATCCTCAGTGTCACACCTGTGTTACCTGGGTTACCAATCCTCAGTGTCACACCTGTGTTACCTAGGCTACCAATCCACGGTGTCACACCTGTGTTACCTAGGCTACCAATCTTCAGTGTCACACCTGTGTTACCTAGGTTACCAATCCTCAGTGTCACACTTGTGTTACCTAGGCTACCAATCCACGGTGTCACACCTGTGTTACCTGGGTTACCAATCTTCAGTGTCACACCTGTGTTACCTGGGCAACCAATCTTCAGTGTCACACTTGTGTTACCTAGGCTACCAATCCACGGTGTCACACCTGTGTTACCTGGGTTACCAATCTTCAGTATCACACCTGTGTTACCTAGGCTACCAATCCACGGTGTCACACCTGTGTTACCTAGGCTACCAATCTTCATTGTCACACCTGTGTTACCTAGGCTACCAATCTTCAGTGTCACACCTGTGTTACCTGGGTTACCACTCGTCATGTTTATGAGCTTAATGTTCATATGCTGACAGCCGTATCGTCGTCATCATCATAACAGTACAATGACGTGGACAGTGTGACGAGGTGCTCAGTGTGAAGAGATCATTGGCATGATACTGGTGTGACGAGGTGACCGGTGTGACGAGGTGGCCCCCACCTCTCCCATTCTTGAGCCCACGCCTTGGGGGGCACCGTGGGGGGTCTCGCGCGGGGGCAGCTGGGCTGGCCCATCCCCCTCTCCGCGGTGGGGGGATCTGCGAACATCCCCGGCTCGATTGGTATGGTCCAGTGGATTAACCTCTCTCCACCTTCCCTCCCCCTGCTAGAATAATGGAAAAGTCCAAACCGAAATTATGATAGCAACCACAATGGGTTGCCACCTCTTTCTCCTCTATGCCTTAACGGTAGGGTCCACACGGGGTTTCCAAACTGTCACCCCTTCACTCACATAATGGTGCAGTCCATAGTGGATGTTTCCCTCCACATGGGCCCGTCCACTCACCCAGGTAGGGATGAGTTTCAGATATAAAAAAAAATACTTTCGGACTTTTAAGGTCCAGTTATGGATTTGATTTGGTATTGTTATATTTTTCGGATTTAAATGTACCTACACTTCAATATCATCCAGTGTCTATGCACAAACATCGAATAATTTCCATAACGTTAAATATCAGTAATTGAATTCAAATGGTTAATGATCCATCAGTAACTTTATTGGGAAAAATGTTTGATCGCCAAAGTGACGTCATGAAACTCGGAGCAGCAATGCCGCAGAAGCGATGTCACTTCAAGTGACGTCACATTTATGTCGTTTAAACTGACGTCACAGTTATGTTATTTCACGTGACGTCACATTTTCGGATCATTCCCAAATTTATTACATTTCTTTTATTTACGATTAACCCCCCCCCCCCACGTGACAGGGGACCCACTCACCCTCATTGGGCCCCCTACAGATTCCCGCCGCTTCCGTGCTGGGCGATTGAGGCTCCATTGTGCGGACTAGATCCGCTCCGACGGAAACCGGAGCGGTGCCCTTCTGCGTCTGGCAGAACAAACGACGTGAGATTGCATCCGGATTAATAGTCAAGGGGGAGGGGGGGGGGGGTCTCACAACTCGCCATCGCTTCCTTCCCTCTGCCCGAAAAACGCTGTTCTTTGCGCGAAATTGACAACTAATCTCCGAGGAGCACGAGTCGTCTTATCACCACCACCACCACCGTCTGCTGGCTTTAGGTCTTGTCGATCATCCCTTCGGGGTCGATAAAATTAGTGCTACTCTGTGGGAAAGTCAACAGTGATTGTCATCCTGTGGGCGGACTCGACCCCACCATACGAATGTGGAATTTCCACCGCTGGCTTTCCAAGGCTGAGATGAACACCACTTCCTCCCGGCGGCCCGTTTGAGCGGGAAAATCAGTTTCGTTTTATTTTCCGAATGCGTCCGACAGCATTCGGACGTCAGTAAGATCCTTCAATTGCGTGCAGCGGCGGCGTCAGCGGCGAGCACGCTGCCCTCAAACACGAGACCCAATCCCGGCAGCGGCGAGTGACGTTCAACCTCCTCCTGCTCCTGGGCCCCTTCCCTCTGAACGTCGTCCGAGTCGTGGTTGCCTATCTGACCATACTTCACCACGCTGGCAGTGCGAGTTTGGCGGAAGGACAGGAGCACAGGAGACGTCGAGCACAACAACAACAACAACACCGAGGGATGTTCAGTGGACCTCCCCTACCACCTCTACCGACGGCCACGTGCATAGAGAGCCCCCCCGTCGCAGCAGCCTCAGAGCTACCGATGGCAGCACCCCCTCCCCTCCCCCCCGGGCATGCGGCGACAATCCCGTGGCAGCGCCTCGCCACGCGGGCTGCGTCTCCAGGCTTGGCCTTCCGTCCGTGGACGTGACCGGATCGGGCGCGTCCACGATGATTGGGCGACAGGCGATGACCTTTCACGGCGGCCATGGGGTTTGTTTTTTCGTGACAGGAACACGGTGATGATGACGATGATGATGACGATGATGATGGGGTTGTGTGTTCACCATTTGTGTTTTGTCGGGGGGGGGGGGGGGGGGGGGTCCGCGCACGCCAGGGGCCGCACTGGAGACCGCCAGGGGCCCGCGGGGGGAGGGGGCTTGCAATGAAGAACGTCGATGGTGATTTGTGTTGAGAACAAACAAACACTAATAACGGTGGCCTATTTTAATTGTGCTTGTGGCGACGTTCATTACAATGATGATCGTGCGGGTGACGCCGACGATGACGAGTGTGATGATCATCAGACAGACGCGGCATTGCCTTTGCCCTGCCCCCCCCCCTCCATATTCCCCCACAGGGCCCCGCCCCCCCGCCCTCTATTCGCAGGGGGTCCAAGGTGAGAGGAGAGATTTGGAAGCGCGTGCAGCCCCAGACGCAGCCCGAGTGCGTTTTGATTTTTCCGTGTGATTGACCTTTGTATGGAGTGACGCATTCTGCATTCACATGCACACGACGCAAAGACAAAGATCCCCTCCGTGTAGCCGGCACGGGCTGTCGGGGCAAGTGCTATCAGCGAAGGCCAACTAACCGCCTTTGTCTCCCCAATAACTGATGTTTCACACATCTCACACCAAGTTACTGATTTAGGGCCGAGTCGACCTGTGAGGCGGCCAGACCTAGTACAGACGTCATCTGCCATGGCTGCGCAAGGTCGTGGAAACAAAGTCAAAGTTCCCCCGTATAGTTATCACAAACTGGTGGGGCAATTGCTGTTGGCGTGCACCTACGAAGGCCAACATGGCCACACCAGGGCGTGCTGTGGTTAGCACCAAGCCAAACTTGCCTTTGTCTCCACCGCACCAGGTACTCAACTTCAACATAGGGGAGGCCCACCACAGGTTCAAATTGGTCGTGAGCGGGATCGATCTCTGGTCGCCGGTTTCGTGCGCGAACCACAGCTCCACCCCGTACAGAAGCACACGGGTTCCCCACACAGATGTACCCATACACTCTCACATGCGCGCACACACATACACACTCTCACATGCGCACACACACACACACTCTCACATGCACACACACACTCTCACATGCGCACACACACACATACACTCTCACATGCGCACACACACAGACTCTCACATGCACGCACACATACACTCTCACATGCACACACACATACATTCTCACATGCGCACACACACACACATACACTCTCACATGCGCACACACACACGCGCGCACACACACATACACTCTCACATGCGCGCGCACACACACACACATACAAAGACAAAGATCCCCCATATAGCCTTAACAGACTGTAGGGGCAAGTGCTGTTAGCGAGCACCTATGAAGGCCAGAACGGTACACGAGGGGGTGGGTGGCCAGCACCACGCCCGACCGCCTTTGTCTCCCTAGTGGCAATGTTTACACACCGCACCAGGTACTCATTTGAGGCTGAGTCGACCTAGGGGAGGCCTGGGACCGGTTCAGATAATCGTCACTAGTGTTGGCCGTGAGCGGGAATTGAACCCGGGTCGCCAGGTTCTCACATGCACACACACATACACTCTCACATGCACACACACATACACTCTCACATGCACACACACATACACTCTCACATGCACACACACATACATTCTCACATGCGCACACACACATACACTCTCACATGCACACACACACACACACATACACTCTCACATGCACACACACATACACTCTCACATGCACACACACATACATTCTCACATGCGCACACACACATACACTCTCACATGCACACACACACACATACACTCTCAAATGCACACACACATACACTCTCACATGTACACACACACATACACTCTCACATGCACACACACATACACTCTCACATGCACACACACATACACTCTCACATGCACACACACATACACTCTCACATGCACACACACATACACTCTCACATGCACACACACATACACTCTCACATGTACACACACATACACTCTCACATGCACACACACACATACACTCTCACATGTACACACACACATACACTCTCACATGCACACACACATACACTCTCACATGCACACACACATACACTCTCACATGCACACACACACACTCTCACATGCACACATACACTCTCACATGCACACACACACATACACTCTCACATGCACACACACACATACACTCTCACATGCACACATACACTCTCACATGCACACACACATACACTCTCACATGCACACACACACATACACTCTCACATGCACACACACACATAGATTACACGTGCACACTCATACAGATCCATGCACACGCTCTGTCACACACGCTAAACATGATACAGGACACATTATTAATGTATACACATACAGTATATACATATACTGCACACAACACACACAAAATCAGTAGAGTATAATAAATATCGTATTTGGTGATGTCCCTGCTGTTGCTGCTGCGTTGGCAGTGGTGCCCAAACACAAACAACAACAACAACCTCAACACGTGCATCATTAACACAATGCGGGGCCTAACAAGGACAAAGAGATACAATAGGCGACGATTCGGGAAATGACCCTCCTTCATAACACGTTCACGCTAGGTGGATATATCTGTGTTTATGTTCCTATGTGGATGTGTAATGATTAGCACGGTCGGCTACCTACGGTGCGAAAGAAGTTCAGCGTACAAGAAGGGCCATTGCCAGAAAATGTCGCCTTGATACAATTGTTTTAACATTAAGGCTCCAGTGGCATGTATAGGTGTAGATGCCTCCATATATAGCAGTACAAAGACAAAGACCCCCTCCCCCCTTAGGGCCTTAACATACTTCTGGGGCAAGTGCTGCTAGCGAGCAACTAAGAAGGCCGGCACGGCACACGAGGGGGTGGGTGGCCAGCACCGCGCCAGACCGCCTTTGTATTCCCACCGCTGATGTTTACACACCGCACCAGGTACTCATTTGAGGCCGAGTCGACCCAGGGGAGCCCCAGGACCGCTAATCGTCACCTGGTGCCGTTGGTGGCCGTGAGCGGGAATCGAACTCGGGTCAGCCGGGTTCGTAGTGCAGCGTAGCGCTAACCGCTGCGCCACCGCTCCCCGCGACATAGAAGCCCATCATAACACTGCACTCCCACAAAGATTGCGTTCCACACGCGACCTTGATCCTTTATGGTACGCGTGGTTAATGAATAAATGTGGTTTAGAACCTGCACTACAAACCAGCCCCCCCCCCCCCCGCCTGAGTGCGATTCCTGGACACGGATAACATCAGTGGCGAGTGACATCTGAAACGAGTCGTGACGAAAGGGCATTCCCCTCCCACCCTCCCTTAGGTTGACTTAGCCATAAACGAGTACCCGGTGAAGCGGTCTTACACCCGCCCCTAGTTTCCCCCATCTTTCACCAACCCGCACTGACCAGCGTGGTGAAGTATGGTCAAACCCGCCAGCCGCCCACCCACGACTGACACGGCCAGTAGTGGCTTGAGAAGGGGCTGATCTTCATTGCACCGTATAATCGTTTTATGTTACCCAGGAAGGCCTCGGGAGAGCCTCAAGACTAATTTACACGAGGGTGCTGCTACTTTGGATTGGCGTGCATGGCCTGGCATTCCGTTGGCAGAGACGATTTGGCTTCGCGCGGCAAGAAAGCGGAGACATCCCTGAGAAAACTCACCGCGCGTGCGAGGGGGAGACACTCAGAGCTCCGCACAGGTGGATTCACGAATCCATTGCTGCACTGGCGTCTGTCGGGCACCTCGCATCCCAGGCATACAACACCTGGCATTCCCAGGCAGTCTCCCATCCAAACACTGAGAGCAGGCGTCACACACGCGCGCCACGCACAGCACACACACCACGGACGCACGCCACGCACAGCACGCACAACACAGCACACCACGCACGCCACGCACTCACACCACACACACCACACACACACACACACCACACACACAAACCACACACACGCCACGCACTCACACCACACACACACGCCACGCACTCACACCACACACCACACACGCCACGCACTCACACCACACACACCACACACACACGC